TTTGTAGCCTTGTAGGAGTGCCATTTGTTTGGTCGCGAATGTTTTATTTTTAACATAATATTTATAAACATTTTATTAGAGACATTTTTTTACAATTATTTTCTAATTGAGTATTAATTACCTTTTAATTGAAGTTCATCTAGATGGTATTGGAAATATAGTCTAGTGGAATATATGCTCGACAATTGCCTAACTCATCATTTTGCATTTTCTGATACAGGACTTAATATTGAGCAAAAGGGACATTGACATTTGTTTCCTGTCAATAGGTCATAAAATTTAAAACTATGAACCATCTATACTTATATTAAATGAGGTATTATTTACCAAATTAAATAGTCAGAAAAGTCAACAGCATTTATTGCATTACTATTTCCGTATTATATTATATAAAACAATAATCTATTTACTACATTTACTATCCAGAAAAGTCAAATGCATTAAATGTCATTACCATTTTGGTATTATAATATTTTATTTATTTAATTAATTTATTTATTTATTTTATTTTAAAAAAGTAAGTATAATAAAAATATTTTAATAATAAAAAAATCAAATACCAAATAAAAATGTACACTTGGACTTATTTGATTATATTTGGTATTTGATTATACCAAATATATTCCTATTTAGTATATACATTAAATACTTACTAAAGTATTTATTTGTTTTATTTGTCAAAGTTAAGTATAGATTTGTTTATATTATCAAATCATAAAAAAATATTAAATCCATATTGTGAAAAAAAAAATTCATATAATTTTATAACAATTCTACTACACTATTTAACAATATTCCTTTTTTTATTATATAGTAAAATAATAATTAAATATTATATGGTGAATAACAATAAGTAAAACTGTTACTTTCTCTTATATCAAGGGATAAATTTATATGCTAAAATTAAATTTTTATTAGTATAAATGTTTTAGTGAGATAATATATTAATTATTTTACAAGCTAGCCCTAACATGCTCATATTTAATGTTTTAAAAGATGTAGAAAAAAAACTTATAATAACTCTATTGTTTTTTAGACTTAAACGTTGATTAAAAGAGATAAAAATTCTTAATTTTTTAGACTTAAACGTTGATTAAGACCATAGATTGAGAGTTTATATTTAGTAAAATTCCTAATTATAATAAAAAAATTAATTTTGCTATATTTTAGAATATCTTTAAATTCATTATAAAAAAAAGAAAAAAAAAACTACAATGAAAAAAGCAAGTCAGCTATATATCGATTTGTTGTACTCCTCAAATCACATTCACAATTTGGCTACAAGGAAAGGAAACTCATTAATTAAAATATTATTTTGTCAGTAGTCTTAATGTACAAGAAACTTTAAGACTCCACTTGAATATTATAAAACTTTTATTGAACATCGTACAATTTCTTGCGTATTATAAACTTTTATTGAATATTGTATCTTATAATATAATATTCTCCAAATAAATATATTTCGTGCTTCGCACGTACTATATATATCCCATACATTTTTCTTTATTCATGTATATAATTATAAGCCTGGATAAATAGCCTTAAAATTGTACACCCCGCGCGTTGCACGGGCTCTGTACTAGTTGCAATTAATCCATTTAAATCAACTGAACAATATTAATAATAATAATAATAATAATAATAATAATAATAATAATAATAGAAGAAATGAAGCCAATACTACACGAAATTTCTTATCTGAAAATTACAGTAACAAACTAACAACCATTAACTATTTAGTGGAGAAATTGACTACAATTCTGAGGTAAATCACTAATAATATTCCCCCACACCACATACAATCGAAACCAGAAGGTGTACACTAATTACCACTATTCCCAACCAACACTTTTCCTTTTTCATACAGCACAACAATTGAAACCCAAACAGAAACTCTTCACCAATAATGACACGTCATCATTCAAAATCTCAACCAATATACCTAAAACCCTATCAACCCAATACCCCATCCCTCAAAAAATGGAGGCCATGCTATATTTCCAGCCAAATGATTTTCTGATCATGCCACGTGGAGGCATGAAGCTAAGGCCAAGCATCTCATCTACTGCTCGACCGTGCTCCAAGAAGCCAATGAGCTTAGCAACAATATCGGCACTTTTTCGAATGTGGTCCATATTTTCAGTGTCGGTCCATAAAAGGTTGACCAGTTGCAATCTTCTCTTTTTAGAGTTCAAGCTGATTCCCCATTCATTGTAAAGCCTGTGCCTTTCATCTTCTTCTCTGTATCTTTTATATATTAGCTTGCTCAGTGTCTCCCTCTCCCTTCGGAGGGCCCTCTTGCTGTTTCTTAGCTCGAGAAAAACACGAGCGAGTGAAAATTAGTTCAAACTTGGTTCAAGTGGAACTTACACTAAAATGAGAAACACTCGGGAGTAATAATTACACTTAGATCATCCAACAAATTGGAACACAGAGCGAGAATTTTAAGAAAATTCGTGCTCCTCTAATCCAGCAAAAATCACGATAACAAGGGAAATTTGTCAATTACGAATATCCCCTTGCCATTTTGTTTCCATTTTCTATAGTACAACTTGACATTGCACACTGTTTAGGGTAGTTTGAGAAAAAAATACAAATCATTGGTGTGTTTGTTTATCAATTATTTAAATTTATATTCAATTCATACTCAAAATCTAACTCAACTTTAACTCAATCCCACTATTCTCAATATTATCAATATAATTAAATAATATTAATCAATCATTCTTACATATCACATCAAATTTAATTAACTATTCATCCACCCACATAATTTTAACTATCACTTCACATCATCTCTCTCCGATTTTTATATCAAATCAATTTTAATTACTTTATTTTAAGCATTATTTTAATATATACTCAAAATTCCATTAACAACTAACCAGACCAACTTTTTCAAAATTAACCATGGTTAATAAATAAAAAAACTCGTTTTGAGCGGATATATTTGTATACAAGCACGCCCTAAGGGTAGTTTGAGAAACAAATACAAACTGTTTAAGGGACTTCTTTGTAATTAACCTGAATTGGTTTCGACATTTCATTCGAGCCAATGAAAAATTACAGCATTTCCAAAATTTTGTTAATGGTAGCACACTATTCACATCAAGGAAGAAGCTAAGGANAAAAAAAAAAAAAAAAAGGTGTAGACAAAAGAGTTTTAATGATATATGATGATACCTTGATGCCAGCGTAAAAGTACGGCCAGCTTGTACAGTGCAATTGACCCTTGAAAATGTTTCCTTGAGAAAGGATAATCTCCTCCGTTCAACTTCCATGTAAAAGGAATCTGCTGGATCATCTTTAATGATGAGGATGAAATATGTCCTGTGTACCAGTGACACATTGCAAGCTTGCCACAGCTCAATTATCAATTTCTGCAACTTCTCAAACTTTAGTGGAGAATTCATTGGATCAAAAGCCACATCTCTAGCATTATTTTCTTTCGTCCTCTCTGTCTCTTGAACCTTAATAGCATATAACGCGAGTCATTAGTAGAGTTCTCCATAGAATAACAAACTAAAACGCCCCCAATGAGAGAGTCGAGGTTTGAATACAAAAGTTATCCTTGAGGTTTATTCTAATTACTTAAAATTAATAAATAAAATGAGAGAAACTAAAAAAAAATGCCAGCTATGAAAGACAAACTTCTTTATTTCTGAGGAGTTTTTAGTAACTTTGGGGAAGTATTTAATATTTATAGCTATGAAAGACAAACTTCTTTTTTCTCTTTTCATACTTCCTTTTCTTGTACCAGGCTAAACTCTCCAGTCACTATCTATTGACAATTCTTTTATCTTCTGTATGGGAAAAAAAGAAAAGAAAAAAGATATAACTAACCTGCTGACCATTTTGATTTTCATATTGAAGCTTAGCCATCTCCCTGAGCCCCGCTACAAAAGAACCAAGAGTAGGAATATCCTCATCCCCACTGCTGGAGATTTCATTCTTTATCTCATCGACAAAACTAGTAAAATCGGAGGATTCAGAATCACTTACGAACAGCTTCCCACTATTTGCACCGTACATCACTGGTGGAAGCTTCCATTGCTTCCTCTTGAAAATGCCTTCCGATCTTCCGGTAAAATCTTCCTCCAATATGGTTGAAGGCATGCTTTTTCTTTGTCCACCCATTTCAAAGTCAGACGAGCTTCTGCTTCTAGTCAATTTTAAGCTTCCAGAATGTGTCCCACTAGTTGATGATGCACATGGAGAAAATGCATCATGCTGAGGTCTTAAACTGTAAGAGCGAATATTATCAGTGGCACTAACTTGTCCAGGTGAAGCCATGACATAGCCATCTGAAAACTCGGAAGATATCGGCATGTTAGTTTCACTCTCGCTAACTGACTCGCGTAATGACTCAAATGTTCTCTTGTTATCAGATACACAATTCTGAATACACACAACCTCCTTGCAGATTTCATCAGAATCGTCCGCAAAAGGTCCTTCGACTTCTTGGCTTGGATCGGATATGGCTTCTGATGAATAAGCGTCTTCACTGTTTTCCGAATGAAGAATGCCCGATTTCCCGTTGCCTCTGAAGCCTCCATTGACAGATCGAGATTCATCAAGTTTTTCTGAAGTTTTGCCACTTTCAATGGCTCTAAGTAAATCATCGATCCGAGAATGAGCAACTTCTCGTTGACTTTTCAGTTCCTTATTCTCTTTCTCCAACTGTAGATAGTTACATACCATGAACTCATATCAATGTGCAGTTTTTTATTTTACTTTTACCAATATACATGATGCAGTAGAGTTAGGAGCCTCATAAATTTTGAGCAGTGATAAATAATTCATTCCATAATCAAATCGTTAATATCAGATAATTTTTATGGACCACCCGTTATGATAAGTTTTGAGAAGAGTGTGTTAAAGATGAGATAGTTAGATCTATGCTCAAATCCCAGGATTATGGATATGCTACAAATAGCTAGGAAGCATGTATCAGTTGAAAATTCATAACTGTTATAAAAAAAAATGAAAGTAGATTAATAAAGCATGCTATTTCTAAATACAGATGAAAATAAAGAAACACCACCTTTTCAATTTGCATATCTTTCTTTCTTAACAATGGTCCATGGTCGCACATTGATCCTGGAGTTCTTAACTCACTTTCCAAACGAGCAACCTCTTTCTGTAAATGTTTGACTAATGCCTTATCAGACATCACCACATTAACCTTTGCATTTGTTACTACCTCCTTTGCGCAGCTAGCAAATTGAAGTGTATTTCTCGATTGCTCTAAATGGCTTCTCGCAGGGCTCAAGGTGCATATGATAGCTGTTCTAGCATTGCCTCCCAAGGCAGGCTGCAGTATACGTGTCAGCTTTGAGTCTCTGTAATTGACGTGCCCTTGTCTTCCTTTGCTGCATAAATAGATCAACTTTGATAATGTGAAGTATTGAAGAACATAAGAAACAAAATAAGACAGAAATCAAGGGAATGAAAATCAACGAACCTAAGTTTGCGAATGACAGTGCCCAGAGTCAATAAACTACGATTAATATGGGAGCCTTCTTTGAGCCTTTGCCCCACTGAGAATGCTTGAGATGCTCGTTCACTTCCTGCTAGATCAACAAAGTTCTGCACGAAAACATGGAAAAGTTTAGTATCTAAATAATTTATTTATGTTTACTTGCATCATAGAATTAAGTAGGATGTACACAGGGAAAGTGTTAAAAAATAATTTTGCTCTACCACACTGGCAGCAAGGGTCGTAGAGTTGCCCTTCCCTATAAACTCTCGAGCAGAACTTTCAATTGTCTGGAGAAAACAGATAAAAGAAGAGCCAACTGTGAGGACTCAAACTTATTTAAACAGCGAGTGTGTGTGTGTGTGTGAGAGAGAGAGAGAGAGAGAGAGAGAGAGAGAGAAAGAAGAGAGAGTATGAAATACTGGAATGAGAGTGAGAAGAGAGCTAACTAATCTTAGAATTTGATGGGATCTAGAGCTTGTTTCGTTCAATGAGGTCTCCCCTACTTGCCTTTGCGCTGTGTAAGTGTTAAAAAGAAATAGTGTTATTCTGTCAGCTAATATATTTGAACTATAAACCAAATGATGAGAATTAAACTTGACTAACCTTTGCAGATAGATAACAATTCCCTGAGGTGATTCCAATCCCTCAAAGTTTCTTCTGTGAGTTTCTCAATAATTGTCCCTCTCTACAGAATTAGGAAATATCGAATAGCTACAGGGATGTAGGTGAGAAGAGCAAAAATGAGTAACTCGAAACTCACTTCTGGATCATCAAGTAGCCGTAGAGGAGTACTATCTGTGCTAAGGAGGTCTCTAACAACTTCATTGTAAATCTCCATTGCAGAAAACTTCAAAGCAAAAGCTGTTTCTTCATGCTGAGAGAATGAGTGAGAGAGGTCATAAAAGAGGAAAATAATGTAGTTTGCTACTTTCCAGATTACACAATGGAGTTCGAAGACATGTACCCTTTGCATGTAGTCATAAAAATCTGCCACTGCATATTCGGTAATGCCATTCATAGTGTACGTCTTTCCGCTGCTTGTCTGACCATACGCAAAAACAGTTGCTGATATAGAGAATCAGTTGAAATCAGTCACTATTGACATAGCAATTGAAACTAAAACCACGACAAAAAAAAAAAAAAAAAAAAAAANAAAAAAAAAAAAAAAAAAAAAAAAATGTAATCACCAGTCGAGCATATCATTAATTAAAACTTACAGTTTATTCCCCCGAGAACAGAAAGAGCAATGTCCTTTATTCCTTCATCATAAACTTCCCTTGTTTTGCAGTCACCCCTAAATACTTTGTCTATGCACATAAATATGAATAGTTACATTAAGCAAGGGGGAATAGATGCATCAGAATCACTATCAAATCAACCATTTATAGATAATTAGAAATACAACCTTGATATTCTAGCCTATTAAGAGTGTACATAATAATAAATAAATAAAAGTTACGTTTCAAATAGCCTCTCAATATCTCTGTACAAATTATAAACCTCAAGCAGGCTTTCGTAACACCTTAAGGAGGTATGTTCAACTTTGAGAAAACTTGTTTTCGAGAAATGCAATCTGGGAAAGAATCCAGAGTCAAGTAACTAATTGACTAAACGAGACACTTACTCCAACGACAAATGGAACATCTGTAGTATTAACAACCTGATAAACAATGAAAGCTTAGCTAACATGATATTAATCTGTGAATACTGATGATAATCCACCGACTCGTAGTTTCTCCTCCTAAACTAGAAAACATGACCAACTACAGTAATAAAAGACAACATTGAGACATTTGTTGTGGAGATAAATTAAAAGGCACAACCAAGATTCTTCAGAGAAACAAAGGAAAAACTAGATGCCACAAGTTCAATCCATTATGAATACAAAACCATGATGATTGACGTACAAAGTCTCTTCCGAGACTTAAAACAAAAAGAAACTATGAATAAATGAAAAGGCATGCAACACTTACCAAATGTATAAGCAGTGGGAAGTCCAGACCTTTCTTGGAGGTTGTTACGGTACAAAATGGTGGTCGAGTTAATGCACTCCCAATCTGATGCCTCGTTCTTTGCAATCTCCTTCTCACTCAAAGGCCTCAACCTCACCAAAACCAAAATTTTCTCTTCTCCTTCACCCATTATACCTTGCAGCTTCTCACTATTCATCAATTCTTCAGCACCAATCGGCCCCATTTGTTATCCCCCTTTCCTTTCACTTCGATTCACTACTGCATTGGATATGAAAATGCCAATAGAATGAGCACTAGAAAATTAGTAAATGGCTTGCTAACCGAACTAGCATGTGAGTTGGAATATTTGTGCCTCCTAAAGGAACAGAGTATGGTAGCAGTTCAGCATTCTCTGCAAGAAAGAAAACTAATTATGGGAAGGTTTAAGCAACTAACAAAATATTGATTATGCTAAAAGGGATCTAATCAGCAGTTGGTAGTGCCATAATCACCTTGCTTAACATTAGCCTTTAACCTTTCTGCCCAACAGAAACTTAGAATCCCATTCTTTTGGCACAGTCAGGTACAACACTCAATATTAGATAGCTTTACTTAATGGGGATACCAACTATGCTTCCAGACCAAGTAATTATGCTTTTTGATTAATTCCTTAATTAATTTCTTTACAGAATTTCATTTTTTAAAATGTCAGTAAGAAACATGAGTAATGGACCCCCAAAACCTGGACACAGATATATGCACATACAAGCTTATACCCAAAAAATATAAAAGTACGAGGAGAAACAACGTAAATTACTTCACATTTGTATAACATACAACAAGTATAATAACACGCCTTCTGGAGATACGTCCAATTGAACCGAGACTTACAATTAGATTTTGCACTCAATTTTCAGGGAATCATCAGGTCCTACAAGGCCGGTATGAATTGGAATCATTAGAAATTTCAGACAGTTTAAGCAATAATTTCTATAGCTCAACACGAAAACTCACAAAATCCTCCAATAAGTTCACGATCTAACCACGACACCATGAACAACTCGAATCAACAGAAAACAGCCAAAAATTATCAATTACGCGTCAAATACAGCAACATACACCCCAGCAGAAGAGCGAGCTTTCACTGTGCTAGCACAAACTCATCTTCCTCGAATCATTTAACCAGCTGAACACATTTTTCTCACGAAAACCTCAAACTAAAAGGCTCCATCGTCTCGATGAGCGGAGCTTATACCGAAAAATATAAAAGTAGTAGGAGAAACAACGTAAATTACTTCAAATTTGTATAACATACATCAAGTATAATAACACGCCTTCTGGAGATACTTCCCATTGATTCGAGACTTACAATTAGATTTTGCTCTCAATTTTCAGGGAATCATCAGGCCCTACGAGGCCGGAATGGATTGGAATCGTTAGAAATTCCAGATAGCTTAAGCAAATAATTTCTATAGCTCAACACGAAAACTCACAAAAACCTCCGATAAGTTCACGATCTAACCATGACACCATGAACAACTCGAATCAACAGCAAAATATCCAAAAATTTTGAATTACGCGAGAGCTAGTTTTCACTGCAAGAGCACAAATTCATTTTCCATGAATCATTTAACCAGCTGAACACATTTTTCTCACGAAAAGCTCAAACAATAAACCGACGATCGAGCTCTCCTTAGTCTATAGAGTCAATAAAATTTATCAAAACCAATACAGAAGCAGACGATAAAACTGCAAAAATGACGAAAAAAAAAATGCAAAAAAATCCGCCAAAAGTCCTTACACTCGCACCAAGTCAAAAACGCCAGCTGAAGCTAACAATCGTAAAGCAAAATGAACCTAAATTCATGAACCAGTAGCTCTCACCTTCTCCTTCCTTCCTCTCTCTCTCTCTCTCTCTCTAACACACACACACGCAGTGGCACCGTTACACGGTGGGGAGTGGGACTGGAGGTGGGAAACGTGAAGATGATCAACAAAGTGAACGTTATAATTGTTGCTCATCCGGTGAATAGAAAATGACGACTGTACCCTCGTTTTGTTTTGAAAAGCCTTGAGAGAATCACTTGCCCACGTGAGCGTCGACCGTGTGTTAATAGGAGGTAGACATGGCCACGGGTTGGCCCGACCCGCGAACCGACCAGAAACCGGTCCTGGACCGGCCCGCCCTAGCCGTTTTTTGAACCGGCCATAATCCCCTAAGGGCTTAAGGGTCATGTGGTACTCATTTTGACCCGCCGGGCCGGGTCTGGATTTTCTGACGGGCTATAGTACAATTTTTTTTTTCTTTTTTTTTTTTAACCGCCAGTTTACTGAACCGTCGGGCCAGGCCGGTTCAATAAACCGGCCCTTAGATATAAGCGGGCCGGTCACGAGCCTAAGTTTTGAGACCCGCCGACTCGCCGGGCCGGGTCATGGCCCGTTGACTGGTCACCTCTAATAGGAGGCGAAGGAAAAGTTAATGGCGTGGGATACGGATAATTGTTGCGGTATCTAGTCTAGCATTTACACACAAATACCCTTTGTACAAATTTTCTTATTGATTTCTAATTATAAATTAAAAAAAAAATAGAATTTCAATGCACATGCAAAGATTTCTAAAATAATATAAATTATGGGAAATAATATCACATTGTAAAATATATGTATATATTATATGTATGTATATATTATTAAAATAAAATAGATAATAATATCACGTTTTAAAAAGTTTGTAGTTAGTAAAAATTAACAATGTAAAAGTATTCAACTTTATCACTATATTGATTGTATAAAATAAAATGAATAATGTATAGTTTTTATAAATTTGAGGGATCATGACCTATTAATTATCTTAAAAATTCTAATTATAATTATAGTTATTATTTATGAAATTTTAAGAGATTTAGTTATACCATTAAAGCCAATTAGCTTATTAAAAAAATACTTAAGATAAATAAATACTTTAAGAAAAAATTTACAATATAATTTTCAATAAGTAAATATATTTGTTTATACTTATTGAACTTTCAATAAGTAAAAATTTTCAATATAATTTTCAATAAGTAATTTTCAATAAGAAAAAATTTACAATATAATTTACAATATAAGCCAATATATTTTTTTTGAGTAACTAATTTAGTGCATCTATTTCAAATTTTGTCTTGAAAGATTAATGGATGACATAGGTAATGTGGATTGGTATCTGAATTGTAGCTTCTTTCATTCAATCATGCAATAACAGGGTTCAGAAAAAGAAACATTCAGTCCCTTTATATCAGCAACAAAACATCCATTTGTAGAAAGCACATTCATGGAAATGGTAGAGAGAGGAGAGAGAGAGAGCCACACGACAGGCCATGGAAAAACCTAAAACTTGCACCATTTTTCATACAAACAATAGAGAGAGAAAGAGAAAATGTTAATCCTGGTTACAAACCATAAATTTTGAGGCGTACACGCAAAAACCCTAATTTAGCCAAACACTGCCTTAAGAGGTGGACCCCACCACCTCCGATATGATCATCACACAGACTCAATCATCATCATCATCATATCCCAGGTGCCGAGATCAACCGTCTCGTGATATATCGTGATATGTGGTATTTAAGGAGTTTTACCTTAAATATCTCGAAAGATTAGAGGCATAACTCAAGAAATACCAATGTCTAAAAGTTAAAAATACCAAACTAACCCTAAAGCATAAAATTCCTAGCTAGCGCTTATGATGACGGTGGGCTTCCCGATATCCACGTAATCCAACTGCGGTCAGCTGACCGGACTGCCCGGAGCCGTCCCTCGCTGGCCAGAAAGTCACCGGAAGGTACTCATCGCTGTCACAGTCGAAAATGGACTGTGAGAAATGGTTCACTAGCGCCTCCTTTCCCTAAGTGAAATATTGGAGAAAAATAAATGGATTTATAGATGATGATAAATAGTTAGATAAAACATTTCTTTTCAAGCTGCAATTTATACACAAATCAATAAACCTTACATTCTATAATTTTTTTCCTAGTGAAATAAAAACACTTAAATTTTAAAGTGTATTCATAAACTTAACCATAATCTCCGCAAAAATACAGTGTACTGTGAATATTGTAATCATTTGCAAAAAAAGGACATATATATATTATATTAGTCAAGATGTACTAGTATTCAGACATTACCAACATTTGTAAAATTCAAATTGCATTTTAACTAAATAAAATACAGTATATTGCAAATTTGAAAAACAGTAAAGAGCAATTGGAATTGAGTTTTTTTTAACTTAAATTCACTTAATCAATCATTTACACATTTTTAAGTTGAAATATAATTCAAACTTAACTCATTAACTCTCTTTAAATATTATCAATATAATTAAATAATATAAATCTATCACTATTACACATTACATAAGTTTTAATTCACTATTCGTTCACTCATATCTCACATAATTTTAACTACTCATCATCACTTTCAATCACTCATTTTATATTTTCACATCAAATTAACTTTTATCATTATATTTTAAATTTATTTAAAAACACTCAAAATGTCACTTAATCATCCAATTAATCAATTATATACAAAATAACTCACTTTTTATCCACTAAAAATCAAAACAAAACCAAAATAAGCCAATTTCAATAACCACATATATAAATAAGACAATGTAGATTGTAAAATAAAACTTGTAAAATAAATAAGACAAATTAAAAAGTTTCAAGTAAATGATTTTTTGTGAATCCTCTATCCCAAAAAACTGTTCTAATGAGCTTTTTCTAAATTAGAGTTTTGAGCCCAAAAAGTTTATTAAATAAGTTATTTACCAAACAAGCTAGCGGATTTCACAAATCAAACCTCTCAATTAAGTTCAATCCACTAATTTATCTTCAATCTGCTATCTACCAAACGGGTTAATTAGATATATTAATTATTTTGTGAACCTGTATTTTGGCCGTGACAACCTCAATCTTTTTTGTCCACCTTGTTTGCTCAATAAAATCCCAATTTTTGAGGTGAAAAGCTTGATAGAACCTCCAAACTGCACTAGCACTTGTGAAGTTGACAAATGCAAAGCCTCTGCTCTTTTTCGTACTGATAATTACGAAAAAATTAATAAGAAATAAGAAAAATCGAAAAGACACTTAATCATTACTACTTTTTTTTTTGGAAATTAGCAAAAACCTAACAATCATTACATTACCCAAAGCAAGCAAAATCTATCAGCCATCACTATCGAGATACGAACCCTAGCTAGCTAAGTTTCAGAAATATTATTACTATAATGACTTGTGAGAGAGGTTATAGTATATCTTTTTTATTACTTTTTATATTTCTTTTTCTTAATTTACCTAAAATCAATCGGCAAGTACAGAAAGTCGTAGGCGGTGATTGTGCTGCTTTCCTCGGATGTTCCCTTATTTTTTGCCTTGGCATTTTCCATCAAGCAAAAATGGTCCATGAGATTTATAAGCTCTTTTCTTCTGCAAACAAATAGAGTATATAAAAAATAAAATTAAACAAAAAAGTAGTATAACTCGACCATGAAGAACCTCGTGCTAGTAAACAAGCCGAACAGAACTCAAGTTCAAATAATATGATAATCGTGTTTAAAGTTGACTCGTTTATTTAACAATATTTACGAGCCAAAGAATTAAGAATTATATAAAAAATTCTAATTTCGAGCCTAAGCTGAGTTCGTCGACTCAGCTAACTAAACGAACTCATTCGAGCTAATAAACGAGAAGAATTGAACTCACAAGCTTCGATTACTCACAAGATAATCAAATAACAGATTTATTACAAGGAAAGTTAACGGCAACGGAAAAAATCATAAAAGAAAAGGAATTGAAACTTGAACAAAAAATATTAAAAAAATTGAAAAACAAAAGAGGCAATATATAAAAGGGTTTGAAGCAAAAATACGGGCATTCATAAGGGATATTCTTGATCATGATTGTTGTTTTGTGTTCGTCTCTTCTGAGGGGGAAAACTTGGCTCCTCTTTCCATTTTTGTGCATGGCGACCAACTTGTTTTGGTCCCCACAAGACCCGCCACGTCGGCTTCTGCCGACATCCCACAAAACCCTCCTCGGCGGCGGCGGCCGCCACCTCTGCGCGGCGGGGACTCTCCCCTCCGGCGGCGGCGGTGGGAGATTGGCGGTGGTGCGGTAGGGTTGTGTGTGGTGGTGGGGTGTTGGGGATATGTATGTGGGGAAGAGATGTGGTGGGAAGCGCGGCGGAGGAGGAGGCCGGAAGGCGGGTTGGGGCGGCGGGAGGAGGAAGAGCGTCGGCGGCGGAGGTGGCGGTGGCGCGTGGGGGTGACGGGTGATTCCGGGTGGTATGGGCGTGTACTCGGGGGCCAAGGGGTTGAGGGGAGTGTATTGGGGTTTGAAACTCGTCATACTGAGGGTTAATGAAGGGACAAAGAGAGAGAGAGAGTGGAGATGGATATTAAATGCTGCTAACTCATTAAAATATTAAATAGTGTGTGAAATGAATATGATAACTCTTGACGGTGGATGTATTTGATGGTAAAGTAGAGACGAGATGTGGGACATATAGTCGTGTATTTGACGGAGAATGAGACATATGTAATCGTGTTTGATAAATATTGTCTTCCTATTTTAGAAAAAAATGTAATTTTGACTTTATTAATAATTAATTAAATAAATGATGATTTAAATTTTTTGTAGATAGTTTTTTATTATTACCTTTATCTAGATAATAAATACACTACGTTTTTTCATATTCAATCTTCATTTTTTCTCAAAACATCTATATCTATCCTTATTAATGAGGGTTATTATTGACAAAAAAAAAATTCTTAATTGTTGTGCAACTTCTCAAGACGACACTTATTAAAAAAAAAGAGTATTTTTTATACATTTAATGATAGAGTATAAAAGAGAGCGACGCATATAGTCGTGTTTGGTAAATGTCTGTTTTTAGTATAAGCCTCTTTGCATTTGATGGTGATGAATTTGATGATAAAGTAGATGAGAGTGTGACACACATATGGAGTCATGTTTGGATGTAGGGAAGTGTACGAATAGGAAGGATAAACGAGACACTCTCTCAATAAAACTCACAAAACTAATAAATTCTTGTTATCAATTCACTAGTAACAACAAAGCACGAGTCTTTCATATAAGGCTCTCAAAACTAACAACCCTAACTTGCTAAACAAGAAAATATCAAAGAAATAAATACGCTCCTACTAACTAGAAATAAGGGAATAAGGAAATAATACTATTCTCCTACCAATTAGAAATAAGGAAATAAGAAAATAATAATAAAATATCATCGTTAATAAAGCTAAATACGAAGACAATCATATTTATCTAGAAACGCAATTGCGGTCTCGTCTCCATCATCCTCTCCCGGTTGAGAATATTCAGCCACGAATTCGACTCGGTTTCATCTCCATCGGAGTCGTACGAATGGCAGGAATCGTCCAGCGGTTTTCCCTGTCGAATACGAACGTTGAATGTCGCATTTATTTGCAACGCCGCAACAAATTCTCGTGGGAGAAAAGTTCGGGCCTGCGCAACAGATAAACTACCAATGCTTCCAGAACCTTCTCCACGTCCTCAAGGGTACCAACATCGTAAAACTCGACATCAATCTCGGTGGGTCTAATAATGCCCGAAACAAACGATTTCTCGTAAGAATCCACAAGAGCCGCTGCATTTCTTAACTTTGCAAATTGTCGAGCAAAGCCAAAAACTTGCGAGGCCACGAAAAGATTATCACAGGTCATCAAGATGACTCGCATTGCGTCGCATATGCTCAGGATACTTCGTTTCTCCATGTTCATAATATCCACATCAGTCAGAGGCTCCATACAGAATTCCTCCAGCCCCGGCGACTCCTCATCAAAAATCGGCGGACCGTCGTAGAAACTGATCATGTCGGGGTCGTCGGACTCCTCGACGAACAATAGACACTGCTGCTTCTCGCCCATGAAACCCCAGTCGCGCCATTGTTATCCGCCCGTGAAACCATCCCACTTTTGGTACCAACCGCGCCGCTACAGCTCGTCATCAAAGCCGTCGGTCTCGCGGTCGTGGTCCCAAACGCGGCGCTGCCGCTCGATTCCAGCGAAGGCGGTTTCCTCGCGCTCAGCCCACCCGTCGCGGCGATGGCGATTGTCGTCAGCAAAGGCCACACCACCGCGGTCAGGCCCTCGTCGCGACGCTGTCGATCGCCGACAGCAAACCCCGCGCCCTGTCGCCGCACATCTTGGCCGCCGTATGCAGCAAAGGGCACATTGTTGACGTGAAGAGGAGACCACTCACCGAATGGATTCACCTCCTTGATGGGCTCCTCGCCATCTTCCTCGCTAGGCGGCGGTTGTGGTGATCTCCGGCGGGGCGCCCCGCCCAGACCACGACCTCCACGTCCGCCGCGAGTTCCCCTGAGCACGCCTCGGTTGCCGGCGTCACGGTACGTTTGCTTGTCCCGAACCATGGTACAGATTGGTAGACGTATGTCCTCGATCTCCGCGGACAAATCCGCAATCTGACGACCCATCTTCTCGAGCCGGCGGCTAAACCACTCGGTCCGGTGGCTCAGGTTGTAGCTAGCGACGACACGTCTGTCGTTTGCAGCATCTTGTCTTCGCGACAGCATTGTCAATCGTACTGACTTCTAATACCAACTGATGTAGGAAAACGTAAGAATGGGAAGGATAAACGAGATACTCTCACAGTAAAACTCACAAAACTCAATCAATTCTTATTATCAATTCACCAGTAACAATAAAGCAGGAGAATCCTTTATATAAGATTCTCAAAACTAAAAATCCTAACTTGCTAAACATGAAAATATCAAATAAATAAATATTCTCCTACCAACTAGAAATAACAGAATAAGGAAATAATAATATTATCCTACCAAATAGAAATAAGGAAACAAGAAAAAAAATAATAAAATACTATAATTAATAAATCTAAATACGGAAACGATCATATTTATCTCTAAATGCAATCGCGGTCTCGTCTCCATCAGTAAATGTTCTTTTTTAGTAGGATCTTCTATTCATTTGAACTTGATTACTTAATGGTAAAGTAGAGGAGAGTGACACACATATATATAGTCGTGTTTGGTAAATGTCTTTTTTTTAATTATGATTCTCTTAGTATTTGATGGTAAAGTAGAAGAGAGATTGACACATATACAGTCGTATTTGATTAATGTATTTTTGTGAATATGATTCTCTTTGCATTTGATGGTGATGTATTTAATGGTAGAGTATAGTGACCAGTATATAGTCGTGTCTAAAAAATATTTTTTTTAGTAGGATCCTCTCTGCATTTGATAGTAAAATAGAAAAGAGAGTGACACACATAAAGTCGTATTTGGTAAATGTCTTTTTTGAATATATCCTCCTTGGCGTTTAATGGTAATGCATTTGATGGTAAAGTATAAGATGGAGTAATATATATATATATATATATATAGTCGGGTTTGGTAAATTTCTTTTTTTTTTAACGAGACCCTGTCTACATTTGATCGTGATGCATTTGATAAATGTCTTTCTTCAACTTGACTTCTAACCATATTTAAGATAAAACTATTTTAACATAGTTTTTTTACATATTGAATAATATAAACCACGTGTAAATGTAAGAATTGTTGATTCTAAAAATACTATAATCAGTGAAACTAAGTACTCCTATATATTGGTACAAAATTTATTAGTGTACCATAATTCAATGGCGCTCCCTTTGGTTGTTCAGCTACGATTAAACTGAAGACACGCACTTGGTAAAGTCCTCCAACCCTCAACATTTGTAAGCGGGGATTTCAAAGCCGGACCCTACAGAAGTACAAACAGTTGACATTGTGAGATCATCACTCTCTCTAGGCTCGGTATTTATTTTATTATATTTATATCCTCTGAAAATACTCTCTTGAGGAAAAAAAAAAAGAGAGAAAAGCGTTAAGCCAATCGAGAGATTGCGAACCGCGCAGAGTTCGTCGATCGATCGATCCATTTGCTGAAGAACTTTAGAGATCCATCAATCAATCTATTCAGGAATCAATTTCTGAAGATGTTTTTGTTTGATTGGTTCTATGGAATGCTCGCATCGCTTGGCCTGTGGCAGAAGGAGGCGAAGATCCTTTTTCTAGGGCTTGATAATGCCGGGAAAACCACTCTCCTTCACATGCTCAAAGATGAGGTATTTTCCTNTGTTTTGATCTGCAATATATTTGTTTGTTATGTTCTCATTTGTTGGCAGAGGAAATGAATCTTGCTTGCTGTGTAGCTCTTGATGTGTTCTCATTTGTTATCTTTGTATATTTGGTCCTGAGACATTTTGTGGCCTTAGAAGTGTAGGCCAACAATCTTCCAGCTGTTTTTTCTTATTTGTTGTTTTTTTCTCTTTAACCTCTTGCATTTGTGTTAATTAGTCAAGGATTGAATCTGAACCATATATGAAGTCCATTCCCCTCGTCTGGTATTGAGATGTCGACTAATGTGAGACGAGTGTTTTGAATTATTTTCCATTAACTATTTTTCTGGGTAATACAAGTTGAAGAGGTGTGATTAGCATTTTTGTTCTAACTCCTAAGACAGTAGAACTGATGTCTCACTCTATGAAATCGATAATCTTTGACTTGAGAAATTTTATCAGTTGAGCAAATTGACTGAGTTTGGAAGTGATCTGAGATTGTTAAGTTGTTGGACTTGAACAGAGATTGGTGCAGCACCAGCCAACTCAGCATCCAACTTCGGAAGAGCTGAGTATTGGGAAAATCAAGTTCAAGGCTTTTGATTTGGGAGGACATCAGATTGCACGCAGAGTGTGGAAAGATTATTATGCTAAGGTATAATCTGTGATCTTCGGCCATTATTTGCACACCTGAAATGATTTTTCAATGTGTAGTGATTCTCTCAAAAATTTGTGCCGGAGTTTATTAGTGGTTTGAATTTGATGGTTTAGACCTTGCTTTTTTATGTATCCCTGTTATATGCATAAGTCATCGCGTATTTTTTTTCTCTTTCTGTTTTTTAAGATACTATAATTGCGGATAGTTACTATATTATCTCAGTCTCGCGTTAGTTTTTCTTTTTCCAAATCAAGTCCAGGAACTGAAAATGCTCGACGTGATTCTGATATTGTAGCCTGTTCTTTAAAAGAAAATCTTATATTGGTGTTTGGCGTATTCTTCTCTGATACTTTTTATGGCATTTCTTGTCACAAATTTTATATTGTGTGAAATGTCAATAGGAGCTTAGTAGCTTACTCCTGTCACACTAAAAGTGTGCATGGTTGAGGAAGAAGGCAAAATGGCAGAGTATGGAACTAAAAAAATCTAGAAATGGAAATCGTTATGGAGTTTCTCCTTTTCCTTTTCTCCCAATTCTACCTTTATTAAGAAAGAAATCCTCTTTATATAGAGGTTACAAGTTGTGCAATTGAAAAGGAAGGAAATCTATAAGCCAATCACTTGAATAAAACAGCCTGGAAAGAAAAGAAATCTCAAATTGTATTCTTTAGAAGATGTCATAACATCCCATTGATGTCTTTAACTTGTCATTGTATGTTTTTCTTTCAGTCATTCAAGGTTTTACCATTAGTTTACTCGTTTTTTCTGTAACTCAATTAGTTATATAGTACTTTGATGCTTTATTTCTTCGCTTCCATTTATGGTTTCTTTCATCTCTGATAATACTTCCAAAAAAAAGTATGCATCATACATTATACTTCTTTTTTAAGGCAAAATTGCATTTTTAGTCCCGTTGGTTTAACACCATAGCAATTTTAGTCATAAGGTTTCAACATTTTGCTTTTTGGTCACGTGATTTAATATTTTGCTGCAATTTCAGTCCTTTGAGGACTTAAATTTCAACAAATTCCCAATTTTCCAGATTCTCGATTAGCAATTTAAGTCTTGTAATCTAAAATTTGTTGCAATTTCAGTTCTGTAATTTAAAAGTTTGTTGCAATTTCGATCCTCAAAGGACTCAGATTGCTAGCTAAATATTATATCATAGGACCAAAAGTTAAAAAGTTAAAATCTTGAGACTAAAATTGCTATGACGTTAAACCAACATGACTAACTTAAAATGCATTGTTGCCTTTTTTTAATGTGTAATTAATTATTTACGGTGGTACCCAAGGTGGATGCGGTCGTTTACTTAGTTGATGCTTACGACAAGGAGAGATTTGCAGAGTCGAAGAAAGAGCTCGATGCTCTATTGTCAGACGAGTCCTTGGCTAATGTCCCGTTCTTGATATTGGGCAACAAGATTGATATCCCTTATGCTGCCTCGGAGGATGAGCTGCGTTACAACTTGGGCCTGACGGGCCTAACTACGGGCAAGGGAAAGGTTAACTTGGCCGACTCGAATGTTCGCCCGATTGAGGTTTTTATGTGTAGCATTGTTCGCAAGATGGGCTATGGTGATGGATTCAAATGGGTCTCTCAGTATATCAAGTAATAACTAATAATCGGGGTTTACATGTCGTCTTTCCCTCTTCTTNNGTTTTTTTTACACTTTTGAGTATTCTCTGTGAGATTATGGTTTATTTTCCATATTTGTTGTCTGGATTCATACAATAGCTAACTGAAAATTTTGCCTTTTTACTGCTGTTTTTGAACTTTATTTGTTGTCATGTAGTGCTTATCGACATTTCCGAAGTCGGGTATTTGTTATGTTAGTAAACTCATTTTCATTATTTTGTTGGTGAAACTGAGATGTTGGAAGCGCAGAAAACAGGAATGGACATATTTTCCTGCGGTTCCACCTATTTTTTGTTATAATTTTTAAATTATCATATGCGACTAGCTAATTTAGTTCCAACTTCCAAGTGGGCAAGAATTATAAGTAAGATCACATTCTTGTAGCTACCTGTTCAACATCTCTAATTTTCACAATTTGAATTACTGAGCATGTTTGTTTATAAAAATTTTTGGTTTTGTTTGGATTTTTTGGTTTGGTTTGGTTTGGTTAATTTTGAAAAAGGTGGCATTGTTAATTGTTAGTGGGTATATTGAAATAATATTTAAAATAAAATAATTAAAATTGATTTGCTATAAAAGTAGGAGAGAGATGGTTTGATGTGATGGTTAGTTAAAATAATGTGAGTGGATGAATAGTGAATTAAGATTGATGTTGTGGTTATTGATGATTGATTAATATTATTTAATTATATTGATAATATTGATGATAGTGGAGTTGAGTTAAAAAAAATAGTTGAGTTAAAATGTTAAGAAATTTTTTGAAAAATTTTATAAACAAACATGCTCTAATATATGCTATTTTTTTTTCTTTCCAATTTTTGAGCATATTTATTTGACGCATGATTAGTATCCATATTTATTAACTACTATCAAATACAATTTATTCAAATGATTATTTTTGCTGATTTTAAAGTACATGTTTGATTATCTGAATATAATCATTTTAGAATACAGCATTTCACATTGTAGTAAAGAACTACAAATGTTATCTTCAATGCTCCTGTTAGCATTCCTACATTTTCTTCCAAAGAGTGGTTATATATTAGTGAATAGGGGTAATGCTATACTTCAAAAATGGTATTTGCAAATTTGAAAATAAAGTACAAGTTTTTTTGGTATACAAAACCACCGAAAAAATTATAACACAAATTTGAAAATACCAACTTATATAGAACAACAACAACAAACAGATCATTTTTTGGACGAACGAAAACCACCAAATCCCATCATAGCTGCAACATCAGGATCGATCTCAGGTTCCTCCTCAGCTGCCTTCTCTTTCTGATAAATCGGTATCAAACATTAGTGATTCATAAGAGAAGGATAAAGCACGATTTATGGATTACAATTATCGATACTAACCTTCTTCCCTTTCTAAAGCACGATTTATGGATTAAAATTATCGATACTAACCTTCTTCTCTTTCTTCTTCTCTCTTCGTAGACGCTTAATTTCCTCCTCTTGTTGTTGTTGTTTAAGTATCCTTTCATCAAAATCTGTGATTCAAATAGGGAGGATTTTTGCATGTCGTTAAATCATCATCAGGAGTTGTGCCGTGATAACAGGTGATAGTTAAATTAAACCATACAATGTGTGTGCAACACGATTATTAACATCACACTAAAGATACCTCTCTTATTTATTTTGCTTTATGGTTATACTGAGTTAAAGTGTAATTGTTTCACTTGACATGTTTTAAAGATAAGTGTCTTCATTAATTTATTAAACTACTAGTATTGTATTGTTAACAGCATCTATAGTCTGTACTCAAACTTACGACAAATGACAATTAGACAAAAACAAACAATGTTCGTCGACTCCAGAAAAAAATAAAATAAAATAAAATAATGATTCGCGTATCCTTCCTTTCAATTCAAGAATGATGGATGCTTATAACAAAACTCAAGTACATTTCCACGAATATAAGTAACTATTGAATTATCACATAGGATCCTACTACGATATTGTGCATTTGAGTTTTTACATTGTTCCAATTCTACAATTGACACAAAAATAGAACTTCATAGTGGAGGCCAAAACAGAAAATGAGAATCACAATCTAAGTATGAATAAAGTTTGGGCTTCCTGATGTGTGCTCTATCTTAGATGCCAAATATTAACTCGTCACTTCTATTTGAAAACATACCTTGTTCTGTAAAGCCTCCAGTATCTTTCCGCTTCTTGAGAACCTCAAACCGCTTCTGAACCTGTGTATCAAGCAAAACCAGAAAAGAATAAATTCTTTCAGTATTCAATTAGACTGATAGCAGATGATGGCTTTTCAGCATGTGATATGCCTAGATTGCCCGCCTCTTGCAGAATATGAATGCGTAACTTGCTAAGGCATGCTGAAAATTTACAAAAATCGAAAGCATAGTGCTGCACTTCTTCTGTACATTGCAACAAATGTTAGTAAATTTGTAATAATTTGGTAAAATGGTTTTGAATTTATCAGATTACCTGTACCATTTTCACACATGAATTTATATTTGTTACATCATCTTGTATTAAAATATTATTTACTACCTTTTTGTTTATTTTTTACTATATTTAATTGGTCAATTGTATAAGAACTAAAATTTGATCAACTAAGAACATATTGAAAGCCTACCTGATCCAAGGTTGCCCTTTCAGCCCGCATAGACATACCCAAAGCTCGTTGATCTAGAAAAAGGAATTCAAAATTATATTGCAATTATATGTACCATATCCAGGGAAGGCGACCAAAATATTTAAAGAATAATGCATAATATGCACAAAAATAAGGAGTGTTACAGAGAATGGTGACATACGCTTCTTTCCATTTATGTGATCTAAGTAGTTTGCAGAATCTTTCACTACGCATTCGCAAACTGAGCAATAGTATCCGGCCTGCAGTACAATGGAGTCAAATATTATTTGCATTATTAAAAAGGGAATGGGTACTTATACAGTATTAAAATGCTGCATTATTGTAAAACAATTCAACTAACAACTAGGAGATTGGAATCAATGATTCTCGTAGGATCTTGTATTTGGTAGCTAAAACAGAAAATTAATTACGAGGCAGAAACTTTTCTTGCCATTGCAGAAACTTTCTAGCAAATGTGAATAAAAGGTGACACATACGCCTTACAACCACAAAGTGTAAGTAGGAAAGATTTTTTTTTTTCCCCAAATGCAAGGTGTATAAATTAAAGAAAAAAAAATCTACTCTTTAGACCACCAAAGGCTTATATAAAAATATAATAATATTATAATAATTGTAACCCAGTGTCCAAAGCATATTAGACATGACAAGAAAATAAAATATTAACACAAAAAAAGATTCAAATTCAAAATTCAGCATTCATTCATTCAAACATAAAACCACGTAATGACTAGAAAACAAAGCCATAGTCCAAATAATTAAGGAAAGCTTTCAGTTCGATAAATAATTCTCAGGAGATAAAAATGCCAACTAAAGAGCTAACATTTACTAACAGCTAACAATCTCTCGACAACTATGTTTCTTGCCCTAAATCTCTTGTATTATGTCTTTCTTTTGTATGCTCCTATCATCATACGCCCTTATCCTACATGAAATCAAGATGATAGTATTGATGCCTAGCTTAGGTTGGAGCTCCACTATTAGTCACCTGTCCTGCTTTCTCTTCCATATAATGACCAGATAAACTAGAAGCACCTAGTTAATGAGAAGCAATGACAGGTAAGTTCTGCTTCCACATAATCTCAAATTGAGAAGGCAGTCTGGCCAGTTACGTTCGACAGAAAAATGTATGCAAATGTTGAAAGAAAATTGCATTATAAATTCCATTTATTATTAAAAAAAAAGGCCATGCATGGAAAAGGTTACACAAAATACTTGACAAAATGGTAAGTAAAATATATGACTGAGTTGAATAAGTTGGATAGTTTGAAGTGAAAATTACTACTAAAAAAATATGACCTTATACTTCTGTCCATGGTCTATAAACAAACTCCAGTGTAGCATTGGAGAAACTTAACCCCTCCTATCTGAGCAAGCTTTGCTATTGTACCAATTTACATATGAATAATATGTGCAAACAGATCAAGCTCATAACAACCAAAGAATATAGAAAGCCGCCAGTGGTTTATACCAAAGATGACTCTTACTGCATATTCCATAGTTTCATAAATAAAGTGTTCCGAGTTCACGAGCAGTTCCTCCTTCTAAAAGGTGATTCTCGGCAGCTCATTGCATCATTTCATACACTAAGTTCTTAAGCAGTTACAATTAGAACTATGTAGCAAATTGAGGCTCAACTGAAGTTGTGGCATCTTCTGTGTTACTAATGAAACCTAAATCACATTACGACTATTTTCCAATTCAAATGCCAAAGTCATACTACATAAAAATACTGATGTTACGTATAATAATCCTAAATATTTGAAAACATTAAAAATGGTTGTTTAGGCAAAATACCTGCTGACTTAGGGGCGCTATTGGAGTCACAACCTACAGAATAAATAAATGAGATCATATGAGTCACTGAAAATAAAAACAAATAAAAAAGGAAATTGGAGATGGAAAAAATGTATGCGCTAATAAAAAGTTTGAACAGAAGAGGCCACAATTAAATGGATACTAGAAATAAATATATTCTCATTTAAAAATTGATAACCAAGTACCTTCCAGAAAAGATACGTTCTAAGATATGCTTCAGTAAGATAAAAACGAAGACCAAAAGTCATATGCATAAAAGAATAAATGAAAAATGTAACAAGCTATCCGTTCAATTCTTGAATAACACCCTGTACATTCATGTCCATTTTCACATAAACAACATTCAGCAGACAGTGGAGTCAGTATCCTGACCAAAATTAACGATTAATCGCATATAATGTTGAAGGAACCAATCATGATTAAAGTAGTACCAAATCATGCTATAACAATTGATGATTACTTAAGCAAAGAACCTTTTTATCAAGTTCTGCCATTTCAGCTCAAAGGATGAACTCTGAAGGCTATCAAAACAAAAATACTTACATCCTACCAAATAAACAAGTCTCGATATATCATATTAGAACTTTTTAACACGCATGATATTAAATCCCAAGTCTCAACACAAGAATCAAATGGATAATTAATGGATCTCAAATCCTACATTAAGAACTAGCACATCGTTCCGTAGTGGAATAGTACCACACAGGAAGTGTATCTAACAACACTATAAATCGAGAAATAGTACCACATAGGAAGTGTATCTAAACCACATAAACAAGGACTTCAAACAACACTATACATCTGGATCACTGAAAACAAAGCTAACCTGGGTCTTTCCCAAGCGTGATTCAAGGTCCACTTCATAATCCCTATGCTTCAATGGTTGCCTTTGCACTGGCGGCCCACTTGCTGCACAAAACATTACAAACCACTCAACCCAACAATTCAAAGTCAAACGTCCAAAATTCGGCACTTAGTCAAGTTACACACATCTAACCAGCATTCATAATCAACCAAGTGCTGTAACCTCGAAATTTAACAGCACCAAATTAATTTAATAACGAACAATAAACCAAATATCTTACATTTCGATTTCGCCCGACCCTCTGCCTCCTACAACAGAGTATCAAAATAAATAAACAACCACAATGAGGAAAACGCAAAAACAAAAAAAAAAAAAAAACTAATGGCAGATGAATAAATCTAGAAGCACAATGCAATTAAGTAGTATCGTGATCAGACTCTTGATTCACGATCACGAGCGCGTTGTAGATATTCTTCTCGGTCGAATTTTCTTCGAAAAGTGTTGTCAACTCCAGCAGTCTGCACATAGAAGCAGCGAAAATCAAATCGTCAGAGCTCGCCAAAACCAGACGACATAACTAACATAGATATAATGCAACGAGTTGTGCTTACACTGTTGCTGGATTGAGCCATATATGGAGCTCTTTATCTGACTTCTGAACTGAACTCGCACGAGATACTGATGAATTGCGTAGAGCTTAGGAGAAACCGGAAATTGGGAAATTAGTGCGACATTAAACCCTAAAAAATCCAATTGGATACAACTATTATTAGACAAGAAAAAAAGGGAAGCGCGATGAGTTTAAAATTGAAACCTTTATTAGCAGTACGTTTGATTTTTCATATTGGCCATTTGGCCTATTATTTATTTATTATGGTTTAGTAGACAGATAAGACAAAGAATATGTTTGCTTAATGATTAGGCCTCCTAATAGAGGACATCGCTTGTCTTGTCGAATATTAGTATTGTTAATACAAATTATAAATTAATAAATAGTATTTAAAAGATCAAATTTGATTTTAAGAACCTAATAAGAGTTACATGTAAAAAGAGAAAATATAATAGTGTGAATCCTTAGATAAATGGATGTGTTTAATGTTACAATTGTAAATGTCCAAATTTATTTTGGTAAAACTTAACCGAGCATTATGTTTGTTCGGTTTTGAGATGTGAAAATGAAACTCAAGGTTTCATTAGTTTTGTCTTAATGAAGCATTAAAGTTTCTCATCTTCATTGAATGATAGCTAGTATTATAAGCACTATATATAGTGCATGGTAGCTTATGGAAAAAACACACCAAGAGAAGAAAAGAAAAAGGAACACTTTATATATAGATATATACATATTCTCTTTCATCAGGTGAGTGTGTTAAATAGTGTGGTCTTCACACTTTGAGCCGCCGTATCCTGGGAGAAAAGGCGTAGTATTCGGTGCATCTGTTTCTTCAAGGCAAACAGATTTTTTCTGTGATTCGGCTATTCGTGTTCTATGACGATAAAGAACTGTCAGTTAAGTTGTTATTTTTTTTAGTAAATTTATTTATTTACTATAGAAATTTGGTTTCCTCTCACATTTCTGTAGTTGATGTCTGTGGTTTTTATTTACAAAATCTTAATACGTATATGTGTTGAAACTCGTTCTTAATTCGTCATTTTTATCATTATTAATTTTACAACACATAATAACAAAATAAAAATGTGAGTAAGTTCTCAAATCCAAGGGAATCAGAATCAATCGATTTAATTTTGTTTATCTTTTAAGGGTAAAGTCCACTTTTGGTCCTCCATGTTAAGGGGTATCCAGACTGAGTCCCTATTATGTTTTGGTGCCCAATTTTAGTCCTTAAAACAAAAAAATGAGTCCCTATTATGTTTTGGTGCCCAATTTTAGTCCTTAAAACAAAAAAATGTAGTCCCTATAATAGGAAAAAATCCACTTTTAGTCCTCCATGTTTAGGGGTATCCAGACTTAATCCCTATTATGTTTTGATGCCCAATTTTAGTCCATAAAACAAAAAAATGTAGTCCATTTACCTCAATTTCTGTGAATTAACGGTCCATTTTTGTTCGACTGTGATGTTCTTTATTTTTTTTAAAATTTGTTGATTAATGTCAACTTTGACCAAAGAAAAATAAAAGAAAATTTAAATGCTGAAAATATATTAATAAAAAATTAAACTAAAACAAGAAATTGCACCAAATTAAATTAAAATTTTTGCTCGTCTGATTTCTATTTCCCTAGCATTCGCGCTGCGGAGCAAGCCTGGAATCACAGCTACTGCTCTTGCACCCATTTCCGGGTCATGCCATCGAAAAAAATTGCACCTATCAACCCTCTGTTTTTTAACCATTTCTTATCATATTCCAATTGAAGTTCACAGAAAGTACTTACAGGATATAGAGGGCAACTCAAGAATCTTCTCTCGGGATTATCATCCTTCCAGCATGTAGTCAACTTTGCAACCTGCTCACATCTGCAAAATACCACACCATTTACATCCATTTGATCGGATTTAGTCTCTAGGCGGTCAGGTTTTTTTTTTCTACGTTTCACTGCAGTTCACCATTTTTGCCTTTTATTTTACCTTTTTCAGCATTTAAATTTTCTTTTATTTTTCTTTGGTCAAAGTTGACATTAGTCAACAAATTTTAAAAAAATGAAGAACATAACGGTCGAGCAAAAATGGACCGTTACTTCACATAAATTGAGGTAAAGAGACTACATTTTTTTTGTTTTAAGGACTAAAATTGGGCATCAAAACATAATAGAGATTAAGTCTGGATACCCCTAAACATGGAGGACTAAAAGTGGATTTTTCTCTATTATAAGGACTACATTTTTTTGTTTTAAGGACTAAAATTGGGCACCAAAACATAATAGGGACTCAGTCTGGATACCCCTAAACATGGAGGACCAAAACTGGACTTTCCCCATCTTTTAAATATTTACACATTTCCTTAGTTGACGGTAGGTCTTTAATTTTGTTCTTCTAAAAATTGACACTATTCTTTGGTTGATGGACAATGGTAGGTCTTATGTTAGGCTAGTCTAACCACTAGTATAATCTTCTCACACAAAAATTTGTGCTTGATTAATATTACTATTTAATTGTTGCAATTTTAGTCCATTAGTAAGCAAATGGTTGAAAATGAAGTGTTAGAAAGACTAGCCTAGAGTAACATAACCTAGCTTATAATTCAACGTGAAAATGCACGTACATTTTAATATTCGATATTGCTCCTTTAAAAGATAAATGCATCAATATAACTATACTAAATTGCTAAGCAGACTACATTTGGCCGACTCGCAGAAGGTAATGTGATATTATATGATCAAGAAAATTGAACAGATGTTGAGATAATTGTTATAAAATGAAATTATCTGATAAGACTGAAATAGAATCATATGGAGTATTGTCTTGAATGCAATCCCACCACAGTTGATTTATGCAAAACATCACAGGGGATTTAACAAACAACTGCACATAGCCAATATAGTGAAATCATCTCTGTGGGGGCAAAGGCAAACGAAGAGAACGTTAAACAGAATAAGAACGATGCTACAATTGAGTCGTGTAATGGATATTGCAAAACCTTAAGTTCAGGTTCACTCGTACATCTCTATAGTATAAATAAACAACATAAAAAGAAGCTGCTTAAATAACGTAATCTGCATCAACGTTCACGTTTTTCCCAATCCCTCGGTCAGGAAAAAGGAAGTCGATAAGTTCTCTAAGCCAAATGTTACAGTAGACTACTGCTTGAAAAAAAAAAGTATTTTTTATATCGGTCTTTTTAAATGAAATCGATATCGAAGCTCAATTATCCTCAAAACGGGTAAAACCCAATGGTGTGAACAATAGCGTGAAGTAACCACAAAATCATCAACGGCTGCAAACCTTTTCACTGTTCGGAAGCAAAGGTCGATAGAATATTCTTCTTCAAGGTGAACTCATCAGCCTTTGTTGCACTGATTGACTGCATATCAACAGCAATCATTTTAAAAAAATTGTCCAAGTTTTTCGGAGATCAAGAAATTCTCAGAAACGGAAAGCAGGTATTGTCGGTATAAAATATACAGGTTTGGAACACTTGTTATAATCTGCTCTATCCTCTTAAAATATAACTTCTATAATCGAAATGGAAAATACAGAGACAGCCTATATGATACTCAAAAGATACGGACAGCTAAATATGTGCTGTATTATAATTCGACTGATATTAACTTATATGCCATGCTCCAGTCATTGAAGAGATTTTGAGAAAATACCTAAAATTTCCAGCTAAATGCTATAACATAAAGCAGTTGGTCCGATTTAATAAAGAAAAAGTACGAATTATTAATTGAAATATTAATGTGGGAAGTTGGTGAAAAAAGCTTTCTACAATTACTCAAGCTGAGGATCAAGGACAGGGAGGACTTCAAATTTTAATTTATAATGCTCACACGGAAAAACTATGATCTGGGATAACGAATGGCTTACCTTGGCAAGCATGCGCTCCAAACGAAGAATTTCATTCTTAGCATAATCGGAACCTTTGTCAAGGCAGCTCTTAGCAGCTTTCACATAGATTTTCCCATACCTACCGAAAAGATCAGACAGATAATTTCGAAGATAAATATACCAAACTCTTCAAGTGTATAATCCAGAGGCAAGCAATATTATCATGAGTTATTATCATTGAGAGAACCTGGCAGAGGAACCATCAAGCTTATCAGCTTCCTCCTCTAATCTCTTGAATATATCTTTCTTCTCCTCATTTGTTGCACTTAAAAATTCCTTCACTAAGTTATCAGGATTCTCCACTATACCAGCCTAAGTAAACGAAAAACAAATGCAAATTAGTTGCAGAAATAGATAGAACGGGAATCACACTCACACCTTTAACTTTGCTATTATAAACCTTTGATGTCAGCTGTCCCTTCCCATCTCGGCTTGTACCAGTCTTCTCATTGATGAAAGTAACAAATGCATCCAAATCTCTACCACCATCATAATCCTCACCAGCCTTGTTGTTCTTTGGGAAGAACTTCAATGTGGGAAAACCACTAACACCATACCTGTTTTTGCATAAAATATGCATAAGGTTAACAATTATACACGGAAGACAAAAAAAAAAATCATCAGAACACAAAACCAGTTCAGGAACAAACAACTAGTCTAAAAACTCACTTCTGCGCAAGATCCTTGTGTTGGTCTGCATCAATATTCGCAACGACCACATCTTCCTCCAGCTTGAATGCTGTTGCTACTTTTTCGTAGGTCTACAAGCAGATAATATAGAGATGATTATTCACTTATTCAATCAATTTCCTCAACAAACATGTCAGCCAAATTATTCTATAAGCCAGTATGGCACTTACAGCAGCAAGATTCTTGCAGTGGCCACACCTGGAAAACCAAATTATTAGATTTAGAAGCAAGTTAAGACTAACATAACTATCTAAGATGCTCTGTGGAGCTTCTGTAAAGACTAAATGTTCTAACTAATTGCAAGACCACCGCATTGCTTAATGCAATACCATGGTCTCCGAGTTGCATAAATTACATTTTACCCTTACCAAGGAGCATAAAACTCGACTAGAACGTTCTTTTTTTCATCCAGCACGATCTCATCAAAGTTATCTGGAGTCAGGACCACAACGTTTGAAGGGGCGGAAGCAATCTTCACATTTGTCCCTGAAGATATACAAGCGAAGGGACCAAGAAGAGACTACGTAAGGATGTGTTCTAGGAGAAGACACTAGAAAACTACACAGGGCAAAATTAATTGCCCCAGGCAAGAGGTTTGCATTTAATTCCCTTCGTGCAAATGTTATCCACGAGTGGAAAATATTTCATGCAAAAATAATGATTAGCAGATTTGTTGCTATCAATTCTTAGCACATTCCAAATCGGATGTAATTTAACGATACACCCAACCTTAGTAATAAATAAAGAAAGATAACATAGACCAAACAAACTTTTACCTACTGCAATGTTCCATACACTCTACTGTAGTAATAATAATTAATACGAGATAGAAAATGTACCTCCTTCATTGTTCACGAATTCGGCAAGAGCTTCTGCAGTCCTTGCACCTTCATACCTAATACATTAATAACCTAATCATTAGGGATTTAGTTGGCCCGAGAATTGAGTGATCACCAAGGATATATTGCAACATAACGTCAGGTATTGTGGTCTGAAAGAGTGAAACTCACTTTTTTGGCTCCAGGGATTCCTTAGGGAACCACTTTATGGTGGGATATCCAGAAACATCATACTTACTACAGAGGCTCTTTTGGTCATCACAATCAACCTACAGTAGAAAAGAATCTCATATACTTTATTTTGCCACCTTTAAAGAATTCTTACAATCTCAACAAGAATTAATACCTTTCGATCAAAATTTTAGTTTGATCAACCAAATATATTTTCCAGAATACTACGATATATAATAAACAAAAATCACATTGCATATAAAACTTCCAATTACAATCTTCAACAACAAAAGGTGTTTTAAATTTTCTCACTTGATTGTTCTTCAAGCATCATATAGCTTCGCATTTATACACATGAACAAACTTGTCCAATTATCAAGAAACAAATGGTAATGAATTGTAAATAGAAAGAAAAGAAAACAAAAACTGATCATTTTTCGTGACAGTTCCGACACTTCAGCAATTTTTCACTATTGAATTTATATTATTGCATTAAAGTTTGAGAGTATAAGTACCTATAGTCAGTATTTTCATAAAAGTCCATTACTCTTGAAAAAGAAACAATAATGATTGTGCAACATACGAGTATGTTTGGAAAAAGCTTAAAAAAACTCTTATTCTACTTATAGTATAGTGGTGTTTGGAAAATTATCTTAAAGCTTAAAGAAAGATTTTATCATTGTACACTACCTCACATTGTGTTACATTCAATAAGCTTCCAGCTAGTAGCTTATCAGACTTTCAGCTATCAAATAGCTTTTTTCAATTTCTGAACAGATGCAATTTAGTGAGAAACCATTAAAATTAAAGAGCCGAATTCGGAAAGGGATATACTATTCGGTTGAGCTTAGTGTGAAATAAGATCTGTGCCCGAGGAAGACAGCAAATCCATCTATTGCTCAACTAAAATTGAACATGAGCTTCCAACTTCATCCTATTGAGAGGAAAAAATGGTCAAAGAATCTTACTACAACTGAGCGTAAGGGGATCAGACAAAAACCAAAATATAATTTGATTATTACTTAGGAGGTCCAAAATCATATTTCAGTTTCTGCCCTCTTCTACAAAGAAGAAAAAAGAAAAAGACTGATGGTTCATTTTTCAATAGAAGCACCAAAATATTAGTACATACAGAATATTTTGACAGAATCGGAACGATAAAAACTCTGCGAGAAATTAGTGCATTAAACGGTCAAAGCAAGTTCTGTGAGGAAGTTTTGACAGATATGACCCGTAAAACTCATTAAGACTAGCCTGTTCCACAATTTTTGGCACAAACACTGACTCCAAAGCATGTACAGTGCATTTATAAAAACTATAGAGCTCTTACCTTGCCAATCAGAACAGATTTTGCTTTCTTAAAGCTTTCTCCGAGCTTTTCATACTCTGGAGCAAGCTTTTTGCAATGTCCACACCTGCACAAGACAGATCATCACATCATAAATTTTAAACAAAAGAACTGTAGTTACAGATAGCAACTGCCACACATGATTCAACTTCAATGACTCCATCAATCACTAATTCCAAGCTTTTCTCAAAAACTCCTCAAATAAACGAACATGGAAATGATAAAATCTTTTTATTCTGTGATCAGAAGAACTCTCAAACAAATAATCAGATTCATATTAACAAAAACGCGCTCTAAACTCACAGACCAACTACGGTAGCAATTAATAATACCACACAAAAAACTACAACCACATTACTTTCATACACAGAGAACAAACAGAAAATGCGAAGAACAGAAGCTTGATCGGAAAAGGTTAAAAAAAAAGGAAAAATATCAAATCAACCAAAAACCCATACCAAGGAGCGTAGAACTCAACGAGAGCTCCGCGATCGCGACCGACCTCTTTCTCGAAATTCTCCTCCGTCAGCACAACGACGTCGTCGGCAAACGCTGATGCGATAAATAACAGCGTTAGGGCGGCGCCGGCGACCAAGCAGATCCGATAATGTGAAGACGACGGCATTTTAGGCTGAGGCAATCTCTCGAAGAAGATACGACCAACAGAGTTTTGAAGTGATACTTTCAGTAGGTGTTCCACACTTCCGCTTCGTTTTTTATAGTTGCAGCCTTGCAGGTTCTCACCTTTTAGATATTTCACAATTCTTTTTTTATTATTGTATGATTGATTTTTTTTTTCTTATATATATATATTTTACTATTTCGTAAAGGTGACGCTTTTTCTTTATTTTATACCATAATTGGAACAATTATTCATTTTATTTACTTTATTGAAGTACTTAAATTAAACGGCGTTTTGATGGTTTGGCTGACTCGTTTCATCTCGAACTCGTAGAGTTTATAGGTTAGAAAATGGGATTTTAAACGAGTCGTGTTTAAACTCGTTTAAAACTCGCTAGACTTGAAATATAAAAGTTCATAAGTAAATTTTTAAATTACTCAGAAGTTAATAATATTTTTAATTGTCATCAGGTTTTCAATATATCAAATTAATCATTTCTAGATGTGTTTCGATCCACACTGTACAAATAAAATGAATAATTATATTTACGTTATAATAAAACTAATTTTATCTATTAATTTTATATAACATTATATTTAATTTTTTAACTAGCACGATTGATTAGTATGAGTAGAATTTAAAAAGTCTAAGAAAAAGTAAAGAATTTTGTGCAATAGATATGTGTCAATGTGACATGGTCCAGCCTATATTCTATACAGCCATGTGTACGATCAAACTACCGATGTCCATTTTCAAATCCATATGAAAAGTCACGCTGCTAAAATATTCCTTTCACCGGGAAGAGTTAATTAAACAAAAAAAAAAATAATCATGTTTGAATCTTTTTGTCGTAACATTTTTCTATTAAAAATACATATTTATGTTATAAATATCATATTTTTATTTATTTAAATATGATAAGAATTTAAAAAAGTATGCAAATATATTAATTAAAGTGTGATTGTCTGATATAAAATTATGGTTGTTCGTGGTTGTTGTATAGATAATTCCTCTAAATTTCTACTATGTGATATTTAACTAGTTTTTTATCTATTAATTCATATTAAGTATTATATTTTATGATTATGTGTTGGAAATGTATTGTCTCGCACACTTAATTTATTGTTTGATAAATATTGATTTTGAATATAGATAGTTTATTTATTGTTAGAAGCATGACATAGATAAATGTCTGTATTTAAGTGTTATTGTTCTTAGAAAAATAATTATACACATTAATATTTAATGAAGTAGTTACTTGTTGCTTGTATTGTTGATCTCTTTATTTTTCACACTATTACTAGGGTATTATATACATGTTCACTGCTGCAAAGATAATTCCACACGATGTTGAGAATTATCGTGTAATAAGAATAAGAATTGTATACAATTTGCACCGAAAAAAAAAAAGAATTGTATACAATGATTTACTTTTACGTAACTAATACAGAAAATAGAATTCTTTATTCAACGATAATTCGTATTTGTGAACTAATAATATGTGTATCGAGTATGTGTATCGAGGACAATAAAATATTTCAAGATGGAAAGCAATTTAATCGTATAATTTTTATCACGTATTCATCTTTGTATAAAATTTTTTTATTTAAAATTAATTTATTAGTACTTTTCTCCCATTTTAGGAAAATTCTAAGGTCCCGTTACGGGATAGTACTGTCAGTGTTTTTCACCATTTGATACACATATATATAATCTTGTGTGAATAATATACGGTAACCAATACTGACGGAACCTTTCCGCCAACGGGAATGTAGTAGTTCCCCTATTTTAGTTACACAATGTTGATATAAAACCAACTGGTTGGTTCCCTTATGGAACCACTGGTTGGTTCCCTTATGGAACCAGGTGTTGGTTCATAAGGGAATCAACCAGTTGGTTTTATAGCAACATTGGTTAACTACATAGTTGAGAGTAATTTAATTAAATCATCTGACATGTCTTACGTTCTAATCACAAGAAAGTTACTATATATGTAGTGCAATTGATTGAATATACCAAATTACCACAAAACCAAAAATTTTAACTCTTAAGAACTACCCCAACATAAGATAAGCTTTCATTATCGACTAACCCATACTTCCGCTCAACATTTGGCCCATATTTTCTTACAAACCTCTTAAAAAACGCATAATATATCTAACAATAATCTCCAAATCTCAAAATTGTAATAACAACTTACAAGACAGTACAACTTAAATACCATGACAACATTGCAAAATGGAGAAAAATCCAAGAAACCACCACCCCAACAAAAGCCAGGGTATAACCAAACCTTTTGGGAGACCCAAAATCACCCAGCCCCCATTGAANCAGTTTCTAATGATACAAGATCACTCGAGAAAAATAAAATAAAAATTAGTTAAAGCTGAAACCACCACTCGGGAGAGACACTTCACTCCCTCCGAACTGGAAACCCTGGCCCTCAGGTGGGGCCGGCTCGTCATCTTCCTCCAACCAGTAAGTTTCTAGAATCTTCACAGCCTTTTCGTATATCTCATTATTGTCGTGACTCTGAAGGTTCTCGATTTTCTCGAGCCCTTCAGCATCATCGATCATCTGAGCGTAGAGATTGACATCCCCTGTGTGGCCCAAATTCTTCTCAGCCTCACCAACTTTCAGTATATTCTCAAGCCCCTCTAAGCACACGGTCACAATCCTTGGGTCTGGGCACACGAGCAAGTCGCAAAGGGGCTTGATACATTGTTGGCTCACGAGGTACCTGTATTATTATTATTATTTTTTATTTTTTGGAGAACAGAAACGGATATCGTTGTTATACACTTCGCAGTTGATGTGAATGAAAAGTTTTTTTCGGGAAATATACACGACTCACTGATTTTTATTTTCTTCCACCTCATAAATCTTAAAATTTTTTGAAAGAAATAATTGTTAACACAATTCCCAATGTTCAATAATTATAATCACAATTTGACTATACATTATCATTAAGTTTAGTTGTTATCTACCGACATTTTTGAAGGTTCATCATTTTTTCCTTCAAAAAAATTCTCTACTACTATTCTCCAGTGGAAAGAAAATAAAAAACAACTCACTTGATATGGTCGTGAGCGCCACCAGATGTTGCGTTGGATATGGCCCAAGCAGCCTCCTTTTTCACGTCAAATTCGGCATTCTGAAGTAATTGAACTAACGGGCCAATTAAGTTGGCCTCAATGACAGCCTGCATTCCAACAATTTAAAAAAAATAAACAAAAAAAAATAAAAATTGAGTAATATACTTGACAGGAAAATATATCAAGTGAAGTCAAGGCCGTGTTTTCAGCATTCTCATATTAACCTGAATTTGGTTCCTGTTTCCAGCTGTGATATTGGAAATAGTCCAGCAGGCTTCCTTTTTAATGCTCTTTTTATGAGATTCGCTCAAGAGTTTTAGGAGGCAAGGTAGTGCATTACAGCTGATGATATACTGGAAACAATCGTAGAAATTCCATGTGAAAAGGTTACAACCCCATTTTAAAAGACACAAACAAGCAAACGCATAACAGCAAGATTGAGGATCCATGATGGACTCTAATGCATATGTATATACTATATAATCTAAAACATGACTCAAAAGCAGGTTGTAATGTAATCTAAAACATGACTGAGAAGGCAGGTTGTTATTTGTTAAAACATTGTCTCCAAAGAAAATTAAAAACTGGCTGAGCAGAAGGGATTGCCAAAGCTTTAAGATGCCAAATACAGTTAACTGATGCAGGAAAACAAACATTCGTATTAGTTATCACATACAAACTGTATTTAAAAATCCTGAAATAAAGGAATCACAATTGTAGGGTACATGTTCCTACTATCATTAACAGCAACTCCCAATCATCTTGTGCAAAGGAGAAGCTTCAATGAACTCTCGTTCTAGAATGCAGACATTCTAACGAAAAAATAGACAATACACCTCAAAGTAAATGATCGATCAGGCATTAATGAAAAAGAGTAACTAATAAGATCAATAAAATGAATTGATCTATTTAATAATTTAATCTATATGTAGTGCTCATAGCTGAATCAATCAATCCCAAAGATATTAAAGAAATATATTATTGGCTTATAAGCTTCAAGATACCACTCGCAACAATAGCTTTTTCTGAGATATTAAACTCTTAAAATTTGTTTGGGTATCCATCCACTTTCCTACGAAAGAGACAGTCTCTTAATCATCTTGTCATTTAACCATATTACAAAAAGTTAATTACAGAAACGATAATACAAAACAGTAACACATAAAAAAGGATGATATGAGCAATGACACCCCTTATCATACCTGAGTTTGTATATCATCTCCAGTGACAATATTTCCAACCGTCCGAAGGGCTGGAATAAGAACGGATGGTGATGGATGACTGCAATAGAACATTGCCTAACAAATCAGTCACATAAGAAAGAAAGAAAGAAAGAAACATAATAAGAAGTGTAATGGATAACATTAATAGATATACTCACAGCAACAACTCGACTAAGCGGGGACATACTCCAGAGTCAATCACAGCTTGAATTTTGTCATTGGTTCCATCAGACAGATACGAAAGTGCCCAACATGCATCAGTCAAAACTTCTTCATCACTCGAGTGAATAAGTTGCTGGAGAATTGGAAGTGCGGGCCTAGTCTGTATGCAAAGATAATAATTATCACTAAACAAATAATGATGATTCAAAATCATATTGTCTGCAATTCTCATATTATATCACATTTGTTTGCAATCATAATGTTTATGGAGATATGTAGAGTCGAAGGAGCATCTAGTCAAATGAATGAATCGTGGGGGCTTCTTTCAAACCATTAGAAAAATAAAAATTTTGGGCCAACAGGTGTTCATTTCAAGTAAGAACTCACTTGGATTTATAAAGAACAGACTTTATTCTGAGTGTAAATTCTAGCTAATTAACTCATACCAGATCTTGTAAATTACCATTTGAAACTTGAAAAATCTGAATTAAATCACATAAACGATTATACCCAGCAATATTCTGAATAGATAAAACTAATATGTTAGAAAGTGATACTGAATTATGAGATGTAATGCCCGTGAGCTATATAAAAAAATCTTTGATTGGTTATTTATAATAAAACATTGAGTAACCCATACTAAAGTTCATGGACAATGGTTCCTTTCTGCGTCAACTAAACCATTCTCATGCACATTGCCACATTGTAAGATATAGAACAGCTAGCTTAACAAGCCTAAAACAAACCTGCTCGAACATAGGCTGTGGCTTGCCTCTGCAGAAGTTAGACAGTGTCCAAGTAGCATTTCTGAGCATAGACAGTTTGGCATGTTCGTTCAACTGAGCTAGCAAAGGACCCAAGGCTCCATGACCAAGCACAAGGTCACGACATTTTGGGGAATCACCAGCCACATTTCCCAAAGCCCATACAGCCTAAATCATAAAATAGAACAGCCAGAGAATGATTATTCATATTCAAAAGTATCCAAGTTTTATCTAAATATGTGTTGGCAGGAAGGTTAATCAGCATAAAATGCTCCAGAAGCAAAACAGAATAACTCTTGAACATAATAAACATACCTGTTCACGAACATCATCACTTGGAGAACCAAGAAGCTTCACAAATACTGGGACAGCTCCATGATCGATTACTACCTTAGTGTGCTCAGATGTGCCAGAAGCAATATTAGTCAGAGCCCAAGCTGCCTCAAACTGCATTAACATTTAGAAACTAAAGCTACAAGACATTTTATTTTAAAACATAAAGGAAAGAGAACACTAATAGGCTCAGAAGCAGATTTTAAACGACAAAAAGTTGATTTACACCAAGACCTGAAGTTGTGGGAAGTCCTCTCTCATCAAAAATTCAACAAAACGGGGGACGACACCTGCTTGAATCACCTCCTGAATTGGCGGACTGCGCTCTGCCGAAATCAATTTTAGATTATAAGGAATTGATAATAATAACTAAGTTGAAGCAGAAACAGTTATTTCTATAACCCAATTTATTTAGAACACAAATAATCACCGATAGAAAGTAATTTCCGGAACTGGGTTGTTGCCTCAAGCTGCCTGCTGGCATCATCTGTCCAAACACTAGCAACCATTGATGGTAGATTCTCTAACTGCACCTACAAAAATAGACAAAACCATCAATATAGCTAAAATACTAATATAATTAACAATACCCGTGTGTTCTAATCAACACTCTACTCAAAATTTTCAAACCAAATGCAGAAGAATAGTGTATTCTACAAAAGCGAGAGGCATCACATTCAGAATTAGTTCCAAATGCAGCAAAATACGGATCAGTGAGAGTAGGAAGGCACTAATCATTTCTTGCCTTTACTGAAAATAATTAGAATAACTCTGTATGAACAAAGGAAATCCAATCCGATCCATACAATCAGTTGAACCCAAAACCATACCCTAGCATGCAAAATGAATATTAAAAACTTCGACCATCTGATTCCAATTTCAGGTCCACATATATATTCACCAAAAGCAAAATCCAACAAACGAAAAACACTACATGGACAACAAACAAATGCTCATCTACCTTCTTCTCGATGCCGGTGGTGGCTTCGACAGGGACAGCAAACTGCTGGATACCCTCGCGGCGCTTCTTCTGGAGATTCTCCTCACGGCGGTTCTTTCGAATCTCGACCATGTTGTCCTCCCTCCGCCGCCGCCCCTCCTCGGCGTCCACGGCCACCTTGTAGCGGTTTCGGCGGACCTCGGCGCGGGCGTTAGGTCTCAGCGACATTGTAAAAGCTTTTGTATATCGGCCAAGAAAAATGTTGGGAGTGATACGAAGGCGAGGGATTTATACAGGGTTTATATAGTGTGCAAATTGGGAAACGAGGTTTGGGTAAAATAGGCCATGAATCAACGAGTATTTACGGTTTTGGGACTTCTGGAAGTTTGAATTTGAAATTTGAATACGTTGTCCTTTGGCCTCTTTTGTAACTACACTTTCGACTAAAAGAGAGAAGGTAATTTAAGGGATACTAAATGACTTGTCAACAAAAAGTGAAAAAAATAAAATTCTTATTGTGAATTAAAAAACTATAAATAATTAATAAGAAAATATATTTTTAATATTATTTTCAATTTTTTATAAAATATTTTTATGAAGTATTATTTATTTTATTTAATATATATTTATTTTTGTCCAAATTAAATAGATTAATTAATTTATTCGACAGTTAAAAACGCATGTGAATATCACGATCGTTTGAAAGTTAAATATTTCTATCAAAATAAAGAAGTGAATAAATATATATTCTTATAGTAGAATGATAATAATTAAATATACAACTAATAATTAAAAAATAACAAAAGTAATAATTTAAAATAATATTCTTATTTTATACTCATTTTGTTAAAAAAGATAATTTCTTAACCACACACACATACGCACATGCGCGCACACACACACACATATATATACAACTCAATAATTTAATTTTTAATTAATTTTTTTTTTTAATTTGATTATATTGTAATTATACTTTATATTTATACAGTTTTCCTCCCTGATTTAATATTTTTTAAAATATCTTCAACTTTATAGTATTCAACAATTTAAAATATAATTGTATGAATATAATATTTTTAACTTTATGAAATAAACTAATTGTTTTTATAATTTTAAATATAAGGTTTATTTACTTTTTTTTCACGATCATAATGTTTCGGTGTAATCTTGAAAAATAATTTGTATACAGTAATAAATTCGAACAATAAGGTAACCAACAAAAAATCTAGAAAATTGCGATAATATATATATATGTGTGTGTGTGTGTGTGTGTGTTAAATATATAAGATAATTTATTGTGTAGTCCAGATTTGATTTTCAAATTTAAAAATCAAATAAGTAATTATTCATAACTTACGGGTCAATATTAATTTGAATGTATATAAAAATAATAATCATTTATAGTTTAATAAATTACTCAATTACTTAAATTGTTTGATTTGGATAGTTTATATGAAAATAAATTCATTTTAATCAATAAGACTATATAAGTTTTATAATACTACTTATTGTTCATATAGATTTTTAAATATATGATAAAATTCTATCAAAATATTTATTTTATGTAATCACATCGTAGTCAAATCGAATTTCTTAATAAAAATTTAAAATTACACTTATTTTGAAATGAATATAACGTAATTTATTGTGTATCAATTTCAAGTAGACATTTTTATGTAATTTTACACAATTTAATTTTCATATAACATTTTTAATAAATTAATATAGGTAAATTGTATTACATATTAATTACATATTTTTAAATGATAAATATTTAAATTTATAAATATTAATAAATATATTTTACACGTGCATCACACGAGATTCGTATCAATTATGGAAAAATGCAAACTAGTTTTTTATAAATAGTTGCGCATAATAAAGAGTTTACATGAAACACAAATATGCTAAGTGGATGATTACGCATATTCTTTATATTTCAATTTAAAATATAAAGATTGCCTCAATTACTAAATCCCGTCAATGGAAAAAATTATCATAGTTGATTGCAATTTATAATTCTAATACTAGTACAGAGTCCGTGCGATGCACGGGGTGCACATACATGAATAAAGAAAAATATACGGAATATATATAGTACGTGACCCGCGAGATATATTTATTTGGAGAATATTATATTATAAGATGCAACATTCAATAAAAGTTTATAATACGCAAGAAATTGTACGATGTTCAATAAAAATTTTATAATATTCAAGTGGAGTCTTAAAGTCTCTTGTACATTAACACTATTGACAAAATAATATTTTAATCAATGAGTTTCATTTCCTTGTAGCCAAATTGTGAATGTGATTTGAGGAGTACAACAAATCGATATATAGCTGACTTGTTTTTTTCATTGTAGTTTTTTTTTCTTTTTTTTTATAATGAATTTAAAGATATTCTAAAATATAGCAAAAATTAATTTTTTTATCACAATTAGGAATTTTACTAAATATAAACTCTCAATCTATGGTGTTAATCAATGTTTAAGTCTAAAAAATTAGGAATTTTTACCTCTTTTAATCAACGTTTAAGTCTAAAAAACAATAAAGTTATTATAAGTTTTTTTTCTACATCTTTTAAAACATTAAATATGAGCATGGTAGGGCTAGCTTGTAAAATAATTAATATATTATCTCACTAAAACATTTATACTAATAAAAATTTAATTTTAGCATATAAATTTATCCCTTGATATAAGAGAAAGTAACAGTTTTACTTATTGTTGTTCACCATATAATATTTAATTATTATTTTATTATATAATAAAAAAAATATTGTTAAATAGTGTAGTAGAATTGTTATAAAATTATATGATTTTTTTTTTTACAATATGGATATAATATTTTTTATGATTTGATAATATAAACAAAATCTATACTTAACTTTGACAAATAAAACAAATAAATACTTTAGTAAGTATTTAATGTATATACTAAATAGGAATATATTTGGTATAATCAAATACCAAATATAATCAAATAAGTCAAAGTGTACATTTTTATTTGATATTTAATTTTTTTATTATTAAAATCTTTTTATTATACTTACCTTTTTAAAATAAAACAAATAAATAAATCAATTAAATAAATAAAATATTATAATACCAAAATAGTAATGACATTTAATGCAGTTGACTTTTCTGGATAATAAATGTAGTAAATAGAATATCCTTTTATATAATATAATACGGAAATAGTAATATAATAAATGCTGTTGACTTTTCTGGCTACTTAATTTGGTAAATAGTACCCCCTTTAATATAAGTATAGATTTGGAATGTTGCCGCTGAATCATCTAATTAGGGAATATATTTTTTAATATTAAAAATTATAATCAAATTTGTTCCCATAATTAATGAAATTTACCACAAAATGAATTCAAAATAATTTTAAAATTCGAAATTAATGAATCAATGGTGGAAATTTTTAAAAAATTATGAAAAAAATTACCAAGATTACTAAGTTTTAAAACTTTAGACAAGATTTTAGTTATTTTTTTATATAAATGTCAAACCTTTTTAATTTATAAAAAAAGAAAAAATGAGAGTGATAAGGCATGTAACCACTGGCCCATCACATTTCCGCAAATACTTAGGTGCGCCCTGGCACACCTAAGAGCCTTTTGTGAAATACAGCTCCTTCAAAAGCGCGTGAGATAAGGAGGTAGAGTATTTTTTTTTTTTTAAATGGGACATGTGTCCCATTTCTATGGGGTAATGAATTTCATATATCATATTATATAAACTAGTGCGTAACCCGTGCGATGCACGGGTAAACAATATGACTTTCATAGCATGTAATATTGTATTATCACACGTGCAAAATAAAATCTACATCTTAAGTTCATATTTTTTGTTTTTAATGGAATAAAATCCTTCATTTTAGATCATATGTATTTAATCTGTCCAAATTGATCTACATTTCGGCAATTTAAATTTTGAATTTGAAGATAACCCGAATCTATGATTGCAAAATATCGTTTAATAACTAAATCAGTCGCAACTTTAGGATTTGGTATTTTGAAACCTAGAAAAAAATAAAATCATTAATTTAGGGGAGTTATGTGATAAATCTATCTAAATCTTGTATACGTCACGTTTTACAATTAAAGCAATTTAAATATAGAGATTAAGATATTTTGAATCTCTGATTTAAACAAAGACCATAAAAAATTTGATTTGGTATTTTGAAATTTAAAAAAAAAAATCATTAATTTAGAGGATGATATGTGATAAATCTATCTAAATCTTGTATACATCACGTTTTACAATTAAAGCAATTTAAATATGGAGATTATTCTTATTTCAAATCTCTGATTTAAACAAAGACCATAAAAAATTTGATCGTTTCAAAATTAGCCTCGTGTATTATTTTTCTTTATAAATAATTGTCAAACAAAACAATTGAATAACCGCAACTTTATTCTTTTTTGAAACTGCCCGATTTGATGGTTAGAAAAAATGTTTTCAAAAGAAATAAACAAATAATTTTTTTAATTTTTTTTTTTTATAATTTTACCCTTAAATTAGCCGTAATTTTGTTTAAATAAAATTTGCTAATCAAAACATATGTATTAGCCGATTTTATAGAAAAAAAAAAGTTTCCGATATTTTGAAAATACAAAAGCATATTTTTATGGTTAGAAAAAATAACATATAAATTTTTTTATTACTAAATTAGTCGTAATTTTTTTATTAAAAAAAACTGTCAAGCAAAGCAATTGTATTAGCAGAATATTTGGTTTTAAATTTGGAGAATATAATTGGCCGATGTTTAATTGAATTAGCAGTCGTGACGTACATTTTTATTCAAATTTAAAAATAGCTTATTGTAACCAATAACCAAATTTAATTGATGCAGCCTGTGCATTATCAGTTTTTTATATATACATCGTGTCAAACCATCGCAAATATTCGTTAGACCAAATTTAAATCGCAGCCCACTTTTATGAAAATAAAAAAATAACAAACTGCTCATTTTAAGGACAACATTTAATGTTGTCCTTTTTTTAGTAAAAAATATATTAAAAATATACTATAAATAGCATGTAATTAATGCTGATCAATTTTGACCAAAGATTGACTTACTATTTTTGATAAATGTTAATTGTTATTATATATATATAGATTATCATTAATATTTTATGGCAAGTTATTATAGAAATATGCTAAAATTTGAGAAACATATTACCTTAATTTTATAACAAAACAACCTAAAATTCGACTTTCATACCCATAAAATTTAATACCTCATAATAACAAAAATATCATTTTTCAATATCTTTTTGTTCGAAAAAGATACATTTATCCTTTAAAAGAGTTGGATTGCGTAGAGTTTTCATGGTGTTTTGCCTGATGAGTCCTCATGATTTCTTGTCAATACAGATTATCTATTTGTTCTTTATGTTTTGCTTGATTTTTTTATGAGTGAGATACAATAACAACTCAGAGTGTGTATGTTATTTTTAAAGGCAAATCAGTGTTAATTTAATAGGTGAAAAAAATATCTCGATATTAGATGATTAGAGTGTTAGAATGATATTATCTAAATATTTGAAATGATATTAGCGTACATTATGAAAATTTAGAATAATTTGATATTATCCATCAAATTAAACAAAAATTATATTTGGTAATATCTCTCTATTTTAGTATAAGAAAATAAATGGGCTCACTTATGCTTTTTTTTCCTTGGGTTGCGATATTAATACATAAGTTTAGCCATTTCAAAATCTTTTTAAATTAATAGTTTGGTTATCCACAGATTTATCAAATAAGTGTTTGGTGAAGATTTATCAAAGTCTTTTTAGATTAGTAGTTAGTTATTCACAGATTCCATCATGAGTTATCCATAGATTATTGTTCCAATATTATCTCTACACCATTAATTTTGAATTCAAACTGTGATTTTTTCAGTAAAAAAAAAAAAAACTACACCATTATTGTTTTTAAACTTTCTATAAATAGAATGTCAAAGGTATTATTTATTTGGTCAAAAGTTTCCAAAAAGGATTTAACCAACAACCTTTTTATATATAGATAGATTAAATTATCATTCATATTTTGTATCAAAAAATAAAAATAAAAATACCAAAATTCATAATTTTTCATTCTCTACAAATAGAGACCACATTTGATATTTTTTGGAACACAATTAATTTATCATTTTTTACAATTAATTTATCTTATTGGAAGATTATGACTCAAATCTATAATTATATGAATATGTTACATAGTAAGATGAACATGTTATAGAGTAAGATGAACATGTCATAGAATAAGATGAAAATGTTACATTTTCACAGATGAAATTTAGATGAACATGTTCTAATATAAGATGAACATGTTGCATAATAAAATGAACATGTTCTAAAATAAGATGAACATGTTACATAATAAAATGAACATGTTATAGAATAAGATGAACATGTTACATAACAAAATGAACATGTTATAGAATAAGATGGACATGTTAGATACACAATAAGGTGAACATGTTACATAATAAAATGAACATGTTATAGAATAAGATGGACATGTTACATACACAATAAGGTGAACATGTTATAATATAAGATGAACATATTACCAAAATGAGATGAACGTGTTATAAAATAAGATGAATATGTATTATTTCAATCTGCAATCTGTAACATGTTCATCTTATTTGAAAACATATTCATCTTGTTATGTAACATGTTCATTATATGTCGGTAAAATAAAATAATTACGAAAAAACGAAAAATTAGTTGTGCTAAAAAACCTATCAAATGTGGTCTCTATTTATAGATAATGAAAAATTATGAATTTTGGTATTTTTTTTTAATATAAATAATTAATGATATTTTAATTTATGTAGATATGTCTCATTTTTCAATTAAAAAAAAAAAATGGAAATGTGCACTACACTCTCTAAATTTTCTAATTTTTTGGGATGAGGGGCGCGTGCAAATTTACTCTGGTACACCTAGCTAGGTGTGCCAGGGCACACGGTAGTGCTACTGTCACATTTCTGTCACAAATAAACCTTATCCCAACATCAATATGTGAAATGTCCGAAGAGCCCCTCACCCGAACCCTGCCCCAACAGGCCAAGGTCCATTAAACAGCAGCTCATGGAATCAGTCAATGAGTATTTAAGAGAAAAACACCAAAAGAACACATGAAAATCAAAGACGGTGGCAATCAATTTTTGCCATTACTGGCTGAGCAAAAACATTGAATTAGCAACCACCATCATTATCCTCTCTTAACAAGCGTTTTTCCTCGATTGGAGCTGGATATTTTGGAGGTGAAAGTATAACCAAGGAGCGTTGCAAAGGGAGGTATCTTTTTCGCGACTCTGTTTTTTTCCTCGATTTTTTCGTTTTTTGCTGTTTTCTATGTTGTCTGCGAGACCTTCTTGTGTGTGTGTGTGTGTGTTTTGGCCTTTTTTCGATTGGGGTTTCGGCTTGCTGTTCTTGCAATTACTGGGGTTTTACTTCTACATGAAACTGTTCTATTGGATTGATATGTACTGTGCATACTGTCGTTTCTGAATTCCAATATTTTTCTCCTTTTTTATATTTTTGTTATTGTCGTGTTGTTGGATCACAGAGGGTTTTACGTAGCCTAATTTGGGATTGATTTTTGTATTGCTTCTTGTTCGAACCGTTTTTAATGAGGAAATATAATAGTAGCTCATGTTATGCACTGAGTTCAGAGACTTTGTTACTTGTGGTTATCTCTAAATTTTATGTTTTAAGGAAATCTTGTATGATACTGCTACCTCTGAATAAGCTATGCCCCGCATTTTGATTTGTGGTGAGGGACTCTACGTGTTCGTAGTTATTTTCTGTTTTATTTTTTATTTTTGTAAAAACTCCTACCTGTAGATGAAAGCAATACCATTGACAGCTTGAAATCAGGCTTTAGAAGTGGGATATTGGTGCAGTTGATTAAGATATATGGTGTTTTTTCTTTCACGAGGATCATTTGCCATTAATTGAGTATGCGATTAATCTTACAAATTGAATCACCGCAGTCCAATTGTAGAAGTTGAAAACCTATTGAGACGAAGACAGATAAGATGAGAGATGGTGTAGTTCGGTTAATCAATCAGATCTGCACATCTTTTGCTCATTCTTCTTTGTTTGCATCACCATTCTAATACACCAATTATTGGTTTTTAAATTGGCAAAAAATTCCCAGTGCATACTTTCGAAATAAAAATAAAACTCATTCATTATCGATTTACATAAATCATGCTATAAGCAGAAAAAATTCTCACATTGGTGATATGACTTCTAGCAATCAAGTATTGTATGCTTTTCCTGTTTGTCTCATGTCATGACTCAGGACATTTACCCACACATGCAGGAAGCAAAGGCACATTTATCATGCATAAAATATTAAAAATGTGAAATGAATGTCAACTTTTATCTTTTTGAAACATATACTAGATGGGTCTTAAATGTTATGCAACTACCAGATAGTTGTTAGTTGTTGAGACAGGTGCATCTAAAATCACTTTGGCATAGATTTCAATGTTTGGAAGTGCATTAATTAAAGGTGCTCAGTAGCAGGGTGATTGTTGTTTTATATACATTTGACACAATTTTTAAAGTTACAAGCCTGTAAACATTAATGTGGTTGTTTGATAAAAACTTTTAGTGAAACAAACAACTCTTTTGCCTAATCTTATTCTGACCTTACGGATTTCAGCATCTGCTTCTCTGTATAATTACGATAAGTCATATAACATGCCATTTCGATTATGGTAGGTTCTACATTCTTAACCATGGGAGTGGATGACACCTTGTTAAATTCGCAGACAGCTATTTCCAAGCATGCATATTTTGATCTCACTGGTGTTTCCCCATTGGTCTTTTTGTATCTCCTCAAAGGATGTTATGCATATGGTGAGTTTAGCTTTCCTCTTGATTATTGTAAGTCACATGAGTATGTTCTTTACCATATGTGACATTTTTCTTCATGGTCTATTGTTAAACTTATTCTGTACTGTGAGTAGTACAGCCCATATGGTTCTTAATTTCATATTGTGTATGCAAGCCTTCTAATGGCTTAACTGTGATCTGTGAAGCTGTTGACGGTCCATTTTTGGATTCATTTTAACCAAATAGGTTTTTCATGCTATAGAATCATCTCTCTGTGTGAGTGAATACCCTGTGGTTAGTTGTGGCATTTCAGTTTCTCAACCTTGCAAAATACAACAACTTAGAAAGTTCACATTGTAGTAGACATGTTACTTTCCTGGAGTTACTAGCTTTTTAACATATTACCAGACACCAGAAAATGATTTAACACAAAAGTACACTTTACTTCTACACAGTTCCTTCAGGTGTACAATAAATAATTGTGTATTATGTATTATGAATAAAGATGCATTTATTCTTTGAAAATAACATGGTTATATACTTGATATGCCTAGCTGGAAGTATCTGATTGTAGTGTTATGGTTCTTACTATTAAAGTGTAATAACCTTGTGCACTCTTAATGTCCGTACCCTCTGATCACTATACTACTTAACCACTGACCTTGCATGTTTCTGATTGGAAAGTAACAAGTCAATTATAAGAAAGAGTGTAAACATTGTGCTTAACAGGAGCCATTAATTTGCGTTAACTAGTTTACTTATTTCCTAGGGACATGTAAAGCAACCATGAAGTTTCGTGCATTACAACAACAACTGCATCTGGTTCTTCTCAACAATCCTCAAGTTGGGCCCTCAACTCTAATTGCTAACTGCCTCCACATGCTGCCCATATTTGAAGCATATTGTGATGGTTTCAGTCATTTGGTACTATCTGCCCTTGCCCGTTACCTGAAAATTAGGAAAAATGATGAGGATACAGTCATGGCAAAAATTCGTGCCGCCAGATTATTTTTGGACATCATTGGCGGTACTGTAGCTCACGATGAAGGGATTCTAATTAAAATCATTAAAGTTTTTGGCGTGAGTTTAACGGACATCAATAAAGTGATTTGTGATCCAAAAGCCGACGCAGCAAAAAACTTCGTTGAACAGTATGCTTTAAAGCTGATCGAATCTGAGTCGTATATGACTGCTGTTGACCTTTTGACACACTTCTCTATCTTCCAGTTGGGCGAGTCATTTTTGCTGAAATTGATTGAGCACCGTCAGTTGAAAGCAGCGGAGAAGTGGGCAGCATTTTTGGGGAAGCCGATGTTGTGTCTTCTCGTGCAGGAATATGTTGACCAGAAACAGTTGAGATCTGCTTATGATGTTATAAAGAAAAATAATTTGCGTCAGGAGTTTCCGGAACTCTATCATCAGAGTAAAGAAAAGCAAGTAGTTTCCGTTATGGTCTCGGTCTTACGCCATTCATTTATTTAGATGTAATTTTGTTAGATACTCTGTTCTATATTCTCGTGATAATTTTGGTACATGATTTCAGCTCATTGAAGAAGCTGGCGGAAAAAGGGGTCTGGGAGATAGCAGAAGCAAGGGCCAATGGTGATAGACAACTTCTTGAATATTTGGTGGGTAAATGATTTTTACGGTTCTTTCTACATGAACCTAATATAATAGCTTCAAGTCAATTGGACCGACTTCACGCGGTATACTAAAAAAGTTAACTGAATGTGAGGGGTAGGATACAGAATGATTAGTAGAACATTGTTTACCAGATAATATATTATGTCTATATTTTTTTTTCGACAAGGAATTAAAATCGTAGAGAATATTACAGTGATTGCATTTCTGATTGAAAATACATGGTTGTGATTGTTAGGTGGTATAAACTTGTGAACGGGAACTTGACACATTTTTCTTGATATTTCAGGTATATTTAGCAATGGAAGCTGGCTATTTTGAAAAGGTTGAAGAGCTTTGTGATCGCTATTCTCTAAAAGGTTTTATGAACTTCAAAGGTATGGTTGAAGAATGTTAATTATTGTATTTGATTTTAATTATGGGCAAATATGACTAAGAAGTGAATGTATTGAAGTTTTTAAGGAATGAAACAAAAATAGTTAACCTTTGTCATTACACCTACTTGATTTTGAGCATTCGAATAATGTATGCTAACTTCTCATTCCTATTCGTTCTGCTTTTGCATTAGCTTCCTTGCAAGTAGGTCCAATGTATATAGTATGCATTAGTGTTCCTTCTCAGTATATAGTGGCCAAAATGAGCACATCCTCTAATAAAAGAATTGCTTAAGTTCGCTGGTCTGAAAACATGTTTTATCGGGTGAAATTTGAATTGATGTTTACTAAATGGGCTCTGACTATTATCTAAGAACTTGCTGGAAATTTCGTGTCAAACATGAGATTTTAGTAGTTTGCTACATGCTGTGGTTTATACGTATCTCTGGAGTTTGCTTTCTAGGGTAATAACTCGGGTACAAATACCCAAGAAAATAGTACATTTTGGATAATTGCATTTCTTTTTCTCTGATCGAGCTCTCGATTACTGACTGGATGGATATTATGCTTCTGATTAACAACTACTTCAATGATTTAGAAGCAATTTATTTCGCATTTTCTGATTCACAATCTTTTACAGTGTCCGAACCAGACCTGCACCGTCGCTATTTGACCCTTCATGAATTAAATATTGAGGATGTTTGTTGGGTTGATGAGGTCAATAGTTTGCGTGATGCAATAAGCTACTTTGAGGAATGCAAAGTTGTTGGTATTGACTGTGAGTGGAAACCTAACTTTGAAAAGGGCAGCAAACCTAGTAAGGTAAGTGTTTGTATCCTTTACCATGTGGAGCAAGTTAATTGACTTCGTCCAATTTATTCTGCATTATTTTCGTACAAATATTTCCTTACATGAGTCCTCTTTGAAAGATAACAAAGCATGCACAAATTCCCTCTGGCAGAAGATATTTTTTCATATCTTTTTTAATTTATCTGTGAAATGTTATTGCATTCTGCAGGTTTCTATAATGCAAATTGCCTCTGAGAAGAAGGTTTATATATTAGACCTTATCAAGCTCTCTAAAGATGCTCCAGGTGTCCTTGACAAATGCCTTTCCCGCCTATTGCACTCTCCAAGTATTCTAAAACTTGGTACGGGAAATTAGTTGGCTTCTATATAATGTTTGCGAACAAAAATTGCAGTTTTTAAACGTGTGATTCAAATTGAACACTAATGGAATCTAATTACCAGAAGTTACATGGCTAAAATAACATGCGTACTAATATGAGGCCATAGAAAAAATTCATCTTTCGTATTACCTAATGCATTCTCAAAGTTTCTCCTGTTTTAAATCGATTTTGATATGCTTGTTTTTCATCATTACCAGTGACACTAGATTGCTTCTTCAGTTTTCGCCTGTATTATCGATTTGCATCTGAATGCTATGATTGATTTTATTTAAGATGGTAGGGGTGTCTTTTTTTGCCATGCATAGCAAAATATGAAATTTCGCTCTATGGTTTTTGCTAGTTCTGCCAAGTAGAAGAAAATGAAAGTTCAGATATTGGCTGAAGTTATGGTTAAAAATAATGTGCAGGCTACAATTTCCAATGCGACATACACCAGCTTTCACATTCTTATGGAGAATTGAATTGTTTTAAGCACTTTGAGATGCTGCTTGATATCCAGAATGTGTTCAAGGAACCAAGTGGTGGTCTTTCTGGGTTAGCAGAGGTAAAATTTAACCAGGTGTCATATGTTTATTTTCACTTTTATAATCTCATGCGTTTGGATTTAAGGATTTGGAGTATTAATGGATTTCAAATACCTTAGATTTGAATTCCCCCATTTTGAGACAGAAAAATTTAGAAATATAGTATTATTGTATAATAATATAGAACTAATACAGAAAGAAAAGTATCACTAACAAAATTTTGCCACGATCAAGGGAGCAATTGTGATGCTGGTTGTTTTATGGTTTTGTTGGAAACAGAAAATATTGGGAATCAGTTTGAACAAAACTAGACGAAACAGCAATTGGGAGCAACGGCCTTTAACACATTACCAGGTTTGATTTCCTAGATCTTTAGATAATTTTTCGTCTCATTTTATTTATAGGCCATATATCAGTATCTTACTGAAAATATTTTGTGCTCCTAAGAACCTGTTTCAATAGTTACAACGAGCCCTTTTAAAATTTCAAAAGAAAAATTATTTTTGTTTATTCTGTTGCAAGTGTTTTCTTCTTATAACCAACTATACCTGAGAAAATGGTTAATGAGTGTAAGGCCTACCAACGCAAATATGCTTTTTACTTTTTCCTTTCATACCGTAACTTGAAATTATACAAATTTAAATATGCCTTTTATTTTATTTTAAATTTGTTTATTGTAATCGATGTAGCTCGAATATGCTGCTCTCGATGCTGCCGTTCTCCTTCACATATTTCGGCATGTGGGAAAACAGTCCCAATCTACGGCTACTTCAGACGAACATAATGCAAAGATTGAATGGAAATCACACATAGTATCGATTCTCAATCTCTCTATATATATACACGCACACACATAATATATGTGATTGTGATGTTATGCTATGCAAATTGTATTTGTATATATAGGTTTCACATATGGACAGCTCAAAACAGCAAAAGGTCACTAAAACTGGACAATTGCCAAAGGGTTCAAGAAAGGAAAGCAGCTGATTAGGTTGACTCTACTCAATGAGAATAGTTTTGTGTTCTTTGAATTTGATACATTTTTATTATAAATAGGATAAAAAAAAAAAAGATAATGATGCTGAAGCTATCCAAATTAGAGGCTATTTTTACCTGTCTACTAATCATGCAAAAGAGGAAAGAGAAGTGCAGAGGTTAGATCTCACTCTGGGAGGTGCCAAGTGCATCCTTTTGTATAGATATGATTTTGTATAAACATGATGTGAAGTGATGGTTAGTTAAAATTATGTGGGTTTAATAGAGAATTAAAGTTGATGTGATGTGTAAGAATGATTGATCGATATTATTTAATTATATTGGTAATATTGAAGATAGTGAAATTGAGTTAAATTTTAAGTTGGATTGAGTATGAAATGAAAATTTTTATATCCAACCACGCCTAATTGCACCTAAAATTTTGAAGTGATGATATAAATGATTTATAGAAAATCTAACAAAAAAATACAGATAACTTCATTTCTACAAGGTTCTAAGTAATTCAAATGCTATTTGTATAATTTATACAAAGGTTCTAATTGATTTATATCCAGACAAAATTAGGTATAATTTATACCCGAAGCCCGGAACTAGACTTACAAAAAGCCTTATGGGATGGGATTCTGTACTAATTGATTTCAATCAAATGTCTAATGTTACAAAAAATAAAATTATTCACCAAGACAAAATTAGGTATAATTCATATCCAGTAGACCGGAAATAGACTGTTACAAAAAGTCTTGTGGTATGGGATTATGTACTAATTGATTTCACCTTTCAATCCCCAAAAATCCGTAAATGGGAATAACGATGATTGCTTATCTAGACTATAGAGAATTAGAGATCGCCAGTATCTAACCATAAAAAAAATAATAATAATAAATTAATTGAATGACGTGTGCAATGATCTTTTGCAAATAAGAAAGTCGTACATTACAAATACGTGACATCGTACAGCTCACACAACACAGTGTGAATATTAATAACAACAACAATAGACCTACAATAATCTACACTGATACAATACACAACTAGCCCAAACAGAGTATTTCATCTTTGGGCCTGATCAGGCCCATGATTGCTAGCCGTGGACGACGAACCAGGCCGGCCATTTAAAAGCCCATTATCTACGGGTGGTGATGTTCCCCACTTGCTGTCCGATTCTGTTGGCTCAATAACTTTGACCGACCCATCAGTCAACCCAACGGCAAATTGGTTGGGCTCCTGAGGATGGGCTGCCACCACAATTGGGTGTACCACTTGGCTTCTGGTAGACAAAAAACAAAAACAAAAAGAATTAAAATAAAAGTTAATGACATGATACATCAACTGTGATGTATTGACACTTATAATGTATTTATATTCTAGAACACGTGTCAATATATCATTTGTGAATAATTTGTGGAGTCATGTCATCTAATGGCGCTCCATAACAAAGCTCTTAGGTAAATAACGGCAAACACCTTCAACTAATTGCTAAAACCGATTTCTCGACAAATGTACGTATGAAAAACAAATTCTTCACGTTCAACTGCAAGAGTTAGAAGAAGTAGGATTGTAAACAAATCAAACATTTTTTATTCCATACATGATTCGAATTCGTGATTCGTGATTCGTATTCGTAAAAATTCGAATATGATTCGTGATTCTTATTCGTAAAAAATTCAAATATGAATAGAGTTTAGTATTCGCAATTTATTTGAATCCGAATCCAAATCCGAATATGCTCATATTCGATTCGTGAATTGATGTATTGACACTTATCTTAAAAAATGTATTTATATTTTAGAACACGTGTCGATATCGAAACTATCAAGTAATAACTGCAAACACCATCAACCAATTGATAAAACCGATTTCCCCCCAAAACGTATATATGAAAAGATCACATTCAACTGCAAGAGTTAGAAGTTAGAACTAGCACGGATTGTTTGTCCTTACCCGTTTAATACTGCCTGGGACAAATACGCAGATGGAGCGACTCGGCATCTTAATCTCAAGGTATCAGCATCAAAGATTCCAACATTACCATCACAACAGGAAGCAAAAACAAGCTGACTGTTGCAAGAATACGCCGCACACGATATAGGTGAGGATAGGGTGTCTTGCGGGACCCACTGGATAAAAAGTTTGTAACAGCAAATCACATAGGNTTTTTTTAAAAAAAAAAAAGAAAAAAAAGAAAAAAAAAAGGAGAAATCCTTATATGGTTGTGTGTGTGTACCTGGCGTATACGTTCCATCTTGGAGGCATCATATATTGCTAACTGCGTTTCATGGGCCACTAGCAGGCGGACTTGGTCAGCATGGAATTGCACACGAGTGTCGCCTGATGGTGCTTTACCGGCAGGTAATTGTATCGGGACTGATTTTCGCTTCTCCCATGTGTCGATACTCCAGATGGAAAGCTGCAAACACAACAAAAAAGTAACTTGTCAAGCAAGAAATCTCAACACTCGTAAAAATGTGTTCTTTCTCACTCGTCCAAGAATAGCACTCCTTACGAAAAGTCGCTTAGATTTATCCATGGTCCGTTTATTTAGTTTACTTTTTATCCCGAAAATCCTATGTCTTAATTGTCAATTGAACACCCAATAGGATTCCCTCTTTTTTTTTTTTAATTCCAAAAAATATGTTCGTTCTATAGAATGGCATTTTTGCCCCCTTCAGGGATAAGTCACACTCCGTTTGGTCTATTTCTTTATTTCCCCATGAATCATACGTTTGTAACAATAGGGACAGAATTTTCTCAATTCTAATCGATTGGGTGTTGCTTACTTTTTGTGTTTGACCCACAAATATGGACATGATTCTTCTAGTTAATACACCGAGTCCCTCTTTTCACCAACTTAAATCACATGAATTTTCAACAAGATAGAATCACAAAACTGTAATAACTTTTAATTTAAAGAGCAATTATAAGAAAATGCTCCTAAAATTTCACTTTCCCAACAATGATGGATGTTCTACTAAACTGACAGAAAAAAAAGCTTACTTGAGCATCGGCACCAGATGAGACCAATATGTTGAGGGTGGTGGAGAAAGCTAGTCCGGTAATGCGTTTCTGGTGGCCTTTCAGTTTCGATTTCACCTATCAAGATTTCCATCCAAAACTTATCTAGCAATTCAAACAGTAAAAAAAAAAAAAAAAAAAAAGAGTTCGAAACAGTATATACCTCGTCAACTCTAACATTATAGATGTGAATAGTTGAGTCTTCCATTCCAATAGCTATGATGTTGTTATCTTGTGGGTGGAATGCTAGGAATGTTGAAGCCGGTGGTGGCGGCATAAACGTCGTCATGACCTGTCGAAAACGGCCAAACGGGTGAATTTCAAATTAACACAAATGTCTAGCAAAACGAGTGTATCATACGAGGGGCCGATAAAACTCAGTTAATTTTACCTTGAATGTCATCATGTTGAACAACGAGACTTTACCTCCGGCAGCAGACATTACGTAAGAATCATTCTTAGAAAGAGCAATACACGGGACAGCTTCCTCGAGGTTTACGCCTGAGATGTCGTTAGTCATAAGAAGACCACTGTTCGGTTGCCAATGTTGTGGAGTAACACTGGCGTTGGCCTTTCACAAATCACAGATTTTTTCAGATATATAAACAAATGAGAGAATAAAAAGATGATCGTGAAGAGGAAAGAACGGATAGAGAAGAAAAACGAGACATGATTTACTGATATTATTTTCTTCTATATTACCTTTCCACTCGGGTTTTGCTCATTACGGCTCCACTTCCAAAGCTTCTGTATACCATTCGACCCGAGGGCCAATATGCCAACACCAGAATTTGTATAAAGAAGCCGAGCAACCTGGAAATGAATCGGCTTAAACATATAATCTACAGAGAGAGAAAAAAAAAAGGACAACATAGAAAAGAAAGGGCAACCAAAAAACATTAAACGGCTTACTTTGTTCGTAGCATCCGTACTGTCTGGCATGGTTACCATACGGCACTGACCAGGCTCTACAATTTCAGTTAGCTGCCAGGGTTTCACCTTATCATTAACATCATCCAAAACTCTAGGCTTTTCCATGTTCCTACCCAGAGTTTCTACGCCATTCTGAAACAAAAGGCCCACGAAATGTGACTCTCAATTGGAAAACAAAATAAAACAGCCGCAATGTATTACATAAAAACCCCTTTGTAAGAAAGCAAACCGTTAACAAAGTTAAATAGCTAATCGAAAAAGTTAAAAATATATATAGTCACCAAGAGGGAAAAAAACAGTCCAACTAACATTGAAAGAATATATGGAAATAACCTTAAAAAAAATGAGAACTTAACATACAAGGATTGGAGAGGGCCTAACAGGAGAGCTTCTTTCCACTTTACAACTCAAAGGAGCAACATTTGCAACAGATGATCCAGAAGCCTGATCAATAGAGAGGGAAATACACGCTTCATGCAACGACTGTCTATCAGCGAAAGGAAAGTGGATAGAAAAGAAGGGAAAAAAAAAACACCTTAATGGCTGCAGCTTCTAACGGGGATCTTAATGGCTCAAAAGGCGGGGCCTCAACAGTCCTTAACGCTCTCATGCCAGCAGCATTTGCCAATATCTTAATTCCATTGTCAGCAGTAGTAACAGCAAGCAGATTCCCTTCCTTGTTAAATCTCAAGCGTGGAAGATTCTGCATCAAAAGTAAATGCAATATTTTTTTTTTTTTTTTAAAAAAAAATAAAACCTTATCCAAAACATACACATTAGACTTTGAAGGCTAGGCACATTAGTCTCATCCATTTTGGTTATTTTAGAGTTCATGTCACAAAGTTAGATATCAGGACTTACAGGAAGACCACCCTCTGCATCTATAGTTGTGAGTATATTGGTGTTATCCATGTCCCAGAACTTTATTTGGCTGTCTTCACCTACAGCCAAGAAGTGGTTCTGAGTGGTGTCAAACTGCACAACACCAGCCGACTTCTTTCTGAACCCAGTGTATGTTCTCTTGATTGCGCCTTCACTTTCATTCCATTCAACCAAAAATGAATCCCCGTCTTTTCCTGTCCCACAGGAGAATAATCTGGAAAGGGAGAAATGCTTTAATTGATGAGTAAAACGCTTAAAAACACTAAATCATGCTATGTCAAAAGAAAAACTTGACATGTTACCTGCTTCCATCTGCGCTATATAGCATAGTGGTACACCAATGGCCAGGAGCATCATAGTCCACCCGCGATCCCATATTATCATAAAGCCAAGCTTTGATTTTCCCATCAACAGCAGTAGAGAAAATAAACTGCAAGCATAACGACAGAATAATGTATTGTTACAAGGCGTAAAACAAAAGAGCAGAAATAACTTCATATACTAAAGAATGTCATCCGATCACAAGCACGTAACAGGCACAAAAGTTGATAGCAAAGTGCATAATCATTGACAGAGAAAGTTGTAGTGGCAATTGACCCAAAAACAAGTCAATTAACAACATCTTTGCACCCACGGCGTGGGAAACATCTTCGTACTGCATAGCGTATTATACAGTAAAAGGCACGACGACAGTAAAGTTGAGGCACAAATATATAGTGTTACTGGTATAAATATATACATATAGGTCATAGAGGCAATGAGGAAAGACTGCAGTAGAGAACTTACAACTTTTAACTAAAAACTGCCGTGAATTTTACACCAAATATGTTTTCAGAAAAGCTTTACATGCTTATGCAATCTGATGCCATACCTGAATATTCTCTTTCTGATGAGGACATATAGAATAAACAGGTGCATCATGGCCTTCAAAGTTGAATAGCTTTCTTCCAGTTAAATCCCACACCTGTAACAGATCTCTCTCTCTCTCTCATTCATCTTTTCTAAAGCATATACCTGCCATATTATTCATGAAAGAAATTCAAGATTTCTGAACTTACTTTTATCAACTTATCATCACCACAGGTTACAACACAAAGCTGCTTATTTGGATGAGCAAAAGCAATGTCGTTCACTCCGCCTGCATGAGCATCGATCTGCATAACGGGATAAAAATTAACTCCATAAACTCTCACCTTGATTGGAACAAGCAGCAAGCCAGTACAACATACCTCCAAATGCTGACGCAAATCACTCGGTCCCGCATATGCATACAAATGGATTAAATGCTTGGAAAATGCAGCTCCTGCAACACAAGGATTACATCATCATATGATATGAAAATAAGAGAATACCACCTCACGTAAATGCTAAGGCAATTTTACCACAAAAAGTCCCATCTTGGCTCCAGGTAACTCTGGTCACAGAAAATGGTGTATCCTTAGCAGCAGAAGCCTGTCCAAAAAGCCCAGTATGTAAAGTGAAAATGACAACTATAAGTTTGAATGATAACCACTTCTAATGGCGTAGCAAGTATTCTTAAACTTTCACCAAGCATCTGTCAGTGTATAAGAATCACAAAAACAATTCTACACAACACACAAAATTGATTTCTTAAACCACGAGAAAAAATAAATGAAACAAAAAATAAAAATAAAAAATAGATGAGAGCATACATACCTGGAATGTCAAAGTACAAGCTTGTATATCCCAAATCTTGAAAGGCTTTGAACCCAACTTCTCTCTTATCCCAGCTTCCCAAAGTGTTAACTCGCCATTATTGCATCCAACTGTCAGTGCCACCCGGAGTTAAACAAATAGAATTCAACCATATTCATTGACTTCACATGGTAAAGACAACAAGGCCGAGATTTTGAAATAGCATAATTTATCAGTGATGAGGTACCAAGGAGTAATGTGTGGTGTGATGGATGGAAGTCCAAGCTTATCACAGCAGATCCCTGATGCAATGTGAATGCCACAGTCCTAGGCAAGTCATCCAGAGACCAAGGTGCCTGTTGGCGAACAGTAGGATACGTTACCTGAAATAGCGAAATAAAACAAAAAACAAGCATGTAACTCACAGAAAAATCATTTGTTATTGTAATATTAGACAATATTCCAGAATAGCAATATTATATGACCTCCTCAACTGACTGTGCAGGTCGCAAGCGTTTCATCAGTTGCTCATGATCAGCATTTTGATAATCAATCATACCCAACGTAGCCGGGGGCGTGATTGGGCGCTTTAAAATTGAAACTGTTCAAAAAGGATTGGTAAATAGAGGCACGCTATGGATATTTCGTATTCTGCAAACTTAAAGGGTAAAAAGGTCTAACCTTGATTAGGTGGGACGGGTAATGATGATGCTGTAACAACGGCTGCTTGAACAGATGAAGATGCAGCTGCATTTACCATCCAACCAGCTAATGCATTAGCATTGGCTGCTGCTGCAGGTGGAAAGGGCTGCAAACCCGTAAAACAGAACGGAAAAACAAAAATTCAGACACCCGATACTAATATACATGATACCGATGATAAGAAATACATAAAATATCAAATACGAGACATTATCAAGAGGGAAGCAAACGTTATTATACCCCATGTGCTCCAAGAGATGTGTAAGCAGCAGGCTTTGCAACAGCTGCTGTGGGGAGATTCACAGGACCAGGTGCAAGAGCACCGTTTGGAGGAGTGCATGTATGGTCAGTGAATAAGGTTTTAATGTCTGGGTTTGAACGAGGATTTTTACATAACTGATGCTGCCAATTCAGACTGCAAATAAGACAACAAAGTCAAACTTAATTGTGCAGGTTTGTGTGCAAATAAGACATAAAGAGGAATGCTAAATCAAAGGGAGAACTGCGAAGGGTATATAAGTGAAAGATGGGAGAACATTAATCTGTCTCTCGATGTAAAGCAGCAAGTATCTCAGGTGAGAATATCATACCTTTGATTAATAAGGGTTCTCAATCTAGACGACTTCAAAGTAGGAAAAACAAGCTTCTCACGGAAAAGAGGATTTGCTTCTATAAGTTTTTTTAGCTCTATCAACATTATGCTGCGAGCTGTCTTTGTGTCACCGTATTTGGAAAGCTGCTCATTTTCTCTGTCATCAATGAATTGGGATTACATTTGATAAGCATAATAATTTCACCGTAAAATAAAAATAAAAAATAAAAAATCTTTAAAAGATGAACCACATTTGATCAAATGAAGTATCAAATGGAATATTCTGACAGTACTACAGAAAGAGAGATTTATTTGACTGCTGAAGATAATGATCAGGTATGTGATCAGGATCAGCTAAGAAAGGATTTTCTATAGATTGCTCTCATTTATTCCTCCCTACAGCTTTCTCAATGCCATCCCTCCACCAGGGCACAACATATCATCAAGATTATTTGATTATTTATACTATGCTTCACACCATTTATCAGAAGAGAAGATCCAACCTTGGGCACGATACAAAGATAGTGGTATCATTCAAGCACCGATGCACTAAATAACAAGGAATCGCTCAAAAAATAAAAAAGGTGAGAAATCATATAGCATATCAATGTCGTAAAAGAATAAAAAAAGGTGAGAAATTATATAATTTTGGAAACAAATGTTGCTTGCAGAAAAAATAGCCTGGAATCACATCCTATGCAGAGAACTCTATGGGTAATCAATAATTTTGACAACACAATAGAGAAACCAGCATGCTCTATATTGATGGAGCTAGTACACACACCTGAAATTGCCAAGTGTTAGTAGCTGAGTAATTTCCTTATATAAATCTTCGTTAAAGGTTGAGAACACTTTCAAGTCACCCACAAGAATCTCAACTGCCTTTGCTTTGTCTTGCCTGATGATACCAATTAGCATTAGAACTAAAATGAAGAAGAGTACAGAAGAAAATGAAGAATAACTAAAGAACCCAGTAATTATAGTAGGACGAAATTTATTGAAAAATCTTCAACAAATGCATGTCTCAGATTACCGATCAAGAGCTTCAAGATACTTTTGCTTTCTTATTTCAAAGAATATCTTCATAGAGTATCTATTGTCGTCCACTTTTGTAAAACCAGACAAGTACTTCTCAACCTCATCCCATTCACCGGCATGCACTTTCTCCTCAAAGTATTTCATATTAAAGAAAAAACCCGACTCCTGCTCAAGCCTACAAACAGAGACCATAAAATTAGTAAGGGCAACATTCTAAATAAAGCAAGCAATAAAAATGATGTTGCTCCCATTGCATTGAAGTGCAAATAGAAGGAAAAATCAGTTCTTATTGACCTGTAAACATGTAGCCAACATCTAACTAGTAAATACAACCCAGTATTTTATAGAACCTTATTTATTATCGTTCACATGCCTTTCATTTAGCTTCGTTTCTAGTATTTATACCATTCCAAGGCAATTACACATCAATTAGAGGCATAAATCTCATTTCTATCCAAAGCAACCAAAATCGAGCAATTCACCACCCACCAACTATACCGCACTATTTAACTGTTCTCTGAAATATTCTCTCCTCATCGTTCACTCAAAACATAGTAACAGAACTTAACAAAGGTCAGTAACTCCCTCCTCTGTTCCCAAGCACATCTCCAGACAAACACAAGCAGCAAATAAAAAGGCCAAAATTCCAAACAAACAACATCAAAGCCTATATAACCAGANATACCTGTGAACAGACTCCTTGAATTTCTCCTCCTCAAGGAACTGAAGAATTAAGAAAACCAATTCTCTGCTGAGCGACGACATATTTCCCCCACCTCGAATCCCACAAAATCCCAAGCTAAAATCAACAGATCGAACCAATTCACAAACAAATCACAGTTGTAAACCCACGACTTCCCCTGATTTTCCTCTTCTTTCTAGGGTTTCTCCAAACTCACACAGAACTGCGATGCGATGAGGAAGGAAAGGTAGAGAGAGAAAGAGACAAAGAGAAGACTTGCAATCTCTCTCTAAATATATAGACACATTTATAGAGAGAAGTATGAGAGGTTAGTGGTGGGGAAAAAATACATGGCCTCGCTATCTCCGATGCGTTTGGCAGAGGAGTGTCTATCTTTTTCCACTTACCTATCACTCATAAGCTAGTTCGATTATCAAAATCTGCTAACTTATCATTTGGTAAGATACAGTGCTTATCGGAATGGTTATCATTGCGTGTGGTTGAGGGGAGTTGTGGAGGTTGGCGGATTTGAAATGTGGAACTCAAATCCAGTTGAATATATTCGGTTTGGATTACGGACAGTTATTCATGTCGCTATCCTTGCGTGTACCCTATTTAATTTATTATTATTAATATTAATTAATTAAGTAGTGTATAAATTAATCGCCCGTGGCGTGGGTTTGATTAAAAAATTTATATTTGTATATTATAAACATGGAACAAAATTTAAAGGTAAGAAACTAAGAAATTCTGAACCAATCTATGGAAAATTAAAAATTAAATATATAGTTTGTGCATTGGTCAAAGAAAATAGATTTGGTGTATAATTTAGACAAATAAATAATTTAATATTAGAAAAGGTAAGTTTGATTCTATTAATAGTCACTATATTGTGATTTTTTTATTGTTTTACCAATACATACATATATTTATACGGGTATGTGTTGATTCAATTAAAAAACATTAAATACAAGTTAAAATATTTCGTGACAATTGTCAATTGACATGTTCACAAAAAAGTAAACAAAATACTATTTCTTTTCGGAAAAAAAAAAGTATATTGTATTTCGTGCCATGTATATTTAGTTGTAATTACAAATATAAAGTATGTTACATTTTATTAATTTATTTCTTTTACTCTTTACTAATTTTCNGTTATTTAAATTTTCTTTCTTTTTAACTTTTATAAATCACGTAGGATGTGTGCAAATTTTCCATTTTATTTTTCAGTCTTTCTCCTTTATTGTTCCGTAATCATGTCTTATTTTAGTAATGTCTACATAATATTTTATTCATGTTGTTTTGACTATTAAAATCATGCGATTTGGTGTTAAGTGAGCCAAGCAAACGTTACTGCATAATGGAACTAGTTTTTGTATGGATTGTTATTTCATTAAGACCTCGTTTAGACGTTTACTAGCTTTGATAGGATAGGATAAGATTGGTTAATCAACCTTATCCCTCGTTTATTAAATAAGATTGGGATAAAGATACATATGACGTGGCATGAGTTGGCGGGATATGTATCCTTGTTGGCGGGATAAAAAAATCCAACCATTATGGTGTGATAAAATTATCTTTGGTCTTAAATGACCTTTTATTTAATCTAAAATATTTTTATTTAATTTAAAATAATATTATTTAATCTATAAAATATTAATTCAAATAATTTAATTTAATTTAAAGAATATTGTTTAATATAAAATAATTTAATTTAATTTTAAAAATATTATTTAATATATAAAATATTAATTTAAATAATTTTATTTAATTTAAAATAATTTTACTTAATTTAAAATAATATTATTTAATCAATAAAATATTAATTTAAATAATTTTTTTAATTTTAAAAATATTGTTTAATATAAAATAATTTAACTTAATTTAAAATAATATTATTTAATTATAAAATATTAATTTAAATAATTAAATCGGTAATTTAATGTATTTATCCACTTTGGTAAACATGAGACAATTTACGAAGAAATTGTATCCTATTTAGTAAACAATGGACCAAATCAGAGTCATGGNTTATTTAATCTATAAAATACTAACTTAATTAATTTTATTTAATTTAAAAAATTGTTAAATATAAGTATTTTTATTTAATTTAAAATAATATTATTTAATTTATAAAAATATAAATTTAATTAATTAAATCAGTAATTTTATTATTTATCATAGACTTTTATCCACTTTGGTAAGCATGTGACAATTTGTATCCAAAATTTGATGTGCCAAATTGGAGGGATTAATTTGTCAAATCCCATCATCTCTAGTAAACGAGGCCTAAAAAGAAATGGCCCATTAGTATTTCTGGACTCTTTTAAAGAATGAAAACGATACCACTTCTAGTATATTTTTATAACTTATTTAATTATTTGAAATTATAAAAAAATATTTAGATCAACATAAACAAATATTACAAATGCAAGTGGTAATTTAGTCATTTTAACTTATTTCAATACATATGTATGTATGTATGATACTTGAAGAGATAATAGATAAAAGAGAGCGGCTCAGTTAGTGTATATCATAATTATAATATAAGCATGTTTGGAAATAATTTTTAAAATATAAAAATCAAATTAGCAAGTAAATACTATTTGTGTTAGATATATATAATTTTATAATGTAATTAAAATAATCATCATTTTGTTAATTTGAAGGTAAAAAAGTGCTTGTCATTTTAAATAATAATAACTCTATTAGTTTTTCATTATTTATTGTACATCTACTTTTCTAGGTTCACAATAAGAATATAAAAATTTGGTACATTTATTTTTTGTGATAAAAATATTTTTTTTTTCAAACAAGTTAATAATTAATCAAATAAACGCGAAGCCAATTGTAAGCTGATAGTTTGATTAGGTTGGGCTATGAGAGCTGTCCAATTTTACATGGACAAGATACATTGTTCGGTATGTATAATTGACATATTTTTAATAATGATAAATTATTTAGCAATCTATTCAGTGTGTATGTAATTGACTTTTAATAATATTATTTTGGGCATCTCTTTTATACTTGTTCTTATGATCGATTTATAATTGGCATCTTTTTAGCAATTGTCAAGAAAAAATACATGCTCTTTCAGTAAATATAAAAAAAAAATCACTCACTAATTTAAGAAACCAACAAATACTGGATACTTAAAAGTTGTCAACTGTGGTTTAACCCTATAAGACGAATCCATTTTATGGTTGTTGGATTATGTTTGTTCGTCTTTTGGACAATCAATGATCATTTTGAAGTTTTGAAGTTATCAAATGTGGGTTTCTTGTAGTTGCAATTCTCTTATTTTCGATATTTGTTTCATGTAGTTATATTTTACGGTTTGGCTCGTGAAGGTGTGTTACATTCGACATTCGGAGGGAGAGGGTGTTGTTTGTGTAACAACAAATTAAATTTTATGAGAAACATAAAATTTTTGTACAACTTGATTTTATTTTGATCAAACGATATTGCGGGTACAATCTCTATATGTATCTTCTGATTATTCTCTTCATGATTTGATTTGGATCTTTGAAGATGTATTTGACGGTTGGATCTTCTTCAGGCTTGAAATTGAATTTGTCTAACGTTAATTGGGGGTCGAATGACTTGATCCCGAATTAAACGTTAGGACTTGATTTGATTGAAGACAACTTCTTGAAGGACTTGTTTTTTCAATCTTTCTAGAAGACGAATTTGGACTTGAATAATGTTGACTCGAGGGCTTGAGAGCTTTTTCCCAGGTCAAACGCTATGTTGCTTGAACTTCTCGATGAGCTCGGCTTGAATGTTGTGGATTTTCAAGAGCACTGTTGGATTTTCAAGAGAATTATTGAGAGCTCTTTGAATTGAGACTTTAATTTATGAGGTGTTGGATTTTTGAGGTGTGATTTGTGGCATTGAGGATTTATAGGTGTAGAAGAGATAGTTTTGGAGAAGAAGACATCAATTTAATTGTTCCTTCATGATTTGATATAATCTCTTTCCAAATTTGATATAATTTCTTTCCTTATCCTAAGATTTGACTTGGTGGGCAAGAAATAATAATTTTATTAATTAAATATCTTATTTATCTTAGATTTATGTCTAAAAATAAATAAAGACACTAATTAATAAAATATTAAAATTTTGATGCCTACAGTTTATTTTCTAGTTCATTTTTTATTGTTTTTTATTTGGTTCTTCTTGTTCGTTCTTATATTGTTAGAGTTTGTTGCTATCAATCTTATACTAAGATAGTAAGATGTGAAGATCGTGAGATTCATCTATTTGTCGAGTGCAGATCTAATTACATCGAATACGAATATATTTAGTTTATTTTGAGTTTTGTTTTATTTGGTCTAGAATTTATGGCTTCCGTCAAACATATTCTTGTTCATATGTTGATATCCATAATTATAAATCATTTGAAATGAGATGAACATTGTACTTGGTACCGGAACAAGTCACACAAAATCAATTATTTAATATATATTTTAAATTTGATTATACATGTAAAATTATTTTTATGTTGATCTTTTCTTAGTTAACTATAAACCTGGCTTGCCCCTCAAACAATCTATCCATAATCCACATAAGCAAGTTCGTATTCACTAAAAACAAGTTATTAAGTATTATAAGCTTTGTCATTAAAGTAACTAATTTATTACTTTCTTCGAAAACGATTTTTTTGCAAACAGTTTGATGAAATGAGTGGACAGAGTTCCTCCACCGAGGCTGAGGAGTTTCTTTTCTCATTTTCACGCGCACACTTCCTTATACCCTCCTTTCTTTGTTTTCTTCTACTATCATTCATCAAAATCTAAAGCCCTAACATATGGATTTGGATTCATCCCTTGCTCACCCTTTTTCCTGTCGGAACATCTCCATTTTCCGGTGACTAACGTCATCTCCCTGGCCGGTTCTTGGTTTTCCGGCGCGGTGACGCCACACCCTCTTTTCCCCTGAAAGCTCATTTCTTCCACTTTAAATAAAGGTGCTCCTTTTTTATTCGATACTGTTCTTGCAATTTGGTAAAGTTGGAATCTTGTTACAAAGAGCTGAGCAAGTGTAGCAACTTTAATTTCATTAGGTGTTTGTCTGTCCTTTCTCATTTTCATCTTTTTTTTTTTTGTTGGGTTTATGATTAAATAATAATACATGTAGAATATTCAAGGCTTAATCTTTGGATTCGTGTGTGGATGTCTTCTAGTTTTATAATCTGCTGACACTTTTCTGAATCATCGTTAGTTTGTGATTGTGGAATTCCAGTAAGATTGATCAAGGTTCTCTCTGTTTTCTTTAACCCATGTTAAATTAATGGTCTTTCATGTGCCTTAACCTTGTTCTTATTTAGATTCAACTCTTTTCAGTTTTTCAGAGTCAGATCACATTATAATATACACCTTACTTTGATCCCTTTTCGTATTAGTTTCGTGTGCCCCCATTTGCCGGTGCCATCATCCGTTTGATCGAACACGAATTCCCTATAATCAGTGTACACTATTTTCTTTTGGGTTTATCTTTTAACTATTTAAGCATATAAAGGCTTTTCCTTTTGGTACTTGTGTAGGTTACGAGCTGCAGGGCCATTTATCTTTGATGTTCGATAGGTTAAGAGAAAGGCGTGAATCAAGATTGTTGCATAGTTTTGGGAGGTACATATATACATACATACATACACACACACACATTTAATAATTAACTAACAGAATGTCTGCAAATCTAGAGAAAGGGTTTTTTTTTTTCATGTTTACAAATAACCCCCAAGTTATTTANTTGTGGGGTGGAGTATTTTAGATTGAGAGCTTGTGTTTTTGATCCGTAGTTCTTTCCATTGTTTGATACACAGTAGAAACATAAATTTGGTTTCTTGATTTTGTGCTCATAAAGTGATATTTCTCTCTGATTTTTCATGGACTTGGGAAGAAATGCTTTGCAATTAGGATTCTTTTATTTTTTTCTCCATGAATTCTTTGAATTTTAAGTTCATGTCTTTGTGACTTTTTATTTGATTTATTTATGGGTCACTAAGACTGTCTCTCAAAGTTTTTGTGGCCTAATCAGAGCCCATTCACCCCCAACTTGATCCATTTAGCAGCACAAATAGAAATGATTTATGCATGTGGATAGTACAATGGTTGCTTGTGCATGTTGGTTACAAAGAAAATAAGGAATGCCAAAAGGATAATCGGTTTCTTCAAATATGATCTTTTAGAAAAAGTTAATATATAAAAGAAAGGAAAAAGTTGAGAAGATCAGAATTTGGTTTAGACAGATATACGATGAAATTATTTTTATATGTCTATATATATATTTTTTTGGTTTAGACATAACCTTGTATCACTATTATTGCTTTAGGTAGTATTTTGTTGAAAAAAATTGACCGAAATATTACTATCTAACGACTGTCTAGTAATCATACAGATCAAGTTTACTGTCTTGATGACGAGCCGGGTATTCACAGGGTGTGGTTTGCAACATGATAACTCCTGGACTAGCAGCCGACGGGTATACGTATTCTTAGTTTTACTTTAACTTCCCTGAATAACCACAGAGTGAAAAANAAAAAGATCTTTTGTCATTTTCTTTTCCCTTTTTTGGACCAATGCCAAAGCCCAAAGGTTTGCGACATCGTGTCTAATCAAGAAGCCGTGCAAATTGTATCAACGACACTCAATCGAGAAAAATCTGCCGAGCAGTTGGTCAAATGCGTGGCCCGTGGTTGGACATATCAGCATTTGTACTCTTTTCTTCATTCATCCCCTTCATATGGGGAGGACATTCAAGATGTAAATGTACCTTCCTTTGAATAAAACACACTAGTTGTTCTGGGTGTGGATGAGTAAATATTACTGTCAGATAATGTCTAACCTAAATAATACTAGTTATTGTAAGCCAAAGAGTAGAGTCCTTCATTTTTTCATTATATTTCTTTTTGTTCTACGAAAAATATATTTAAAAATGATTTTGAGGATGTGGAAAATTCATTGCTTTCATATTTCTAAGGAGAATCAACGTAAAGTCCTTCATTTTTTCATTATATTTGTTTTTGTTCTACGAAAAATATATTTAAAAAAGATTTTGAGGATGTGGCAAATTCATTGTTTTCATATTTCTAAGGAGAATCAAGTTGAACTTTGCCAAAGCCAAAATTAAAGTATATTTACCGCCATCATCCAAAAAAATTCCTTTCCCTTTAATTTCATCCACCCCAAGCAATCCCTTAACCTCTTGATACCATAATAAATTGCTCCTCCAACAAACTAACCCACCCCTAACCCACACATCTCTCACTCACCCTCCATTTTTTGCATGCACCAAACTAGAAAAAATGGCTCTACTCAAGTTCCTTCTTCTCACCATCCTCCTACTCTCTTCCTTCCACTTCCCCTCCCACGGGCTAACCGACCAAAACCGAACCCTTGAATCCATGATCCTCAAGTCGTGCGACGGAATCGACAACCGAGCCTCGTGCCTCTCAAACATCCGATCCCGAATCAAATCCCAAGACCACATCTCGATCCTCAAGGCCGCACTCCAAAACGCACTCGACGATGCGCGTTCTGCTACTGACAGAGTCACCACATTCAACACCCTATCGTCGTCTGCAAGCCGTCGAGAACAACTCGCCCTCGAGGACTGCAGGGAGCTTCTAGATTTCTCGGTGTCCGAGCTCGCGTGGTCCATGTCCGAAATGCACAAAATCCGTGTCGGCCATGGAGGCCACCGTTCTTCCACCCACGACAACCTCATGGCTTGGTTGAGTGCGGCACTTAGCAACCAAGACACGTGCCTAGAGGGGTTCGAGGGGACAAACCGGCGGCTCGAGCGTCTCTTGAGGGGAAGCCTCTCTCAAGTGAATCAACTCATCGGGAACGTGCTCACGCTGTACTCCGAAATGCACCACCGGCCTTTTGAGCCGGCCAAAAAAAGCAACAATGGTAATTATAATGATAGTCGTGATAATTATGAAGAGAGCGTAGATTTTGGGGATTTCCCGAAATGGATGAGCGAGGGGGACAAGGAGATGCTTGCCTCGAGTCCTAATCATGGCATGCATGTGGACTCAACGGTGGCATTGGATGGGAGTGGGGACTACCGGTCGATAGGGCAGGCAATAATCGAGGCCCCGAGCCATAGCGTGAGGAGGTACGTGATACATGTGAAGGCGGGAGTTTACAAGGAGAATATAGACATGAAGAGGAAGAAAACAAACATCATGCTCGTTGGGGATGGAATCGGGAAGACCGTTATCACGGGGAATCGGAACTTCAAGCAAGGGTGGACGACGTTTCGGACCGCCACATTTGGTAACTTTCATTATACATAATACAAACCTAATCAATTTCAATACTCTAAGTTTTGTCGTCAATCAAATTTGGTAGTTTTTCGTTTGTCGACCGATGGTCGAACAATAATTTACTTGTGGGTTCTTCACAAAAAACTAAAAATTGCCAATAATGTACGTACATTCTAATTTTTTTTCCTTATGTTAACGTATTTTAACATGAAAATCCAACGAGTGCAGCTGTCTCGGGCAAGGGGTTTATCGCGAGGGACATCACCTTTCGGAACACGGCGGGCCCCGAGAACCACCAAGGCGTCGCCCTTCGAGTCGACTCGGACCAGTCGGCCTTCTACCGCTGCAGCATGGAAGGTCACCAGGACACACTCTACGCCCACTCCCTCCGCCAGTTCTACCGCGAATGTACCGTCTCCGGTACAATCGACTTCGTGTTCGGCAATGGGGCCGCCGTCCTCCAGAACTGCCGCATTCTCACACGGGACCCACTACCCCTCCAGAAAGTCACTGTCACTGCACAGGTAAAGCTATAAACGAACTGAGTCAAAGTGAATACTCAATGTTCGATTTAGATACGTGATTCGAGTGTTAGTATCCGTATGTGATTCGTAATCGAATTTTGTTTCGTAATTCGTATTTGATGATTAAAGTTAGTTGAATATATTTGATTGTATTGGAAATTCACTTTCAAAAATTATTTATATTTTTTTAAATATATTTTATTAATTTATATTTATACTTAATATTGATCTATTATATATAAAAAAAAGTAATATTTTGTATAATATATTACCTTTGAGATAATTATTATGAACAAATCGAATTTTTCGAAGCGAATATGTGCACATTCAGATTCGTATTCATACAAACTCCGTATACTAAAAACTATTATTATTCGAATTTGAATTTTTATAAATACAAAATTCGAATTACAAAATGTTTGATTTGTTTACAATCCTACACGCAGGGCCGCAAGGACCCTCGCCAGGCCACGGGCTTCACAATCCAAGATAGCTACGTGTACGCAACTCGGCCCACCTACTTGGGCCGGCCCTGGAAGATGTACTCGCGGACCGTGTTCATCAACACGTACATGAGCCCAATGGTGCAGCCGAGGGGGTGGCTCGAGTGGTACGGGGATTTTGGGCTGGCCACATTGTGGTACGGTGAGTACAAGAACTATGGGCCGGGGGCTTCGCTTGCCGGTAGGGTGAGGTGGCCCGGTTACCATGTTATTCGGGATGCCTCGACAGCCGGGTTCTTCACCGTGGCCCGGTTTCTTGACGGGATGACGTGGCTTCCGGCTACCGGCATCAAGTTTACTCCTGACTTGACTAATTAGTGTACACCAACTCCTAATGTAATGAGTATATATAGGAGGAGTTGCATATTGTAACTTAAACAAGTGATAGTTAGAAAGCAATTACGTACACTGTATTTAAGGTAATATATGGAGATTAACAAAATAAGAGAAGGAATTAGTTCTTGGCACTTAATTAATTAGCATGTGGTTTATAAGCCATATATCCAAGTGTTTATACAGTAGTCATCTGCTAATTACTTAACTCACCATTATTAACGGATGATCAAATTCATTGTAAATAGCCTTCTTGAAAATTCTTCTCTCCCTAATTAATAAGCAAAGTAATTACTCAGAGCAAGTCCAATGTTAGCGCCATAATGCCGCTCTACTTCGAAGCTACGAAAAATACGCGCTACATTTTCGTACTAAAGATGTTCACTGTACTACAATTTTCTCTCAATTTTTATTTTGTTTTTAATTAATTTTTTATATCTAGCTTGATGTATTATTTTGACAACTTATACACTAGTATGTTTATTTATCTTGCAAAATAATTTTGAATTTGTAGTTGTACTTAAATTTTATTTTTTGACTAATATATTTCAAATAAAGTAAAATGCAATACCAACCATTAGAGACTAAAAGTTAAATTTTGGCTTTCTATAGTCCCTCAATAAACTCTACTTTCAATGAGAGCAGAAAATTAGAGGGTAGCATGATCAATTCTATTCTTCATGTAAATTAGACTTAATAATCAATGACACGAGATCTTTCAAACAAAATAACTTTACTTTCCTGCCAAGAACCCAGTCCCTACATTCATGCACTGGCTTTAACGAAAAACCGCCGTTTTTAACGGTACTCCAAGAGTCTTATTTTCCTCAGTAAACCAAATCATTGGTCCTAAACATGACTCCAATTTCCCTCCAACTTCTTTTTCTTCTTCCCATCACCAAAGAGAACCACAACACCACAAAACCGTTATGCAAATATATACTTCCTCTCCTCTTCCAAACTCCTATTCTTCAAGGAGAAGGTCCCCATCCTCCCTTCTCCACCACCCCATTTGAAACCTCACTCACTCACACACACTAAATTTCTCCTAAAAAATAAAAAATAAAAAACAAAAAAATGAACGAACGCACGAAAAAGATCGGTATTGTGTCCGTTTGCTCCATCATCCTCGTCGCCATGGTCGTGGCCCTCGTCGTTGGCGGCCGCGGCTCAGACGACGACGAGACCCCAGACCTGTCGTCCTCTCAGAAGGCCATCTCGACCATCTGCGAGACGACCGACTACCAACGCTCGTGCGAGGAAGCCCTCGTCTCATCCGGCGCCGGCAACTCGACCGACCCAAAGGACCTCATCGCCGCCGCCTTCCAAGCCGCCATCCGCAAGATCGGTGAGGCCGCCGAGCGCTCGTCGGCCCTCCGCGCCGCGCAATCCGACCCGCGGGCCCGCGCAGCCCTCGATAGCTGCCGAGAGCTGGCGGGCCAGGCCTCCCGAGACCTCGAGCGCTCGTACGCCAAGTTCAACGACTTCGACATAACCAACGTGGATGATATCCTCGTCGAGCTCAAGGTTTGGCTTAGTGGAGCCATCACCAACGAGGAGACGTGCCTCGACGGGTTCGAGGGCGTCCCGGGAGACGCTGGTGATTGGATGCGGGCCGCCCTCAAGTCGTCCATGGAGATGACAAGCAACGCGCTCGCCATGGTGGCAGAGATCTCGACTTTTTTGGAGACGATGGGAATCCAAGGGTTCAAGAGTAGCCGTCGTCGGCTCCTCTCGTCGTCTGTGTTGGGCCACGACGCGGAGCTTCCGGAATGGATTGATTTCGAGTGGACACAGAGGAGGCTCATGACGGAAGCTTCTTTTTCGCCGCAACAAATTAAGCCGAACGTCGTGGTGGCTAAGGATGGTACCGGAAAGTACCGGACGATAAACGAGGCACTAAAAGACGTGCCCAAGAACAACAACCGAACATTCGTGATGTATGTGAAGGAGGGAGTTTATGAAGAGAAGGTGTGGATCAACAGCAGTCTCACTCACCTGATGATCGTCGGGGACGGGCCCACCAAGACGAGGATCACCGGTCGATTGAACTTCATCGATGGCACGGGGACTTACCAAACGGCCACCGTCGGTTAGTTAGTTACTGATTACTATTATATCAACCATTTGGATTTTAATCATTTTACTGTTAGTGAATATTTTCTCAAGACAACATTTCGTGCTTTTCCTAGCCGTGCAAGCGGACGACTTCATAGCTAGGGACATCGGGTTCGAGAACTCCGCCGGACCCGAAAAGCACCAAGCTGTGGCTTTGCGTGTGAGCGCCGACCGAGCGATCTTCTACAACTGCCACATGGATGGCTATCAAGACACGTTGTACGTGCACACGTACCGCCAATTCTATCGAGACTGCGTAATCTCCGGCACCATTGACTTTATCTTCGGTGATGCCGCGGTAGTTTTCCAAGGTTGCACGTTGCTCGTCCGAAAGCCTCTCGACAATCAGCAGAACATCGTGACAGCTCAGGGCCGAAAGGACGTTCGTCAACCTACGGGCCTCGTTATCCAGAACTGCACATTTAAGGCCGACCCAGAATACTACCCACACCGTAACAAGATCAAGTCGTACCTCGGCAGGCCGTGGAAGGAGTACTCGAGGACCATCATCATGGAGTCGTTCGTCGACGATTTCATCCAGCCACAAGGGTGGCTCCCTTGGAACGAGACCTTCGCTCTCAACACACTCTTCTACACCGAGTTCAACAATCGCGGTCCCGGCGCACCAAAGGCCCAACGGGCCAAATGGGCCGGAGTAAAGGAGCTCCCGCCAGCCCGTATCCAGCGCTTCACCGCCGCCGAGTTCCTGGACGGCAACCGTTGGATTCCACCGACCCGCGTGCCTTACGCGGCCGGGTTTATATTCCCGGTGCCAAAGGAGGACCCGAACATCAAGTACTCGCCGGTTGTTCCCGAGGAGAACAAGGATCTCGGCTCGGTTATCGATAAGACTTCGTACGTGGCTAACAAGAACAATACGGGGTCGGGCCAGTCGGCCATCCCACCGCCGCCGCCACCACCGCCAGTCCCACTTTCTGCGCCGGAAATAGCTATCCCTCTCGATATCCTCCCGAGCGCTAGTGCTCCCGAGTCGTCTATAACGGCTTCTCCATCTGTATCTCCTGTCGCGAGTCCTTCGGTCGGGATTTCTCAGCCCGTTTTTAGCGTCTCGCCATCCGTGCTGCCGGTCGGAGGTGACTTGCAATCGACCGGCGGAGGCTCGAATGTGGCTTCAACTCCGAACAATTCTCGTTTACATTCGAGTGCTCAATTAAATATGGGAAGTTCAGATGTAAAGCAGAGCCTAGCTCCGGTGGTTGCTCAGGGAGGTGATTTGGCGGCGGCGGTGGCTCCAGCTCCGGCGACTTTTACCGGTGGCGGCTCGGTGCCGGCAGCTTCTCCGGCTGTCTCGACAAGTGGAAGTGTAGCTGCTACTCCAGAGTCATTAGATGCATTCGTTGATGCTTCCCCTCCAAGCTAGTGGCCTTGTCTTGTGGTTTTCTTTTTTATTTTGTTATTATTTGTAATTTTTTTTTTTAACTAAAGTCATTGAAAATGATATGTATTTCTTTCTTTCATGGATTTAACTTAAAAATGGGGAGTGTATGTAGAGTTTTTCTTTTTCTTTTTTTTTTTCATTCCCGGGTTTTTTCATTGAAACTATAATTTTTGTTGGTTTTATTTATTTAATTTTCTCGCTCTCTCTCTCGTTCAATTTTCTCTAAGTAATTTGCTTGTATACTGCTGTGTCGGTTTATTTTCTCCTACCCTTTTTCAATCTAAAACTCCACTTCGTCTCATCAAGACAGAACTAGGAAACAGTGACCGAAATGAGCCAAGCGAAATAAAATAACCATTTTTGCTTGAATTTTTCAACACCAACACAGCTTTAGTCGAATCAACTAGCACGTATGATGCATCATGTGTTTCTTCCTAAAATTGGGGTGCGGTTCGTTTTTTAACACCAAGATGTACTTAAAGAGACGAAATATAGAAAAACTGGATACATGTAAATGGTTACCTTTTTCACAGTGGTGACTTTGAACTGCTTGCTGCAGGTTTTAATATCTCAAAATAACATACTAATGATTCATCGACAATCAAAAGAGCACCGACATTTTCGAATTCACCTCCATAGTTGGGAGCCAAGAAAATTGTTGACTAGTCTTCTCTTAGCAAAGAACTCATATCCATCCTCCACAACCTGCAAAATGAAGAAATTTTACGTCAGAATATAGTTGTGTTTGGATATTATTTCATTTTCATTTTCGCTACAAAATTGTACCCAAGAAACTTATTCTTACTTTTTTATAGAAAAATTAAATATTCACCCAATCAGTTACGATTGATTTTCTACTTTTATGCCATTTCCCTTTGAAAAAACATATCCATCATTAATATTCTCAAACATAAGAAAAAATAATTCCCAACATCAAATTGCACCCAATCACAATCTAAATCTTATTTCTGAAATGATTAGGCAATAAAAATTGCACAAACTTAGGATTGATGCAGATATGCGTGATTATTGTGGACATATGCCTAATTTTGTCAGCGTCCATTTTAGCTAATCAAGCTTTAAATAAAGGTTTCTCATCTCTGTTTGCACCAAAAGTAATTGAAAGATGTTGATATAGATTAAATATAAATGCATTTTATTAAATGCCGTACTCTTGAAACAAAACACCTAACCACAAAAGAAGCAGAAAGGAACAACAAAATCAAACCAGTCAAAATGCTAAGGGCTGTCTATTTGGATGAGTGACTTGATGATTGTGTACCGAGCCAAATATTTTACTCACAGTTGTATAAGTAAACCAACTTGTACAGAATCGGATATACAAACTTCTAAGTTGAATAGCGTTTCGCAAGCATCTAATAGTGAATCAATGACACCATACCGAGAAAAAACAGGTATGTCGCTATTCTAAACTTTCACCAATTGCTACATGTTAATAAAAGGACTTGAGCATTGATTTTCCCGGAGAATTCTCCCCTATAACATTATAGTGATGTAATAATATTACTATTGCAGTGTTTTTAAGACGAAACCGCCGAGTTGAATTCATGTCAGCAAAAACCAGCAAGAACATGAATGAAAATCATTGAGGTTAACCTCATAAACACGAAGCCATGCTTAACTTTATTCGTAGTGAAGAACCCACACGAATCTAATTTTTTAAGGAACGTGTTGTGAGCAAATTTGTTTGAGTATGGAACCATTTGTCTTGCTAGTATGAGAAGGAAATGACTAATGAATAAAATAAACTCAGCTAAAACTTGATCAGATAACACAGAAACAACCCACAAATCCCACCTCATAATTATGCACACCCAATGTCACATTTATCCACTACAACAGGAGAAATTCATCATTCCCAAACATCAAACACATTTCCCCTCCACTAAATGTGTACAAAAGAACAAAAATCCTTTGTGCAAAATCACAATTATTTCCAACCTTAATTCAAAAGGGGACAAAAATCAATAACAATAATAAAAAAAAAAATACACATACGTCATATCCTGATTGGCGGAGGAGAATGGACTGGGGGAGAAAATTCTGGTGAGCGGCGGATCTCAGCCTCCGACAGCTGAACCCGCTTTCCCCTTTTCCCTTCGAGCAGCCGCCGGATTATATCGTCCGGCAAACCCTCCTCCATCATCCCTTCCATTCGTCATTATCTTTCGGGTTGAAACATAGAAATTGAGCAAGGGTTTTCGATTTTTTTAATTGAAAAAACTTATTACGATGATTTATGTTTAGTTAGCTATCGGTCGAATGTTCTGCTTTTGGTAGCTAGTTAGAGTATGAAGACCAGGATTTCAGATGGTATCGTTTTTGCACATGTTTCTCCCGCGCGCGGGTACACAAACTTTGATACACGAATTATTGTATTATTTATTTTAATTATTATATTAATTATTTTAATAAATTTTTCAAAACATGACAACAAAACTAATGGTGTAAATTGGATTACTTGCCACGTTATAAGATGATCCGGGGCAAAGCTAAAGCAGAGGATTTCTCATGTGGTGTTAAATTGAATTGTTAGGCAAATATAGTTTAGTTTGACTCTTGAAAGATTGAACTCTGTTTGTTCATTTATTGAATGAATCGAATTCGAATAGGTTATTAAACATGTTGTTGGCAGGAGTGCAAACGAGTCGAGTCGAACATTGATTTTATAAAGTAAGATTGATTTCTTTTTTGTTAGCTGCTCAAGCTCGAATCGATAAAAAAGTACAATCGCTCGAGCTCGACTAGAAATTAAAATGCTTGAGTTCGACTTGATATTTTTTAAGTAGAAAAATAAAATTGCCATTAATCACTTATGTTATACAATTGTAATATATATAAGAAGTATTTTAGTAATTCAATATATATCTCGAGCCACTCAACAATGCAAAATATGGGCTCGACCTCGGTCCGAACTCGAGTCGAGTTTTGACTCGAGCTCGATTCGTTTACAGCCCTGAGCAGTGCTTATTATTCTTTTTTTTTTTCTTTTTTATACAGTACAATAGCAATCTAACATTCACATTGATATTTCCAATGATCTTTCATTTATTAACTTCCTAATAATATAACTTTGAAACCACAAATTCTTATTTAATAACATAGTGGTTATATAGGTCGACTATACGTTATTTATAAGAACTTATACTTATACCTGGAATACTATACTTTTATTTGTGTGATAAGATTGTTGTTAGGCAGACCCAATGATTAGACCGTCATACTTTTTCATCGAAGATGCATGCTTTCATACACAAGTGACATATTTAAAAAAACAACATAACAAATAATATGATATTTCTCAATATAAGTATTTATTTTTGTACAAAAAGTATGACTTGCCGACATGCTTAACCATTATTATTCCTCACCCAATATTTTGTATAGAATTAATTTGTGCATAATTATTAAATAAATTTGTATTTTTAATGATTAAACCTTTTTTGAATTTTTTTGGAATTAATTAACCTCACGATGGATTTGTCCTAGAGGTAAATAGCGGTGTGGTTCGGTGAAAAAGGGCACGAAATTAACTGCAAAAAACTAAAAAACATACCTAGGAAAAAAATAATCAAACCGCTCTGCTAGTTATTTAGAAAAAAAATCGAATAAACATTATTTTACACTAAAATAATCCAACCGAATTGTACCGAAATGCACGGTTCATACCGGTTTTCGATTTTATATCGGTTTTTTATACATTTTATTCAATTTGACGCGGTTCGGTGCAGTACCAAACAAAGCTGAATACCGTTATGAAGAGATATAGCTGCATCGCACCGCACCGTAACGTTGGAAAAAATTGAATCGAAACCGAGACTAATTTTTTTCCTATAAAAAAAATACGGACATGAATCAAACCACACCAAATTGCACAGTTTGGCTTGACTTTTTAGTTTGGGCTCAATTTGGTCACCCTAATTTTTATCCTCCTCAATTACCAATAATCTTTCATTAACTAAGTTGAAAAATTACATTAAATTATGTTTAGCGAAACTCAAAAAAAAAAAAGAAAAATTAAGTTTAGCGCAAGACATGGCGTGTGCATAGACGAAAGGGAGCCAAAGACTGAACGCAAGCCCTTTGCCGTGCAGAGTTGAACTTGAATCAAATATTAATGCGTTGCGTGTGTAGGCCTACAAATGCTTATTATTATTATTATTACTATTATTATATTCCAAAAGGTTTGGTTGTGTCTCACCATTTGCAGCCAAAACATATGCCAGCTTTCAAACGTCACTCGTTATATCCATTTTGTGGGTGGCAGTCATAAAATCCCCCCACTTTGTAAGGTGGAAAAATCCCACTTTACTTAATTTTTTGCGGGCCCTTTTTCTCCTCATTTACACTGCCAAATTAACCTCAAAATCTTACGCCATCCTCACCACATTTTTAGGGCGTGCTAGGATATAAATAATTAAGTTTGTTTTTATGAACAAGAAAAAAGGGAAAATAAGGTTTGTACCTCTCAAGTATAAACATTACTGTTAAGTTTTAACCTATACCCCTATAAGTAGTAAGCTTATTCTACTATACTTTTATTTGAAAATCATATAAGTGAATCTCCAAATTTTATATCTCATAAACCTTATTTACTTTATAAGTTGATAGGATATATAGGATATGTTTGGATAACTCTTGTTATCCAACGTGTACTAAACATGATGGGATTATATAATGAGTTGATGTGTCATGTGGGTCCCACACTTTTATCCGTGATTGGCTGTTTATTTTGTCCAATCTTGAGGTTGGGACATTTTAATATATCCCACCTTAGAATGACAATTTTGTCCAAAAATTGGCAAGTGAAATGTCTCTTTTACCCTTAGAAGTCCACCAAATTACACATTTAGACCATATAAATATATTTTGTTGCCATTCTTCTTCGCCACCGAGCCCTAGTTTCTCTCTGCGTCAACTGTGTATAAGGTCGCCCTCGACCACCTACGAAATTTTTTTGTGGGTTCTCGTCGCTTTAGATTTGGAATTGGGATCGATTTTGTGTGTAGAATTAGGATCGATTTGTGTGTAGGAGATGGTAGATGAGTGATAAAATTTATAGTTGTCATATGCTTTTTATCATATCATTTTATCCAAGTTGGTAAGGTTAGTAATTGCTTAATTGTTTTTACCTTCAAATGAATCATGCTTTTTAAACATTGAACACAAGTTGATATGTAAAGTTGATGGAATTAAACTGTCAAGTCCATAATGTAAACGAGGTCATAGGGTATATATATATAATCATAGAAAGAAAACGACCTTAACAAGTTGTACATATAATTCGATCCTCTCATAACTCATTTTACAACCAAATACTTCCTCTGTTTTATATTATTTGTCCTTCTAACTTAAAAGAATAAAATTACGTATTGATAGGAATTAGTTGTCTTATCCTGTACATTAGATTTTCCTAAATATCTCCTAAATCTTATTTATCATTTTTAACAAATTTCTCTCTACTTAGTTTTCCACGAATATGAACAGATTTTTAGGATTTTAAATAGTTACAAAATAAATTAGTTCATAGTTATCCAAAATGATAATTAATAAGCAAAAAAAAAATAATTAAAATAAAACGGAGAGAGTAGCTCGTAATTTAAAAAACTATTTTATCAAATTCAATTGACCTCGTTCAATCAATACAACTGATCGAGCTAATGGGAGATATAGTGTTCACCTTTAGCTGATATTTGATGTTTTATCAACGCGAAAATTTTATACTTAAGTCACACGATGCTAGATGACGACCAAGTTCATGCGTCTATTATGAAAAAAATGTGGTGTTATAATTAAGCTGATAATCTTTATTGCTTGATTAGATATGGTTCTTAAAGTTGTTTGTAAAACTATATATCTTCAATCCATGCATGATATGCACTACAAAAAAATTATTATATTCTAACGGAAAATCTTATGGTAATATATTCCAATGGAAATTCCAACGGATATTCTAATGGTATAGCTTTCGTTGAAATTATTCCAATGGAATTTCCAACGGAAATATTCCGTTGGAATGTATTTTTCATTGGAATTTTAGATGGAATTTGATGATTCCAACGGCTATATTTCCAACGGCTTTTGACTGTAGGAATTTCCGTTGGAATATACAATTTCCGTTGGAATTTTTATTTCCACCACCGTTGGAAAATCTACCGTTGGAATCGTCATAATCCAACGGAAATTCCAATGGAAAACTCATTCCAACGAAATATTTTTGTTAGAATTTCCGTTGGAATAATTCCAACGGAAATAATAGCATTGAAATATCTGTTGGAATTGCCGTTGGAATTCTATTAGAATATATTTCCGTTGAAATTTCATCATTTTCTTGTAGTGGTTCTCATTCGACATGTATTTGTGCAACATGTTATAACTCTTTTTAATTAGCTTGAAAATGTTATATAAAATTGGTCTATATGCGGTATTTGAAATTAATTGTCCAACCCATTTGTGATTCTAAAGTTTGCAATTTTTAGATATTATGTGGGTTATTTATTTCATAATTTTCCTATTATCATGTGAAATTCTAACAATTTGGCTTGGTGCACTCACCAATAGGCACGAGTTTTCCGAAAAATTACATCTTAGGGCAGTATTGTCAAAACTTCAGGAATGTTTAAGATTAAAAAAAAAAAAACCCTTCAATAATTGCCAGCTAGATCACCAGGCAAACTTTGATAGGAGGCTAACCTTCTATTTACAACCACAATTAAAATAATACAATATAATCATTACATCTAATAAATAAACCAATTAATCCGATTTAAATCTACATAATAACTAATAAATACTAACTGCAGATTAAACGCATATTGAATTTTTCTTTTGTAAGGCTAATTATAAACCAAGTACAGACCAAAAATACCCTCACTAGCTCAAAAATCGAGTTCAATATGACAACTTGGTCGATAAATATAAGTGGTCAAACGTAAGGGGTAGTTTTAGTACAAAGCTGAATTAAAGGAGGACAGTTTCATAATTAAATAGTGAATGATCCCTTAATTAGGATAGTGAGTGATACATAAAACCTGCCAATATGGATATGCCATCAAAATAGTATCTTTAACCAAAATTTTCATTCTGCTCAAAGATGGCAAACAAGTCCTAAAGGAATTAGTAAAAAAATTCAATCTCGTCGGGTTTTTAATATTTGATCAACACAAAATCAAAATTCAAGCAAATTAAGGCATTTATTAGATTTGCATGGACCTCCAAAAAGTACCCAAAGATCTAATTTCAGACATTAGAATTGGAGGGGGTCCCCCTCCATAATAAATTATTATAATAAACTCAATATAGTAATTTATCATAAAATTTATAATTTTAGCTATATTTAAATGAAAATAAAAATTAAAAACAAGAAAATTCGAAGAGAAAAAAAAATATCAAATCAAATAAACACACACACTCATATCATATGTGATGTTGTTTTGGATGATTACACCATATAGTGTGTGTCGATCTGATTGCTAAAACCACCATATATGTAGACGATAGCCACTGAGTATAAAATATATTATATTTGCATGGACCAACAAACAACTACAAATTAAAGATCTAATTTAAGACATTAATTAGCTCTATATACATGAAAATAGAAAAAAAAAATTGAGAAAAAAAAAATTAAATAGCACACACATTCATATCAATATCATATGTGATGTCGAATTTGCCGTGCTGAGTGAGGAACACATGTTGGAGAAGGGGAGCACGTGCAAAGAAGGGACCACTGCACGTGTGGAGCTCACATGGTTTGCACGTGCCCTGCTTCTCCAACAAGAGCTACACACTCCATAAAAATACTAAAATATTACAAATTGCCATTACACAATTATATGTTGTTTCTTATAATTAAGCAAGAAAATGAAGGCAAAGACTCACTTGTATTTATAGTGTGGAGTTTATGAGAGAGAAAAATGGTGTAGTTGGGGGAGAGTTAAAGCAATGGAGTCTTTGAGTGGCCATTCTTTAAAGGCTCATCATCATCATGCTGAGTGAAAAAAAAAAAAGAAGAAAAAATAAGAGGGGAAGTCTTTTTCTTGCCCATGCAAAGCTCTAAAGCTATTTAATGTTTTCTTGAGATGGGATTGGGTTGCATGATGAGCACACAGAGTTGAGATTCTAAAGCAAGCAATGAAATGATTAGACATTTTTTGCTTCTTTTTTTCAAGATTTGACCTCAATTTGACAACCCACCCCACCCCCCATGTAAATAATTTAGGGGTAGATATAATAGTAGTTCACTTTTTTTTTTTATTAGGTTAATTATATTGGTTCTAAAATTACAAAAATTAGTGCATGGATCAAACTGACTGCTAGGCAAGTTGAGTCATTACATTTTTAAGAAGAAATACATATATTATTAAATGTTATAATTTTATTTATGTTATTTTTTAGAATATGACATATGACTTTGAAAGTATACATTTCAATTGGAAAAATATGATTATCTATGTGCATAAGCATAATATTTAAAATGCAAGAACGTCATTAATATAATTAAATTTGAAAAAAAAATATGCAAGAACATCAATATAATAATTAATTTCCAAAAAAATTAAACAATCCTTTCATAAATCATAACTCAATATTTCATTACATAGTAGAAAGCATGAACACTTGTGTGAGGCTAGCTAGCGTATTTGTAACAAACACGTATCGTATTTGATACTTCATCATAAGTTATGTATTTTAATAATATTTAAAAAAAAATATTCTAGATTCATATTAATGCTAGAAAAAACAATATTAATAAAAATATAACGTTGCATAACATAAATATACATTTTTATTACTAAAATTTTAACGGATGGATCAATCTAACTAGCTATTTGGGTGTCCCATCTAAAAAATTGTGATTACTCGAACAGAAGGGTGTTTTGAAATGAAATCCAAAAGATTTCTATATTAAATCTACCGTGATTTTTTTTTTTTACCATTTTAAATTAAATGCAAAACATGTGGTACTAACACTATACGTGTAAAAGTTAGGCCCATTAATTAGCCATAATAAATTGTTATTGCATCACTTCCCTAGTCANTTTATCTTGAAAATCGAACTTAAAATTTTGACCAATTTATATAAATTTGGCAGCATTAAAAGGGAGATGGGGGAAAAGAAAACAGTAGAGCAGAAGTTTTGAGTGAGATATTGCAGTGGAGAAGTTTGCGTGTTGTGCGCGAGTTACGTTGATTACTTTATTTTACTTTATTGCTACGTACCTATTAATACCCCTACTCCAATCTTGCATTCACTCATTGGCACTACAACTACTATCAAATTAAACTAGCAGATCGTGAGCTCTCCGCTCGATAAGACTGAAATTCTATTCAAACGAGTCAAATTTGAACTCATTTAAAGCTCGTCGAGTTCGGTTCAGCTTAATAAAGTTCGTTAAGACTCAAAAAAATAATTAATTTTTATGTATTTTTCTATAGTTCAGCTCGATTTTGGTTCGTTAATATTGATAAGCAAGTCTAGCTCGAGCTCAGTTATAAACTTGTTAAGTGTTCGAGCTGGGCTCGGGCTCGACTTGGTTCGTTTGATAAACGAGCCAAATTGGAGCTCATATAAAACTCGTTCAGTCCACAAGCCGAGCTCGGGTCAGCTTGATAAAACTCGAAAAGGTTTTTATGTATTTTTTTTGTAATTGGACTCAATTTTGGCTCGTTATGGCTCGAGTTCGGCTCATTAATATTGATAAACAAGTTTAATTCGAGCTCGGCTCAACTCGTTTACACAGTTGGCCTAGAGATGCTTGATGAATTTCAAGCCCCATCCCACAGATTATAAGTTTATAACTCAATCCAATAAACGGGCCCTCTCATTTAAAAGCCCCATCCCATATACTACAACTCAATCAAATAAACGGGCTTTCTAACCTAATTTACGTAAGCCCAGCTCAATATGTCAATAGAACTTCAAGCCCAACCAAATTAGCCCCCAATCCCCATCTCGATCTTATCCAATTGTCACGCACTTATTGCTTTCCCCGCCACGTCACCTCACTTTCCCTAGATCCGATCGGACGGCCACCATCTCATCTCCATCGAAAGGAGCTGATCGACCTTCAACGCTTGATACCGTCCATAAATATCGGCGCTGGCTCTTGAAATGCGCACTCCTCACTGAAGCACTCAGCTCAAATCTAGCTACCCTTTGCTAACGTGCGCGTGCCCCCCAATGGGTTTACTCGACCAGCTCTGGGACGACACGGTCGCGGGCCCCCGGCCCGACACCGGCCTCGGCAAACTCAGGAAACACTCGACCTTTAGCTTCCGACCAAACTCCGGCAAGGGTACGCACGCCGGGAGACTTAAAAACTAATTGATGAATAACTGTACTGTCAAGTAAATTGCTGCGATTAATTTAACTGAGCAGAAATTTTCTGATTTTGTCGAGTATTTACGGAGGAATCAATCTAAATGCTAGATTTATTATTTATGAGCACGAACGATCATAGGAGTTTTCTGAATAGTAGCCTGGTTTAAAACGGGTATTGAATGGGTGTTTTGAAATCTGGTTTTGTAGAATCAGAGGCTGTGAACGGTGGAAGATCCATCGTAGAGGAAGCCGGCGGAGACGAGGTGAGGGTGACTAGAAGCATAATGATCGTGAAGCCGCCGCAGTCCGATCAGAAGGACTCGCCGCCGGTTTCTCCGGCGGGCTCCACTCCACCGGTATCCCCCTTTGCCGGTAAGCTGTTAATTCAAAGCTCGATGGGTAAAATATTGCATTAGCTGTTCATAGTTAGTTGGGATTTTCATAGGGTTTTCAGGTACATTGGCGGCTCCCTCTAGATGATTCCTCTGGATCTGGACAGGGGTAGTCTTGTCTTTTTCTGGGGGTTCGGGGGTAATTTAGTCATTAACTATATTGAAGGATAATTCAAAGCAAACGATATTTCTGGCTGTTTCCTGCATATGGGTGATTGGTGGGGTCTAAGATGATGACATGTGTTTGAATCTTGAATGGAAAATCCACTTCATTATTGCCTTAAAAATTATTATGTCCCTTTTGGAGATAACTTTTTCTTAGATATACAAATGTGTGTGATCAAGATTTGAACCTAACTTCTTATAAAGGCTATTGTTTTATTGTTTATGCGTGGTATCAAGATTGTGAGTGTTTTCGCTTATTCTATATCATCTTGTAAGGTGCAGTAGTTAGTAGGACTTAGGCAAAAGATATGCCAATGTTCTTGATTGATAATTGATAAAAGCATGCGAAAATAGGTGATTGTTTACTGAAACTTCATCATATATCGAAACAATTTGCAAATTTAGTTAATTGTTTTCAATTTTCATAGTTGTGAAAGAGATGTCTTTGATAAACCAAACTTCATGTATTGAAACAATTTGCAAATTTACTTGTTGTTTTCATAGTTTGTGAAAGAGATGTCTTTGATAAACCGCGGTCTCTATTCGTTGGCCATATTACGTCACGGTTTAATTCATGAGTGTAATAAAGGCGAAGAGTAAATAATGCCTAGCATAAGATTTTGATGTTCATTATAGTTTTGTTAATATGTTAGCGCGTGATGATTGTTTAATTAGGTGCTGGAGGGAAAGAAGCTTTTCGGTTCCGTAGGAGATCGGCATCGTTTGCGTACGAGAAGGCTAATGGAGTGGGACCCAGAAGCCCTCCTCCTCCTTACGACCTTTGAGATTTGAGTACGCGCGTGATGTTCTTTTTCTTGATACGACAATTGGAGCAAGCTCGGTTTTCTAGGATTTCCTGCTTAATTTCTTGCTCGATGGCTTGAGTTTCTTTGCTAGTGCGTGTGTACTTTTAGCTCGTAAATATGTTATGAATGTAATTATAAGGTTTGTGTATCCATAATCTCTGTGGAGTATGGAAGCTGGTTGTGAATCCAAACTTTCTGAAGTGTGTTTTGTGTACTCTCTCTCTCTCTCTCTCCCTCTCTCTCTCCCTCTCTCTCTCTCTCTCTCTCTCTCTCTCTCTCTCTCAAACATGAAAGAGTGCATTGTCTTAGGCAGGGACTCATATCTTCATATCCAACCCCTTCCCAACCTGCTGCTAACAAGTCTGAATCGAGCATGGACTTTGTTGAGCGTAGGTCGAACTTTTTTCTTGTTTGAGCTCGACGAGCCATGTAAAATAGTGCTCGACTCGTGAAAAAAATAAGATTGCTCGAGCTATAGTGCTCGAGTTCGACTTGATGCTTGACATGACTCAAGTTCGGCTCAAAATTTAAAACTTAAGTATAAATATAAAGGTATTATAGTTAATCTTAAAGAGCCAATTTTAGCTTGTGTTTCAATATTGATAATTAAACTATATAGTATTTATGTAAATAAAAAGTCGAGACTCGAGAGGCTAGTTGAGCTTAGAGGCTCAACTCAATTGAATTGAGCTCGAGTTTGATCTAGTTCAATTCGAGCATTGAGACGATGCTCGAGGCTCGACTCAATTGAACTGATTGAGTTCGAGTTTGACCGAGCTCAAGTCGAGCATTGACACAATGCTCGAGGCTCAACTCAATTGAACTGCTTGAGTTCGAGTTTGATCAAGCTCAAGTCGAGTATTGATTCAAGTGCTCGCGAGTGACTCGTGAGGCGCTCGACGCGTTTGCAGCTCTATACCCAAAAAATATATTGTGGTAAATAACTTTTATGAACTTAATATAAGAATTACATAAATTATATGAAATCAACAATGTGATTGTAAAATATTATATCCTGTTTAGATAAATAATATGATCCATTTAATGTAGAGAAATGTTGTAAGTACGTAATATTGTACAAAGGGGTGTACATAACACTTATATTGAGTGGGACCAACAAAAAATAAAAAATCGAGTGGATGCCACTCCATGTGAGTTATGTGCACCTCTATGTACATTTATTATGTACTTGTAGCATTTTTCATGAATGTAACCATATGTATGCATGCATGTAAATAGTTGAATTATATAAATGATATGAAATCAACAATGTGATTGTAAAATAATATATAATGACATGAAATCAACTATGTGATTGTAAAGTAATATATCCTGTTTAGATAAATAATATGATCCATTGAATGTAGCCATATGTATACATGCATGTAAATAGTTGACTAGTATAAATGATATAAAATCAACAATGTGATTGTAAAATAATATATAAATGATATGAAATCAACAATGTGATTGTAAGATAATATATCCTGTTTAGATAAATAATATGATCCATTGAATGTAACCATATGTATACATACATGTAAATAGTTGAATTATATAAATGATATGAAATCAACAATGTGATTGTAAAATAATATATCCTGTTTAACAAACCAGTTACTGATTTGCAAGGGACCCAATTTCAGCAACAAAAATGTCTCATTTCTCTACAAGCCAAATCAATAATAACACATCATACTAAAACACCATTAGTCTTGAACCTTGATTAACAAAACAAAATCAGGTACGAAAATCTCACAAGACCAATCTTGAATCAATCTTCTTCCTCTGCCTCGTTCTCAGCAATGTTGAAGTACCTCAATTCATAGACATTTCGGTCCTTGTTTGATGCTATCACCCGGAGCCAATCACGCACATTATTCTTCTTAAGATATTTCTTTGTCAAGTATTTCAGGTACCTGTGCATGAAGATAACAACAGACAAAAAATTAACTCCTGGCTGAAAATAGGTCAATAGTTTGGGGCACATGTTAATGTAGGTCCCCGAACAGCTCAAATCTATTGGAAAAGTGAGATGGATTTCATAAGTTCAAGCCCACCTGCATATACAAGATACTCACAATTTTTTATTTATTTTACATTATTCGAGTGCGATAACACAGTGCATTGCGAGTGCAATATCACAATGCATTGCAAATGCAATGAAACTGACATCAGTAACATTAACGTAAGTATAGCAATTACCGATAGGCTTATCAATCATCAATGCGGCGCAGCAGAAAAACTATAACATCGTGAGCTAAATTATCGACAACGGATAACCGTTCTTCCAAGACATTAATATCAATATGGATTGTTACGGAAATTCGCAACGGTAATTTGATTACACGATTATCAATACCCTGTTTTAACGTACGAGTTTTCTTACTTTAACAAATGAAATGCAAATATTATAAAATACTATAAATAATAATTTTCGAATGAACAGAAAAAGGCACCATAGACCTTTGTTGACATATATTTACAAAATACAGTCAAAAGCCCATTGACTCATGTTGCCTCAATACTTTTTATTTAGCACTCTCGACTAAAGGCGACTGAGAAACTTTACTACCCAGCAACTCTACCCAAATCAGTAGGAGCAACATAGGAAACAATTTGTCAATCGACCACATTAACAGAAAAGAAAAATGAAAAATGAAAAGCCAAGCTTGATCATTAGTGATTTCAATACAATTAAATGTCCTTATTAGTTTTATCTATATTGACCAATCTCAAGTTGCAACTTTATCAAACGCCAAATACTTTGAGGGAAATCCCTTCAATTGAATATCAAGAAGAGTACCAATCACTTGCATAAACAACTGTTATAAAGGAGAATCAACCAATCATCCAAATAATTCTAAAATGACTTGAGCATTGACAAAGGTGAAAATCCAAAAAAGGTTAGAAATCACCCTCTCCACTAGCAACACTCTGGAGAAAAACCAAACACACACACACTCGCAAAGAACAATGCTGCAAGTTTTTCTCAGAGCTATCTACCCATATCCAATTCCAAAGTCATTGACCCATTTCTTAGGTAGAATCGAAATGGCAACCTCCACATAATATTCGAAAATATAGCAAATAATTTTGAAGTTCATCCGCAACTAAATAAACGGAACACATCACAAACAACACAAACAAACAAGAACAAAAAGGCATAAGGTTACCGCTTGGAGAAGGCGGTGTCGTTGGCTGTCACAGTGATTTTAGTCTTGTCCCTGGCAACGGTAACAGTGTCCCCAAGCGCTCCAGGCTTTCCTCCGACCTTGATGCGCTCCTGAAGGAATTTTTCCAGTGAGGCGATGTCCATGATCTTATCCTCCACCGGCTTCCCACAGTCAATCACGAACGTCGACGCCTTCTTCTTCCCGCCTTTCTGGGCCCCACCACCGGCGGCTCCTCCTTTGCTCATGCCTGCGTTTCCGACGAGATTTCTTCTCCTCCGAGGAAAAACCTGCTACTGTTTGGAGACAAGTAAATAATTGTTGTATAAAATAGTTAGAACGTGCAGATGGTACGGTCTCAACGTCGGCGAAAAGGAGCTGACCTGCGGCGGAAGTGGAGAGGAACGGGAAATGCGGAGTGTGCTGAGAGACTCAGTGAGATAAAGGGTTTTAAAGAGGTTAAGAACTTATGGGCCTCGTCTCAGCCCAACAGTAATGTATCGGTCGTGGGTTGGGCCCCGTATTTTATTATTGTTTTTTTATTATTTATTTTGTTTGTTAGGTGTTAGGACATAGCCTCGTAATAATTTTAACAAGCTCGTGTGCTATGATCATAAACAAATTTGCATCTCCAATTTTAGCTACAAAGGCCGGTTAAATTTGATCTGGTCCTCATCAGGTTTTCAACCAATGGATAAATACACATCCATCATGTGAAGAGAGTGTGCTAAATCATTAATATATTGCTTGTACATATCATGAGAATAATAATTTGCCAATTTTTTCTATATTCAAAGAAAAATATATATTGCCTAATTGCTTTGTAACTCTTGTTGTCTTCTTAATTCCGACAAATGTGTACAAAAGTATGCCCAGCAGTTTGCATTTGAACAAGTGACCCAAATCTCTAAACCCAAGTGAATAACAGGCTTAAATCCAATTTACTTAATTGAACTTTAACTTTAAGTATGGCACTGAATTTTGCAGATGGGAAACTTTCTCCATTGTATCAGAAGAGTAAGGCATCATTAAATCATCAGCCACAAGGCAGACTTATCCACCTATTGTCTGGGCATAAGCCAATAGTTTTTGTGTTAAAAATTTTCTACTTTATCAACAAATACATATACTTTTATGCTCAAATGTCATATTTTAAATAGAAACAAAAATATTTCATTTCGTACTATTAAGTAAGAGTAAGATTAGATAACCTAACAACAGCATTTATGGGCAAAAACATCATATAATGCTCTTATCTCCGCCCCTTTTGATGTTTTTATGATATAATTTACCAATTTAAAGTACGAAACCGACAAACATGAAAAACGAGCAAACAAAATAACGCGACAAAGAAAACCACTGGAACCAAACTCAAAAGCCTCTTCACATTCAATTAAATAAGCGATCTTTATTCCAGTAAAAACACGCACAGAAAATCGAAAGAAGCCAAAGTCCATTCACACAAAGCCGGTGGCTGACGAAAAAATAGTTGATAATAAATTTCCAAGCCACACAAAAATAAGTTCCAGCACATGCCGTGCCAAATGGGTGCACGCAGAACTCAAACCATTACACATTGTTTGCTCAAACACTTATATTATAATCCCAGGTAGGTTCTTTCTCGGATCACAGTAGAGTAATCACTGTCCTTTAGAAGTTCCGCATAACACACACACACACACACACAAACACACCTTATTATGATGGCCGATTTTGAGGTGGCATCCTTTCAGATCCATTATGCCTGTGGCGAACGGGCCCCACGCCAGGCGGGCGAAACGGGCCCCATATCGAGTCTGGGTCGGGTTGGCCCGAGCCCGACTGGAACATAGGCTGATTGTGGTGGTGTTCGTGTTCCCAACGGTGGAAAGGGTCTCGATGAGTGTTGTCGGCTTCTTGGAAGGTTCGGCTTCCGGAAGATGCAGTTGATGAGAGTAGATAAAAGCCGCTGGGCTGATCAGCTGTTGAGGATGGAGGGATGGGCCCCAACTGGGCCAGACCACCCCTGTGGCTGCTGGATCTCCGGGCCGTGGATATGGGTTGGGCCCGTCCACCAATAGGGTTACCGGTGGTTTGTTGAAAGTATGCTTGAAGGGTCGAGGGGCGGTCACGGGGACGGGTGATGGCGCCCGGGTAAGTCGGAAGCACTGACGAGGTGAGGGAGCTCGGCACTCGGCTGGCAGAACTGTAATATATATATATATATACATATATATATATATGTCAAACATTTATAAGAAAGTTACACACTTTTGTGTTGGTCGAAGGAAATCTAAATCACTTTGAGGATAATTAGGAAAACACAAATTCTTGTATGAGGCGGTGGAACCTCAAACTTTTTTTTTGTTTTTTGTTTTTTTTTTTAACAATAATGCATATTCATGCTATGAAATGACATACTTTTGTTTATATTGTTTTTTACGTATGACTGTTAAGTGTGAATGTATACATCTGTTGAAAAAACATGATTGTCTAACTGTGGTAGCTAGTGGCTATGTTTGGTAAACTTAGCTGATAAGCTAGCTTATAGCTTTTAAATGAATTCCGAGCTTATAGCTGATAGCTTATGACTTGTGGCTGAAAAGCTAGCTTATAGCTTTTAAATGAATTCCGAGCTTATAGCTGATAGCTTATGACTTGTGGCTGAAAAGCTAGCTTATATGGTAGAAGTGTTGGGTAAAAGTAGTCTATCGAAATAAAATTTTCAATCGACTTATTTGAAAAGCTACCCAAGGAAGCTTATGAGATAAGCTCAAGCTTTTTAAAAAAACTCGTCCTACCAAACCAAGCTTATTTCAATACAAGAAGCTTATAAGCTAATCAAATAAACTATAAGCTAGCTTATATGCTTACCAAACACAAACACAGCCATAGGTTATGACAAAGATGCCCTGGGGTCTGATCTGGCTTATATAGTTATATTTCTCTGATATGTCTTATATATATACCCGTTTTGTGTGAATAAAAAAAGGGGCATGAAAATTGCATTTAAATTTAAACCAAAAATTACTATCCCTATAGTTGGAGGAATTCCAAGAACTTTTTTTTATTTTTCATAATTCTGAAAAATTTTCTGGGTTTTGTGCAAGGAAAACCACCTTCAAGTAAAATCGTTGCCTTGAGAACTAACAACATTTTCATGGTAGAAAGCCACAAATCAAGAGTAATAATACACCAACCTGTGACCAATAATGAAGGGATGCATTCCAGCTCTCAAGATATCAGAGTTGTTCCTAGCCGTCCTCCGAGTCACGGGTGGAATCAAGAGTTGTTGGTCTGACCCACCAGTTCGAGTGCTTGTGGTAAAACCCGAAGCTTGGTCCCAGTTTTGGTAATGTAAATCCATTGACTGGAAAGAATAGGGAATGGGAACATCGGTAGGGCCCGATGGGCCGTTCCAAGGGTTGTTAAAAGTAGATCCATCTGAAACACTACCACTCGTTGCTGAGGAAGATGGGTGGATAGGCCCAAAATATGTGATGTAAGGGCAGGGTTGGGATGTGGATGAAACGGGCGTATGTTCGGCAAAGACAGCATGGGGCCCGAGAAGATCATGATCTGAAAAAAAAAATAATAATAATAATAAAAATGCTGCAAAATTACAAAAGAGGCTTGATCTGTACTTTAGTGGTAAACCGGGGGGTGAACGAGGTCTTACATGCACTTGATGAAAACTCTCCTTCACTGCAAAAAGAAATGAATGATTGTTAACTGAACAAACAGCTGCTGCTAGATGAAATGAGAGGAGCAAAAAATATAAGCGTGGAATAGAAAAATTCAACAAACAAAAACTAGAATGAAAATAGTAAAAGGCGGGAATCTCTTACTGCTGAGGCTAGTTAAACATTATACTACACCAAATACTGAGCAGCATAAAAAAGTGGCTTTCTACACGACCAAAACAAAAGGAAAAACAAAATTTAAATTAGTCCAGATTTGCTTTTTTGCAACATATTACAAAAAATGTTACAATTTTCAGAAATTCTGCACTCTCAGTCTGAGGTGATTTTTTGTGGCAGCTCTCTTCATAGCACCCAAACATTTCTCAAGACAAAATTGCATCGACTACAGCTAGAATACTCAGGATTCATGCAGTTACATATATTTTTGTATAGAAATGCAGTCAAATCACAGAGAACTCGACCCAACGACTGCAGGTCAGTATATATTTATATTATAGCATGCTGAAATTAAATTCCAGATAAAAATATTAAGTGCAAGTCATATTTGTCGAGTTCGACTCATGTTCAATTATAGAACATAACAAGATTCTCTGAAGGATGTCTCATGTTGATGATCAATGAAATGGGATATGCAACATTCTAACATACTAAAGAATCGGTAACAAATAAGATTATGCCAGACTAAAATAAATACCTAGGTAAAAAGGACAAGTGTGGAATTAAAAGTTAGCCCATGATTCAATACCTTTAGAAACTTCTGACATTGTCTGTGGCGTAGAAATAAATAATGAGAATAAAAAGACCCTAAAATTTGGACTTTTTAACTTGGTAAAAGAGACACAAAGAAGATAAAAGATGATGCTTACTCAAACGATGTAGGAACCCTTGTGAACGGGCACCAATGAAGTCCAAATGACTGCAAGATCATTTAGAAGAAATCATTAATTCCAACTAAAACACAGGTTCGCAGCTTAACTTCCCATGCAATCAGCTAATGGAGTCGAATGTTTTAGTCGATGCGTACAGAGCTACAATTTAATATGAAGTTCATTTTATATGACAGGTGATAGTTGGCAAAACGGTATGAGCCTAATACTGAGTTCCATAAGATTATTCTAATTACATTACGGGCTTTGCAATAAAACAGTGGTTTCACTATAAAATAATACATCAACTACACCAGATACCAATTCTATGAGACCCATACAAAACACAGTTATATACATAAGAGGTCTCAGTAACTGGAGATTGAGGGCAGATTAAGGAAGGCAAAATTTATCAAAAACTCATATACATGATAGATTGGTCAGTCAGAAAATAAAGAATGAAAACAGAAAGAAATGCAGTCACTTCAGCTTCAGAATACAAATAGATCTTCAGATCATAATAAGTTACATTTAGAGATTACCATCTCAGAATAACTTAAATCATATAGATCCTCATCACGGGCCCAATCCTCAAAGTTAAACTCAGGTAGTGGACGGCTACCATTTGCATATAGCCACTGTCCTTTCTCAATTTTCCGACAGTTGGGGCACTGCATTGCTCCCTTAATATTGAATGCTGAACCTATGCAATCTGCATACATCATACCAAAAAAAGATGTGATAAATAAAACCGTAGTTTTCCTATGATTGAATTATCTATCTGAGATATTAAGCTTCAGTGTAAAAAATAAAATGAAGAAGGGTAACTAAGGGCCCGAGCAAGGAAAATGTTTTGTCTTACTAATTAAGAAGATGCATAAGAATCATTATCATTACAGAGCAATGAAGGTCAATGAATGCCATGTATGGAGGTTCTTTGAAGTGCTCAGAGTTACATAATACCATAATGATTCAAATAAGATAGATTTTTTGCCAAAGACCAACCCAATTGAGCAACTGTAATCGGCATGTATCAGCGCCACCAAAAGAAGAAGACCAAGTTTAACAATGATTGATTCTCAGTATTTTGGCAGACTAGATCTTGGGAAGATAAAAGATAGACCAGATGACTTAAAGCCAAAAGTGGATGATGCAGCAACATAGTGGCATTGGCACCGGAAAAAATACTCAAATATTTCAAATTTTACCCAGAAAACAATAAATAGGTAGAACACTACCGAAAAAAGTATGCGGGAGAACACCACATTATCCGATTACCATTTTTTAAAAGCTCATAATTTTCTCATTTCAAACAATCTGTGCAGAACATTAGGGTTGGTCCAAAAGACATCTGGCAGAATATTATCATTAACCCTACTTTCATATTTTATTCTCAGTTCAGACACATTTCCCACGATCTCCCGATCTCCAAATTAATAAAGATGATTTCAACAATTAAAGCATGTCTTGCATTTCCTATCCAACTCTTGAAGCAGCCCTAGCTAAGTTTTGCATGTCTTTTCTGGACTAAATAAGGCAAAAAAAATACGAAACTACACTGTCCCCACCAAAGGGTTCCATATATATCACATTTAAACACTTGTCGAGTTATCTAGTAACCTTAAATGGTGATCACGTGGCAGCAAAACGGACCTATAATCCAAAATGGTTTTCGATCAAGATCGAAGTTCATAAAGTGTGTTTTCAATCCGACCTACTTATATTCTACTGTCGGTGAAACTAATGACCTTGCCATGGAAATGACAATCACATCACCTGCTATCTCTGATTCCTAAATTTACCACAAAATTCAGAACCACCATTTTTCATCAGAAAACATCACAAAACTCAAGCTCCAAATTTCAATGCTACATTGAAATAAAAATCATAAATAGATCAAAAGGGCTGCATGCACCGAGCATTAAAAGATGGTAATAAGCTTCCCCAGCTCATTCTTTGCCTAATTAGGAAACTTCACAAATCAGTAAACTACAATCCGAGTAAACTCATGATAATTTTTTTCTGCTAATCCACTCAATTTCATCCCACCCACCAGTCCCCGATCTCGAAATCCACGACCCGCACTCTCTAATCGGAGCTCGGAAAAATCAAAGTAACAACGTGATCTAACAAAATAATCATTCTCAAAACACACTCATGAGCCCCAGCCCAAAACACTTCAAGTCCAAATTCATCATTTCTAACACAATCATCGCCGATTAAATCAGTCAGATCACGATCGTCACCAATTTGCAAAGTTCATCACTCACCGAGATGAAATTCGTGACCGCATTGAAGCTTCGCCCGAGATCTCTCGCAGCTGTCGGCCACCGCCTCCAAGCAAATGGAGCACGAAACCGCCGTCGCGGCGACTTTCCGACCACCGCCATCGCCGTCGTCGAGAAGATCTCCCAATCCCATAATTCAGGGCCAACAGCCAAATTTACAGGAACCCTAATTTAATTTACTCACAGTATATGCTCCGCCAATTCAATTAAATCAAATTAAATTATACAAGCACTGAATGAATTGAATGATCGGATAGCTTTTTGGCGATGGGAGTTGGGGGAGGTTAGAGAGAGAAAAAGGAGCGCATGAGAGATAATGTGTGTGAAAGTGTCAACCTTGTTCTCTCCTCTTTCTATTTCCTATTTTTTTCAAATTTTTTTTTTCATAATAATACTTATTTTTTTATTTTTGTGTCTTAAATAGCACGGCTTATTTGGCGAAAGTTGTTAACCGCTGTCCAAATGAGGATAAGGGATAGAAAGACACACGCCGTGTGACATCACCTAAATTTGCTCTGTCAAAAGGCTCAATTTAGACCCGATCCCAAGTCATCCAAGTCCACATATTAGTCCATGTATTAGCTATGGCACATTATTTTATTCTCCTATATTTAAATTTTATATGTCAATAAATCATAGTTTAGAGTAATCTATATATATAATAAGAATTACTATTTACCAAAAATAGTAATCAAAAAATTTAACAACATTAATTGCATACTATTTCGGCAAGTTTTGTTTTTATTTTTATTTATTAAATGAGAAACATTTAAATATGCCTTCAATCACAGATACTTAGTTTTGGTAACTAAATTGCTCAATTTGGTACAAATAATGCTTTTAAAAATTTGAGTTTTATTTCAATACCAATCATTTTTAAGATTAATTGATATCAACATTCATTAATCTATATATATTAAAAGAGGTTGATGGAAAATTCATTTGTGGACAATTTAATTAATTTCTTGGTCAAATTTGTTGACTTACCACTTAAGAAAAATATGTCTATATTTTTTTAAATCGATTTACTAAAGGCTTTTTAATTATTTTTGATAGCTTTGTTTTGTTTAATATATACTCAACTACATTTTATATTGTACATGTGAGATATTTAGAGCTATTTTATAAATGTACCTGCTCTATTTAATCAAATATCCATTAACACTTTTTTTTCTCAACCCAACTTTAGAACTCCATTTTAATTATATTGAAAATATTTTGGTATTTTATTTTAGTTCATATGGAATCAAATGCATTCCATCTTTTAATATTTAGATCAATTTTAAAAAGATATCATCATATTTTACATATTGGATCTATAGATTAATTTTAAAAAGATTCGTATTCCAAATCTACAAATATCCATGGGTTTTTTTTTTTCAAACCCATTTGAAAATGGTGCATTAATTATTTTGAAAATATTTTGTATTTTACTTTGATTAATATGGAATTAAATACATTCCATATTTTACGAATTTTGTAGTTATTTAAAAAAGATCCGTGCTCTAATTTTACAAAGATCTGTGCACTTTTTTTTTTGTTAAAGTTTTAAAAAAATATAATTGTACAATATTGGTATCTTTAAAATTGTTTGTAAACAAACCTTATTAACATATAGATTAATTTGAGCCGATTACAATATCAAGGTAAATTGTCTTGAATTTCGTGATAATAACTCAATTAAAGAAATTAAAATTTGATGCAAAAATAATGTACATATTAATTTAAAATTTATACAGTCTTATTAATAGGTATCAATATTTTTTAGAAAGCATATCTTGGTTCAAAATTAAAAAACTGTATAGGATGTACTTGCATTTTTTTCTTTAATATTTTTTGGAAACAAACATTATCAACAACCTATGACCAATATCTTATTAACATAAATATCTAGAAATTTGAAAGAATAAATCGTATTACATAAATAAACTTTTAATGCAAAAATAATGGCCAAACTTTCAAATTCGATAATAAAAGTAAATAACAATATATTAAAAATATCGTACTGTTCTTACCAGTTCAACCGAACACCAAAACCGACTGGCGTTGACCGGTTTGCAAGCAAACATTTTATTTAAGTTAATCGGACTGATCGATAAACCGATTGCCGGTCTATTCGGTCGGACTGTTCAGTCCGGTCCTGTTTTGAAAACAATAGGTGAATTATAATGAATGTTATTTATATATTTAACTTATGACACAATCGTAATATTATTTTCCCGTGCATCGCACGGGCCACGTACTAGTTTGTATATGAATATAAATATGTTTTTATTTTTAATAAATACAAATTTTCCTAATTTAAATTCTAAATGTATTTTTTTGTTTATTTTTTAAATATAACTAAGTTTTTTTATATTTATTTTTCGTTAATGATATGTAAAATTAATTATTGTTGATAAATTTTCAAATAAAATTCATATTATATTTATAATATAAGAACATTTGTACCTAGAGTTATTAAACAAAATGAGTCGTTCGCAAACTCGATTCTCAAATGAGCCAAGCTCGATCTCGTATAAAATTCATTTAGTTAACAAGTCAAGCGAGTTCGTCTCGCTAATGCCCAAATATAGAAAAATTATTACAATTTTTTGTAGTCCGGTTCGTTAATATTGATAACAAATCAGAGTTTTCCAATATAGTTAACGATGCAAGTTCGGTTCAACTCGATAAAAGCTCAACTCAGTCTTAGGTATCTAGAAGCTCGATCTCGAATCAACTAGTTTTGATACTCCTACTATAAATGATTTCGAGGATCAACTATATACGATATTAAAATGATAAACTGACAGATAATTTTTCGAACTGCCATAAAAACTATTATATTAGAAAGAATCAAAGTATTTATAATATGTATTGGTATAAATTATGATAAACCAACAAGTCATTCGTTGAGTGGTTATGTAAATTATAAACTTAGAAATAAAAAATCATCAAAACACTTATAAATTGTTACCTTAGAAAAAAAATATTTATAGTAGTTTCTATAAATTATAATAATAGATCAAACATGATAAAATACATATATATTTATAGTGTACACTATTATAAATCAAGAAAAAAATATAATAATTAACGTGAGTAAAAATTAGTAAATATCACAACTTTGAAATAATATACATTACATTCTTTTTAAGCTGAGTGTCAACTTATAACTAGTATTCGACCTGTGCATTTGCACAGATATAAATAAATTATTGTGAGTCTATATGCATATAATGATTAATTATTTTTCTTTCACTTTTTTGCAGACTAAATTTACAATTAAAAGAGTTGTAATATTTTTTTTAAATTACGTTTATCGATTGGATGTAATGTATATTTTGGTACGTCTTTTATTTGTGAATTATTTATTATTTATTTAGGAATTTCAAATATATTTTTTATTTAAAAAAAATTAAATGTAACAACAATAATAACATCTAATCACATTATACGGTCAACACATTATATGGTCAACTGTCATTAATCAAAAGTTTAAAATGATTTTTGTAATTTTGAAGTGATGAGTATTAATTATTTAATGATTAAATGAAAGATTAAATACATCAAAATGTAACGGTTTTTGGAGGGAAAATTGTTAAATTGCCACATAGGTAAAATTAAATAGGTTTTATTAAATGTTATTAGCTAGTAATTATATATATATATAGATATTTATCACAATTTTTTAACTTTATCGTCACTTATTTATAAATCATAATAAGATATTGTAATAGGTATGAGTAAGAGAAGAGATAAAGAAGTATATTTGAGAGTATTATTTATTGATAGCGTTTTTGATATGTTAAAATTCATATTTCTTAATTCTAAACATAAACTTTAAAATGACATTTATTTTATAACGGGTCAAATACACATAGAAATCATATACTAAAACAATACTACCTCCTATTTTTTTTAAATGTCATTTTGGCTTTATCAACTATTAACCAAAATAAATGTCGTTTTGGATCTTTTGTATATATTTTTCCATTATTATCCTCATTTGCTATTAACCAAAATAAATGTCGTTTTGGATCTTTTGTATATATTTTTCTATTATTATCCTCATTTAGTTAATAAATACACTACGTCTTTTCATATTCTCTTCATCTTTTTTTTTTAAACATTCATCTCTATCTTCATTAATGAGGGTTATTATTGGCAAAAAAAATATTCTTAATTAGTGTGCAACTTCCCAAAACGACACTTATTATGAATTGGAGGGAGTATATATGATCAAAATATAAAATTTCATATTAATAGTTAAAACTATTTTTATCCTACTTGGTGTTCCTTTTTTTTCCCAAAACGATAGAAGTATTATATTAATAAAAACCGCACAAAGTGCGAAGAAAAAACAACCAAAGGTTGAATAGTACAACCAAAAACAGAAAAGATCAATGCTATGTACTGGTAATTAACAATAAGAATTCGAATATTATTATATATTATTCAACAAAAAAAAAAAAATATTCACTCTCTCACATAGTTCTAATTATCGCTCACTATCAATCAATAACTTAATACGTGTAAATCACAATAACTCCAATCGTTAAATTTTTATCTTATATTCATTCATTCACAATCTCAAAACTACCTTAATTTTATTTTTATTTTTTTAAATAAGCTTTCTTCATTTCTGAAATTTTTATTTTTCATACTGGTGGTGAAATGGATTTCACCTAGGCTCCTTCAACTCGGACGGTCTCCGTACCTCAAGAATCCAATGACGGGAGGAGTCCCGGCATCGGGCCTCCAATGTCTAAGTCAGCACTCGCCAGATATAGAGTGCAATATGAGAGTATAGTCATTAATGTAGAGAGAATGAGTTATTATGATACTTTATCCCCTTTTATACGTGAGGTGTACCTTAGTGTCAAGTTGGGTTTGACCAATACCATTATGCCATGTGTCCTAATCCTGTGTAGATTTATTTTCCAATATATATCTCTTCTTATCCATTAATGTTGGTTTAGTATTAATAACTCAAATTTAAACTAGATATCAATCTGCATTAAAAATATTAAAAGAATGTTGTAAAAACAAACAAAGATAAATTGTAAAATAAATAATGCAACTAAATTAAATTTTTTTTTTTTGTTATTTTTGTGTACGGATACCAAATTAATTAGTTATGAACAATTTTTGATTCGATATTGATACTTCATATAAAAAAATATCAAAGCAATTTCATTTCTCAATTCCAAATTGAAAATAACGAACTTATTTTCAATCCTAAATTGATATATATATACTTATATATACACTATGGATAGTCATGCTGTAGTAATTTGAGTTGGATTATGAGTTAAAAAATGTAAAAAGAGTATCCAACAGTAAAAAATGAATATTTATATAGCAAAACGAGCCTAAAAATGGTTATTTTCAAGCTCACTAACTAACGAGTTGAGTTTAACTCATTAACTAAATGTTCTTTAAACTAGTCAATCAAACGCAAGCTTCAACATCAACAAGTTGAACCCACGAACTACTCATTTCATTTTTTCCTTTCTAGTATTGTTTATTGGAAATAATATTTCTCTAAAAGCATAAGAAAAGAAAATTGTATAATTATAATGATTATTGCAAGATTACTCAAATTGAATTACAAATAATTATTTAACAATATACAAGAAACTAATCATAACAATTTATCTTAAGTTATATATATTTATAATTTTTTTAAGCACTTTATTCGTTATAAGTTATAACATCATGTGTTTTATGATATTTAATAACTTATTAATAACACACTATTAAGAAACTATTGATATGCAAAATATATTGGGTATGTGGTAACTCATATTGGTGTCTAGTCATCGTGTCAGTTGCATAATCAATTAATTACTTTTAAAATTTTAAAAGTTATTATTTTTTTATGAATATGAATGACATATTCTCATTTGTTATAAACATTTACTATACGAATAATAAAATATTTTTTTGGTTAATCTTCCCATGTTATGAATATGAATGATATATTCCCATGGTTTTATCTTCCTAATCCATATATAATTCTTGATTAATCTTTGATACAAATCCGTATATCAACAAGTTTATCAACTAATTTTCTCAAACACTTTTACGTCATGTTTGATAAAATTAGTTGATAAACTAACTGATAACTGATAAGACTGTGTCTGGTAACCAAATAAGCTAGCTTATAACTTATTTGATTAGTTTATGAGCTTCATTTATTTAAATAAGATTCGTTTGGTATGACGAATTTTTTTAAAAAGCTAGAACTTATCTCATAAGTTTAATTGGGTATCTTTTCAAATAAGTTCGTTGAAATTTTTATTTCAGTTAGTTTATCAACTAATTTTACCAAGTACTTTTAGATTATGTTCGGTAAAACTAACTGATAGCTGATGAGCTAGCTTATAGGCTATAAGTGATTTTCAAACTTATAGCTTATGATTTATGATTTATAACTAAAAACTTACTTTATATGATAAAAGTGCTTGGTAAAATTAGTTGATAAGTTAGTTGAAATAAAAATTTCAACTAACTTTTTTGAAAAACTATTCAAATAAACTCGAGTTTTCTAAAAAACCTTATCCTACCAAACGAAATTTATTTAAATACATGAAACTTATAAGCTAATCAAATAAATTATAAATCAGCTAATTCGACTACTAAACAAAATCTTGTCATATAAACTAATTTTTTCAACTATAAGTTATAAAATATAAGCTCGATAATCAATTATAAACTAGTTTATCATCCCTGTCTTACCAACTAAGACCTTCTCCAACCATACTGCAAAACTCAATTTTTGCAGTAGAACCTCCTCCAACGGAACGGCAAACGGAGCGGCAAATTGCGTTTTTGCCTTCTCTCTCCTCCTCCAAGACGCAAATTTGCGTCTGAACGCAAAAGATGCGTTGTATCTTTTTTTTTTTGCATTTTAGTCCTTCTTTTTATGCTAATCTTATTTTCTTCTTTTTGTTTTTACATTTCAATCCTATGATAATTAAATTAATGAATATTAATTATATATTTATCAAAATAGTAAACTTAATGTAAAATACTAAAAATTCTTTATCTCATAAAAATTAAATAGTATAATTTTTAAAATAATAAATATTATATTTATCATTTAATTCTATATATTTCACAATAAAAGACATTAATATTACCAAATTAGTTATAATATCGAAAGATGACATAGAACAACGGAAAATAAAAATACATTATAAACCATGAAAATTAACAAACATACAAAAAAAAAAAAACGCTTCCTCCAAGATCATTTAAAAATTGGCCAAATGTATTGGTTGGAAATAGATCCGATTGGGCTTGTTGAGCTCTTTTCTCCAAGATCCGTGCTTGTTCAGCTTCAAAGTATGCTCGAACTCTAGGATCCGATTGGGCTTGTTGAGCTCTTGGTTTGCCGGGCTCCAACAACGATATCAACGTTTTAGAATCATCTCATCTTTTCTCGGATCTAACCCAAGGTATTGCTCCTCCAGCTCATTATATAATTCAAGGAAAAGAATACAACATGGGTTATTATTTAGCCGATAGCATATATCCAAAGTGGTCTACCATTGTGCAAACAATTCATGAGCCACGTGGTCCGAAAAAAAAATATTTTGCAATGAAACAAGAAGCATGCAGAAAAGACGTTGAACGTGCATTTGGAGTTCTTCAATCACGTTTTGGCATTGTAGCAGGACCAGTACGTTACTGGCAAAAAGAAGTGCTACATGATATCATGACTACATGTATAATTTTGCATAACATGATTGTCGAGGATGAACGTGACCTAAGTGCACCAATCGAAACTGAAGTGGAAACGCCGCCGCCGGAGGTCGAAATGGCAGTAGATGAAAGCACTCGATTTGAAGAATTCATATCTCGGTACAAAAAAATTAGAAATAAAGATGATCACATTGCACTTCGAAATGCACTAATTGATCATCTGTGGGAGGAATATACCAATTCCGAGACTTGAAAGACTATCTATTTTTACTTGATTGTTGTAATTTTTAATTTATAATGTTGTGCGTTGTAATTTTTAATATTATGTTATGTGTTGTAACTTTTAAATTATATTTTTAATGACTATTTATTTCTCCGATTTTATTACATAAAGTCTAAATTGAGTTGAAAATAATAGTGTGGTTTAATTTGTAAAGTTGTAAAATATGTGGGTAGTATTGAAAAATTGTGAAAGTTGATGTAAAAGGGAATATTCTGAGAATATTCTTTTGGGTTGGAAAATGAGTTTTTTGGTTGGAGATGAATTATTGCAAAATGGGAAGTGTACTGCAAAATGGGTTTAAGTTTGGTGTAATTGGTTGGAGATGGCCTAGGTAAAATGAAGTTACTCCAAAATCAATTAAAAGGAAAAGAATCCATAAGGCAAATTAGGCCATAAATCAGCCCGACATAAGCGGATTCGACATTCGAGACTCCAGTGGACCAAAGGGAGCAAAAGGGGAAAAAGGCAAAAAGGGAAAGAGAAATATACGCTGTAAGATAAACACAGTAACACCGGAGGAGATCCGGTGGTTAGAGAGAGAAAATCGGGCTCCCGTTTATTCCTTGGATTTGGTAACGGTGTAGCTGAAGGCGGTGCTTGGGTCATTTCTTGTTAGGAGATCAGACTATTCAGATCGAGGAACAAAAAGGAGGTAAGAACAACCCATTTGTAAGAAATTATTTTTCCTTATCCCTCTTCCATTTTTTGGGGGCTTTTAAATCGGCCTGTTATTCAGTTCTACTAACCATTTTATGCATTTGCGTTGTGGTGTTTGGTTCGATCTGCTTGCTATTCTTGTGTGTCATCTATATGTTGTTGGCTGGCTGCTGCTAAGCTGCTTGAATTCATATTTTTTTAGCCATTTTATCGTGAGGGTCTTTTGTTGTTTGGCGAGGGGATTTCTTTTGTTTCTCTTGATTTTCATTTTTTCTCTGTCTTGAAATAACAATAATTTGATACATTGTGACAGATATGTTGGGAAATTATTTTTTATTATTGTTTTCTCCGCTAAGTGGCAGTATTAATATGCCCTGTATTTTTTATTTTTTATTTTTTTTCGGCTTTCATTTGTTTCGATGTTGCTGGTAATTGAGATTTGAGGGTGGAACGAGAAAGGGCGAACCTATGACTGATGAAAGAAGAATTTCTTTGTAGTGTTTGCTCTGATATTGCTTTTATGTGTCTCGGTATAAATTTGTATTGTGTTTTATTACAGCCCTTTGCGGTTTTGCTGAAAATGCATGCTATTACCTTAATCAATGGTTTTGTAAAGGAAATTTTAGGTTGCTGTTCGGACAATGCTATGAATCAATTAATCAAAGACTATTATTAGTTTGTTCAGATTCTATTTGCAGAGCCATAACCTTCTGATTATCAGCTAGTTTTGCCTCTTCCGCTGTATATCACTCATTGAAAGACACAGTTGTTTGTGGTCACTCCCTTATTTTAGTTAAAAATAATTTTTGTTTTTATAGTGGAGATTGGGACCATATTCATGCGAACTGTACAGTTATCAATTTAATTAACTTGCCTTACTATGGACCTCTTTTTTTAGGTCATTTCGTAATATGTTTTTAGATTACGGCATGAAATTACGTTTACGCATTATGGTTAATACCTAGTAGTTGCCCATCTTTTCTAACATGAAGCTATGTTTGGCAAGTTATGGCCAAGCTTTTCTCCCTTTCATTTAAGTTGAATTACAATATCCTGGATATCTACCTAAATAGAGAATATTGTGATAAAAAGTTATGATTTGGCTATCTTTTTGTTATCTGAAGCTATGTTTGACAAGTCATAGATAAGCATTTTTCCCTTTACTTTAAACGTCGAATACGATATGTGGATACCTAAATGGGTAATATCGTGATAAATTTTTGTTGATCTACTAGGGTAGGCACTATTGTCATGTAAATATGTCTTTTCTTCTCAGAATTAAATAATTTGTGTGGTACTGAGAAAAGCCCTTATTTGTCCCAAAAAAACATTGGATTAACAAAAGCTGTACTGATATTTTGTCCACCATCACTTAGGAAAAACAATGGGAAGGGATGTTACAAGCTTACACATTGATAAAAAGGCAAGTGAAAACCCCAATGATAGCACTCAATCTGCAGTTCGTGTGGCTCCAAAAGCCTCACCTGAAAAAACCGGGAATGCCGAGCTTTCTGATGAAGTCAATGAGGGACAGGATGTGCTGGCAGTGAAAAGTACCAACTGTGAGCTCAAGGAGAAGGTCATTAAAGCTGAGGTACACAGTTCTGCTGATAAAATGATGAGCACGCCAGCAAATCTTGAATCCGGGTCTGCTGAAAATGGGACAATTCAAGAGGATCATGCAAATGGGACCGAAGACAATGGATCCGGTTTAAAAGTTTTGTCCAAATCTAGTGATTTGGATTCCCCCAAATCAGGGAAGAAATCCCAAGTGAGTGCTTCTCTCTATATGTTGAGTTATCCCTCAGTATGTGTTGATCTCTTGTTCTGTGTCCTCATGCTTTATATTTGTCATCAAAGTCGAGCGTCTCCTGCCTTTAATGGTTCATGCTTGAGATCAAATCCATGGGTTTACTGGTGTGTTTTGATATCCTAATTATTTCATATGGAATGATTACAAAAACCCTTAGGAGATTTTGGCTAGTTACAAATGCATGAAAATCCTCGTTAAAGTGGTAATCAAATGTTACTTTATCCGACAACGCAGAAGCTCTCTGTGTTCCAATTTTTAAATGTTTTTTTTCTCTTTTTTATTTTTTATATTTTTTTTTGTGAATCAGAACAAAAGTGTGCTTATTGAGATGGACGGTGTATAACTTTTACTGTCTAACTAATATGAATGTTATATGGCTGTGGTGTGAGGCTGGATACAATTCGAAAACATGGGTATATAGAGAAGCTTTTTTTGTGTTTGTTGGAATTTGGATTGATACTGATGTTGAATTTTATTGTTTCCAGTCGAACACAAATTTAATGTCAAGGAAGCAGCTTTATGACGAAGAAGACAATTGGTCATTGGCTTCCTCGTATCCTATGTCTGACTTCGTTTTTCTTTTGTTGGGTATTATTATTATTAGCAGCGTAAAATAGTAGTAATAATATTACTATTGTGTTACTATGTTCTTTCAATTGGAGCTATCCTTAACATTTGTAGTACTGCAACTTCTGTACGGACCAAAATTACTGTTCCGGTTGCTCCAAGATTCAGCTGTGTGAACCGTTTGGAGAGACGCAAAGAGGTAATTATTCATGCTGAGTTAGTGTTCATTTTGTATGCTTTTTCCCTGTTTATTTATTCCTTCATGACCTCTTTCCTGTTTTATTTTTCTTAGTTTTATACAAAGTTGGAAGAAAAGCACAAAGCATTGGAGAAAGAAAAAATCGAATATGAAGCAAGAATCAAGGTAATACTATCCCCGCCCCCTCCCCAACCCCCTCTTAATTCTTATCTTACCCTCTAAAAAGGTACATATGAGAATATTATAAAGTTCCTTTCCACTTTTTTCTCTGTCCCGTTTGCAGGAAGAAGAACAAGCAGCAATAAAACAGCTGAGAAAGAACATGGTGGTCAAAGCAAATCCTGTTCCCAGCTTTTATCGTGAAGGGCCTCCACCAAAAGTCGAGCTTAAAAAGGTAATGGAGAATTTCTCTTTTCTCCTCGTAGGTTTGGGAAAGAAAAACATGGGATGAATGTTGTATTTATGGGGTTTGATCTAATTCAGTAAAAGACATGGGTTTTCTAAAAATTCCATGTATATATATATAAACCAAAAGACCTTTGAGCTCTGTGATTCTGTCTTCAGCTACGGGATAACTATAATATCAAATGTAAAGGATGATAGAAATGTTTGTTCTGAGGAATGTAGCTGAATCAATACCAAACCAAATCCTACTTTTTATTTTTCTATTTACCCCATATTTTCTAACATTGACTGAAAATGGTCGTGTAAGCTATTCAAGAAAACTTATTTTCATACTCAAATTTTTTCTTATTGTTTTTATTTATTTATTTGTTTGTTTGTTTTTTTAGTTTCCCCGCTATTTATATGATTGACTGAATTCTCGTGCGAGCTATTCAAGAAAAAACCTTCTTTTCGCAATTATTTCAACCGTCAGTTGCCCCTTTGTACTACCCATGATTGACCTAAGGTGCGTGTGTGTTAGTCAATAGTCATAGTCCAATTTACGTAAACGGGAAGAAAATGAATAAACAAAAAACTGGCGTGCTTGGACCCAAACATATCCGCTCAAAATGAATTTTTTTGATTAACTAGAGTTACTTTTTGAAAAAGGTGGTATAGTTAGTTGTTAGTGCGATTTTGAGTTTATATCAAAATAATATTTAAAATAAAATAAGTCAAGTTGATTTGATATAAAAGTAGGAGAGATGATGTGAAGTAATGGTTAGTTAAAATTATGTGAGTAGATGAATAGTAATTAAAGTTAATGTGACGTGTAAGAATGATTGATTGACATTATTTAATTATATTGATAATATTGAGGATAATGAGGTTAGGTTAAAGTTGAGTAGATTTTGAGTTGGATTTATATCCAAGCACGGCCTTAGTTTTAACCAGATTTGGTGATATCCAGTTGCCAGTAACCCGCGCCAAATCCCCAAATTTGACGAGGAGAAAGAGCTGTGGTGATGTAGTGAAATCGTCTCCAGAGGACAAGGCAACAATCCGTGGACGGGCCACCCGTCACAGTGTGGGCCCAGGCCCATGCAAGGAAGGCAAAGCCTCTCCCATTCTTAAAAAGGCTTCTCCCATCACTCCCAAGAGCAAGGACCGTGCAAACGGGCCTAAGAAAGTCAAGAATCAACTACCCAATAAAGAAACATCAGCCGAGAATTCTCTTGTGAGGGAGCCCGAAAATGGAGATATTCCTACTGTTGAGTCTTGAAATTGAATGTCTTTTGCTAGTCGTATCTGTTAATAGTTTCTCTGCCTTTTAGCGTGAAAAAAGAACCTGGGGTGTTTCTTTTATGATTGATGAGAACAAAAAAAAAAGATGTTTCTTTATCTTATGAAGGGGCAACTTTTTCGCCCGAAGGTAATGACTGAATTTCTGCCGAGTACATAGCTTGTGTAATTTTTTTTTCAATGGCTTTTGTGTACTGTTTCGATATGAAACTACCGTGAACGCGTTTTTCTGTGGAAAATGAATTTGCCAGACTGCAATTTCTGGTTGTTTTCGGCTTTCCATTAGGTATTGTGCGACTCTATGTTCTGCTGGATGAAATTTTTGGCAGTAATGTCTTGTATCTTGAAGAAATGACATCAGAAAAAAAAAAAAAGAAGGTATTTTGCAGGTTTTCTTCTTTGGACTTTTGTATGGGTGTTTAGCTTTGGCTCGTTGGTTTACTTAAACGAGTCTGAGACAAACTGAGTTTCAAGGGATAAAGAATATAACCAAATTAGACCGCGAACCATGCATAAAGATATTGTTAGTTTAGACTGCTCACCATGCATAAAGATAATGGCGTACTGTTAAGAAGTGTTTTGGGGAATAGTAGAGATAAATTAGATGTTTAATCTGTCATTATTTTTAATTTTATTATTTAGTAAATAGCAGTTTGAAATATTATTTTGGATTAAAAAAACTAATTTCGATGAAACTCGACCTTTTGGAATAGGGGTTGTAAAATTAATAGTGTTTTTTACATTATTTACCAAACACTTTCCATAATCAATAAATCCAATTTTATAGTCAAATATGTTTTAATAAATTGCAAGTGCTAAACAGGGCGTTATGCGGCAGGTGACAATGGTCGAGAATAGAAAATAAAAGTACACAGACAATTAAATGCCCGTGGAACAAAATAAAAAATATATACAAAATTAGTTGAATTTGTACTTTCCTTATGATGAATATATAAAATAAATAAGATGAAAACACAATAATAATCCGTTTCATTAAATTAAACAATTTTTAATATTGACCCGAAAAAAAGAAATGGGAACACCGAAACCGAACGCTGAGGAGTACATTTGTTTTACAGAGGACAAACAGTTTACTTTATCCTCTACACACAGACAGCTGGGCTTGGCCATGGCTTTAACAGTATCTCGCACCTTCACCGCTCTCTCTCCACAGCCATTCATCCCCGTCGTCATCTCCCCAAAACCCACCGTCCGGCCGGCTAAGCTCATTCTCTGCACCAACAACGACGGAGACGTTAATCGTACGCCCAACTCCAAAAGGAGAACAGCTAATAACAGTAAACAGCCCATGAGCAGCAGCCCTAGGAAAAAGCCCTCGTCGTACGGCGCCTCGAGGCGGTCCGTTTTGAAGAAAAGCTTCAGCCAGGAGCAAGTGACGTTCACGGGGCCGCTCTCGGCCGACCCCTCCGTCGGGATTATCGGTGGTGGGATGTCCGGCCTCGTGTGCGCGCTTTATCTGGAGAAGAGAGGCATCAAATCCACTGTATTTGACACGGTCCGGGTCACTCTCTCTCTATTCTCCTCTCTCTTAAATTGTTCTTGAGAAATGAAATGGCGGTTCGCTGAAAATTTGAGCTCGTAGTGTGTTTATTTTGTGAATCTTACTGTTGTTTGATTGTGCCACACTGAAATTATGATATATATATATATTTTTTTTTTTGGAATATGGTGTTTCGGCCTGCTCTATGAGCTCAATGTGCATGGGTGACGGCTTTTCCTGTCGAAAAAATTATGTAAGTTTATTTGATTTGCTGAATCTAATTTATCTGGTGTGCTCATTGACTGATCTGCCAGCACTTGAGAATTTAAGGAACCAGAAAGTATTGCAAAGATAATTGATAGAAGCATGAATGCAGGAAACAAGAGACTGGGAGGCACTCAGTAATTAAAAAATGAAAGTAAATTTGTTGATAGATTGGGTTTTAGCTGCTAATGGGTATCACTTTTATCTCAACCAGGTAGATAGATATGTTTAATAAAACTTTACTTTATTAAGTATAACATGTCATTAATGCACCTTGCTGGCTTTATATTATCTTTACCGATATGAATATGCATTTTATATGAACCCAAAAGTTCTTGGAGATTCTTATTTATGATTATTTACATCAGGGATTTCACGGGTTAGGAGGAAGAATGGGAACTAGGATTATTGATCCTCAGGCCTTGACTTTTGACCATGCAGCCCAGTTCTTCACGGTTACTGACCCTGATTTTGCTGAGATGGTCAACCTATGGTCTCAGAAGGGTCTTGTTCGTCAGTGGCATGGCGCAATTGGAGAGCTTGAAGCTGGTGGACTTATTGACCTGCTTCCTCCTTCGCCTCCAAGATACATAGGAGTTAACGGGATGCGCCCTCTTGCCGAATCCATACTATCTGAGGTGTGTTTTTCTCTATCTTGTTAATATATTGCCACCACATGAAGTAAATTATTAAGCTTCAAGTATGATAAGTCCCAGAATTTGCTATTGAGAATTAAGTTATGTAATATGTTTAGAGCTAATCATTGAGGTATGTGAAGAGGTTTATAGATTGATACCCTTCCGAAGCATGCAGTTGGTCGATATAATAGGTACACATATATCATGAATGCTTGCTGTTTATCACAAACATTTCCCATTTATTTGGTGTAATGATTTATTTTTTATGTCTAGCTTTAGAATAATCCAGCGTTTATCATTTCTCACGTAACCCATAACGAGGTCCATGACAACGATATTGATCTTATTTTGTCAGTGTTTTACAAAATATACATCCTTGTTATCATGTGACTCGGTGACTGGTTAAAGACTTGTTCTGCCTGTATTTTTTCACCATGTGTGAGCAAGTGCTAACCTGTTAATCATTCTTCGTCGACGTATGGTTGACTATGAGTTTAAATTGACTTGCAGACTTCCTTGGTTAATGTGGTGCGACCTTGCTGGGTTAGTAAACTGGACCCGTATAATGGGATGTGGTACTTGAGTGAGAAGGGAAAGCCTTGTGGCCACTTTGATTTAATTGTTATTGCACATAATGGTGAGTATTCTGCCACAGGCTAATCGTCTCTAAGCATTCTTAAGCAAGCTACAAATACGGTCATCTGTCGGAGACTGAATTTCTAGTCCATGGTGAAGTGGTTTGTATATTTTGCTTTATGACTTTTCCATTGGTGCTTGTACATGATAAGTGTTTCTGGGGAAAGAAAAATCTATATCTATGTTTATATATTCATAAAATCTGAGCTAGACTAATTGTTTTTTCACACCCAGTCTTCCTTGCTATAACAGAATAGTAAAATTACAATGAAATTAAAATCGTGTACAAATTTGTGTTTTTAATAGTGTTTATTGTTATATTTATGGATTC